GATCATCAATCGATTTGCCCATGTAGCCCGAAAGCACCAGATGCCGGAGGTCTGCATCAACCAACTCAGCCGTATCTATACTCTTCCCAATATTGAAATTCAAGAGGCCTTCCTCAAGCTTCGGGAACAGGCGAAGTGCCATTACCAGAATCCGAAGGAGCTGAACAGCGGGTTGGATGTGATCAACAACACCAACCTCAACTATTTCGGGCCGCAGCAGAAGGCCGAATTCTACACACTCAAGGGCATGTTCCTTGCCAAGCTCGATCATGTCAATGAGGCCAATGAGGCGTTTGGAGTTGCTCTTTACTATGATCTTCGCCTTGCTAAAGCCTGGTCTGAATGGGGACAATACAGTGACCAGCGCTTCAAGGCTGATCCGACCGACTACGAGCTGGCTAGCAATGCTGTTAGTTGCTATCTGGAGGCGGCCGGTCTCTACAAGAGTGCGAAGTCCCGGAAACTGCTCAGCAGAATTCTCTGGCTTCTCAGTTTGGACAATGACGAAGGAAAGATCGCAAGTGCATTCGAAAACTTTAAGGGAGACACCCCGGTGTGGTACTGGATCACTTTCATTCCTCAACTTCTCACCAGCTTGTCCCATCGGGAGGCGCGCCTCTGCAAGGCTGTCCTGGTCAAAATCGCCAAGCTGTACCCACAGGCTCTCTTCTTCTTGCTTCGCACGAACAGAGAGGACATGTTGAGCATCAAAAAACAGCATGACCAGAAGCAGGAGAAGTTGAATCGGGCCAGACAGCAGCAGCAAGGATCCTCGCCAAATACAAAGCTAAATTCTGTTGCCGGCGCCGATAGCTCTCCTGCCCAGAAAGCCCAGGGTGCAGCTGCATCGACCACTGCCTCCCCGTCAGTTCCGCCTGCAAACTCACCCGCCACACAGAATCCGGCCCTGGCACAAAGCCAGTCTCCCGCACAGCCACAAAACGCCGTGCAGCCTTCCCCACAGGCTGGCCAAACTCCGGGCCAAGCGCAGCAAATTCACCTGCAAGTTCCAGGTCAGACTGGAACACCACTACAGAACCAGGTTGTAACCGCGGAAGGCGAGAAGGAACCTCTGAAGAAGCCCTGGGAGTACTCGGATGAGATCATGTCTGGACTTAAGACGGCCTTCCCCTTGCTTGCTCTGTCTATGGAGACCATGGTTGACCAGATCCACAAGAACTTCAAGTGTCCCCCCGACGAGGATGCTTATCGACTCATCGTTGCTCTCTTGAACGATGGACTGGCCTACGTGGGTCGCATGCCTGGATCTTATGCACAAGATTTCAAGTTACCTGCCGCAACAGAAGCCAACATCACTCGATTCGCAGAGACAATTCTCCCAGCTCACATCCGCAAGTCATTCGAGGCGGACTTTGTGACCAAGAAGCCAACCATGAACGAGTACATCCACAAGTTGCGGCGCTGGCGTGACAAGTTCGAGGAAAAGCTTGACCGCAGATCACAGCACACATTCCTCGAGAACTCTTCACCTCATTTGAGTGAGTTCCGCTTCCTCAAGTTCGATGAGGTCGAGGTTCCCGGCCAGTACCTACTCCACAAGGATAAGAACCAAGACTTTGTCCGCATTGACCGCTTCCTTCCTGATGTGGACCTCATTCGAGGCATTGGTGTCTGTCACCGCCGCTTGAAGATTCGAGGACATGATGGCAGTGTGCAAGCATTCGCAGTTCAGCATCCCGCTGCCCGCCACTGTAGGCGGGAAGAACGCATTCTTCAACTCTTCCGAATTTTCAATGGTTTGCTTGCCAAACGCAAGGAGAGTCGTCGCCGCAACTTGTACTTCCACCTGCCGTTAATGGTTCCTCTCGCACCACACATTCGCTTGGTGCGCGATGATTCCTCGTATATCTCTATGCAGGGGATTTATGAGGATTACTGCCGCCGCAAGGGCACTAACAAAGACGACCCGGTGCTTTTCACAATGGACAAGATGCGCTCGCTAGCAGAAACAAAGCAGAACGTAAGTGTGCTGTTCACCTTTTTCGTATCAAAAGCTAACAATTCCCAGCGCACGCCCGATCAGCAGCAGGTCCTTCGCACAGAAATCCTGACTGCGATTCAAGACAAATGGGTCCCGAGTACCGTGGTGTTGGAATACTGCCAGCAAACATACCCCAACTTCTCCGACTTCTGGCTCTTCCGTCGTCAATTTGCCTATCAGTACGCAGCGATCGCTTTCATGACCTACGTCATGCACATTGGCAACCGATACCCAAATAAAATCATGATATCTCGTTCAACAGGCGATATCTGGGGTGCCGAATTGATCCCCACTATCAACCCAGCCAAGGCGTTCTTTTACAACCCTGAGCAAGTCCCCTTCCGGTTCACACCCAACATCCAGACCCTTCTGGGTCCCATTGCGACGGAGGGTGTATTCGCCTGTGCAATGATGGCAATTGCTCGCTGCCTGACGGAGCCACGACACGAGCTAGAGCAACAGCTCAGTGTCTTCGTGCGCGACGAGATGATGTTCTGGGCTACAGCTCATCACCGCGGTGTCCTACCCCCTGGACAACTCCGCGATCTAGTCTACAACAACAGCGAAATCATCGTCAACCGTGCTGTCAGTCTTGCCAGCCCGCCGGAGGGCAACTTGCCTGCCAATCAGACCACCATTGATCTGATCTCCAAGGCTGTTAACCCTCAACATCTGGCATCATGCGATGCGTTGTGGATGCCGTATCTGTAAGCTATGAGTGTCGTCGGTTTGCGTGTTTCTGTCGAGCCAATTGTCGATGGGGACTTCCTGTGTTGGCTATTATCCTTTCTGGAGCGGTGGTTTCGTCTCTAGGTTTGTTTTTTCTAAGCGTGGGCGCAGCTTTACTTCACGTTACTATGATTGTGATACCGATTTCTTTCTTGTTTCAATACCTTCTACATTGTCTTTGATACTTCAGAATATTAGCCTTGATAGTTATTAATGTTTTGATTTGATTGCTACATATCTGATATCAATGTTTCATTCTGTAACCCAATATGTCTTTCTCTTGACTGAATATAGTCTTGTACGGGAGTGTTCTGGAGACTTGTTTGGTCCGGAGGTCCCGGGGAAATCGATACTATAGGAATTCGATAGCTATATGGACTTCAATGGGAAAGACTTGTTAAAAAATTGCGTTGTGCTATTGCTCACCCAACCTCCTCTCTTAGGGGTGAGCAGTCACGGGTATCGTCACACCCAACATCCAGACCCTTCTAGGTCCCATTGCGACGGAGGGTGGGCTACATATGTACGGAGTACGGGCGACTAAGTGTGCCACTTGGACACAACTCTCTCATTGGGCGAAGCGAAGCAATTAAATCATAAGGGATCTTGTGTCATGCGACTAGGCTCAAATCCATAGAGCTATGCGGTGAAAAGGTAACCGGTGAGAAGTGGCAGAATAGCATGGCTGGCAGAATAAATATATACTAGGCCTAATCAAGGTTAGACAATATTCTTATATAGAGCAGATCATATATATATCTTGGCCAAAGCATCCATCTTTCTCCCTTATTATGGTTTCCAAGCTCTGCTCTCAATGCAAGTATGTATGTCCCTTATATCTGTTCCTCTCCGCGGCTATAGGTCGAGAGACACAATTTTGTCAATATTGCCGAGATACCGCGGCCAGAAGCAAGTCGCGTTATATATATCCTCACCCTGATCAGGTCTCAGGTCCTGTCGAATCGACTCCAGATCCTCTTACACTCTCGCTTTCAGTTGCAGATATCTATATAGAGGACTCAGACGTATATCTGTCGCCGGATCCCTCGTCTAAAACCTATACAGGGTGCAAGCGAGTACTACCTCTGGACCAGTTTTGCTCTAAGTTCCACTCTGGTAAACTCAAGCTATGCTACAGGTTATGTGACACTTTATTCGGTCAAAAGCCAAAGCTAAAACCTAAGTATAAGCACTTCCTCGAGATTCCCTCGTACCTCCTCTCCTAGAACAAGTACCTCTACCAGAAGTTAAAAACAACCAGTTCCTCAGACCCCCGCTGAACCCGACTTTCACACTCATCCAATATTCTCAGCTACTGAATCTCGACCGTCTAATCCCGCTATCTCTGATCAAGACTCAAGAGTGGGCCTCAGTCAAGGCGTTCTATAACCGCCTACAAACGTACTCGATAGAGACCTGTTCCCGTTGTCATCAGCGATGGTTCAATATAAAGCTTATCAATGGGGTTTATTGCTACTGCCGAAAGGCCGACAGAGATCAGGATATAGAGTTATTCAGTGCGCTGAATAATATATAGCCGGATGAGATACCTCTAGATTTACCGGAGCTAACACATGTGGAAGATATCTTGATATCCCATGTCTATGTATTTATTGAAGTTCGCTTGATCTGTGGCCAGCAGTATCGCTACCAAGGTCACATTGTCCATTTTCTAAGAGACATTGATTGTGTGTACGATGAACTCCCGCTCCTCCCAAGAGAGCTAGATATCGTATTACTCCGGCCCGCAGATATCAATGAACATATACATGGTATGCGTCGCCAATTCATTCAAGACTTCCGTGTACCCCTCTCCTCCCCGAAAAGCCAGGCATTGATAATACCGCCTTCCAGATTAGGTGCTAGCCATGATTTTCTGCCATCACCATATAATTCTGGTTTACATAGTAAAAAGCACTGCATTTTAATGAGAAAAAATCGTACATTCTGCCTGATTCCTGCCTTGAAAATCTACAAGGATGATACCTAATTAACTAGATGGACTCTACAGAACAGAAGACAGTGAGGGTATTTTTTTATTATTTTTTTCTGAAATTATTCCCTCTCAATATTGATATCTGCGGCGGGTGGAATGCTTCATTACCCTCACCGCTATTACGTGCCATATTGGCAAATCATCTTTCTCGTTTCCGAGTCAGAATTCAGTCATCAAATCCTGATCGCGTAAATGAATGCTCGCTTGAAATCCGTTCCCATGTAAACTCCGTTCCCCTGTGGAATAAAAACGCTAGCATGAATGGATTGAAGCTTAGACCAGGCTTGGCTTTGGCTTAGCGAAAAGCTTGGGACGAGGAGTTCGCTTGCGACGCTTCCAGAAGTCAGGTCCATATTTATCAGCAATCGAGGGCGCGGCCAGCTTTGCTTCAATCTCTGCGTCGACCGCTGCCGACTGTGCTGCACGCTTCTTTTCCCAGAACTCCTTGCGAATAGCCACTGCATCCTCGGCAGCCTTCCTCTCAGCTCGAAGAGCTTCCTCGTCGAGTCCTTGCTGAACAGTAGCCAAAGCCTCATCACCGTGGGCCTCGTTGCGCTCGATGCGGGCATTGCGAGTTCGGATTTCGTCAAGTGCGTCGGCAATTTGCATCTCACGCTTCGAGTCAAGCATCTTGTCTTCGAGTTCGGCCATCTTGTCACGTTCGATCTGCTCCTCTTTCTCGCCGTGTTCCTTCTCAAGTCGGTCGAGAGTCTGCTCTTCGGTCTCATCGTTGTACTTCTCATCCTTGTCGTCTCGCCAAACTTCGAAGTTGCGCTTTGCGCCACGTTCGCACTGGTAGTCATTGTCTAGAAGTAAATGTTAATTTAAATACTGCAAGTTTGGTTAGTGGGGTTATTGCTTTAAACTCACTCTTGGGGTCAGTCCGGAAGGTGATCTCGCCGCTGCATCGGGTGCATCGGATGTAAAATCGGAAGATTTGAACAGACAAGTATCGTTCCTCGAGGGTCTCCTTGCGCGCGTTGAACTTGCGACCCTTTGGGATGTACTCGCCGCAGTGAGTGCATTTCATAGAGAAGGGTGTCATCAAACGACTGGCTGATAGCTTGGGCTCGGTTTTGCCACCCTTGCGAGAGCGCTTGGACGAGCGCTCGATCGCCGAGGGATCAAAATCCGGCGGATAATACTTAGAGAGAACCTTTCTTTCAGCCATATTGTCTTTATGTGGGGAGAGAAATTTAGGAGTGGGAAACTTTGGGGGGAGGTGAAGACAAACACTTTGATCTCGAGAGGGTAACATCACGTGACTAGTACCCACGTGGGTTCTAGACTTCGGCGGTGTACAACAAAATGCGATAAGATAAGATGATTAGGTATGTACCTATTGATCCCCAGGCGGTTGGAAACCTAGGAGGGAGCGCGAGAAACACAAAGAACATACAGGCGTTGATTTTCTAATCTTCTGCACGTAACTCACCATCTGTGCGCTCATACAGTGACGCTCAATTATAATACATTTTCCTGTTTAGGAAGGCGGTAGCCAAGGCGGTGGTCCACGTCCCACTCTTCCCGGCAGAATTACTCCCTCATCACGTGATAGATCTGTAATTCCTTCCCTCATACGGAGTAGTTAATAACTAATTAATTGTGCCAAGCACCGAATACACCTTCACTGTATTGGTGCGCCCCAGTCAAAGATACAGTAGATTGTAGAATCGATTTGTATAGTAGATCAATGCAGAAGTGAATAAATTGTACGATTTCTTCTGATTAAAATCAAGGCCTTTTTACTATATAAACCAGAATTACTACAGTGGTGGCAGAATATATGGCAGAATTGTTAGTCGCACCCTATTAGGAAGGCGGTACTGGAATTTCAGGCAGTGCGAGCATCCAAGGGGGATTGGCTATAACAATCCCCAATTTTTATTTTAATATTCAAGCTGAATATTTGCTATCAATTTGAAGTCTTTAATCAAGCCTGCTGTGAACCCAGTATATGCGCTCTAGGCCAACCACCGTGGACTCTAGTTAACAGTCTACTTAAACCTTCTGGCATCAGAAATACGCACGGGCCACTGTTTGGTTCAAAATAGGGTAAGGACCCGCTCATGCGAAAGTTGTCTACTCACATTGCTTGGATAACTCCGGGTTCAAACAGGGATCTCTATGTCTGCTCTCTCTTTAAATCTATTTTCTTGACGCATCTCATCTGTCGATATGGAAAGGTTTTTGCGCTCCTGGCGGCAGGACGCGCTGAACCGTGGCCAGCATGATTCCGCAATCTACATTGGGGACAAGGTCCTGGCGCTCACAAGTAAGGACTACATAGGACCATGGATATACAATATTACAGGAAATACTGACTTGCTCCCGAAGATAGTGACTCTGATGCGTTTTGGCTGGCTCAAGTACATTTCTCAAATAACAACTTCACGCGCGCCTTAGCCCTTCTCTCCCGCAAAGATCTTGTTTCTCGAAGCACCGCCTGTCGCTACCTTGCTGCGCATTGTTACATAAAACAAAACCAATTTGAACAAGCCCTCTCCATTCTCGGCGAACAAAACCCCACAGACCTCATCCGCAATAATCACACCCGGCGCAAGATCCAACACCAAAGCCATGTTACACTGCGCAATGGGAAGAGCGCGACACCGCGCGGTGATCGAGCCGAGGAGCGAGAACGTGAGGATGCCAACAACGTACGATTTGAAGCTGCCATGTGTTATTTACGGGGACTCTGCTTCGCCAAGCAGAATGCGTTTGATCGTGCCCGCGACTGTTACAAGGATGCTGTGCGGATCGACGTGCAGTGTTTTGAAGCGTTTGACCAACTCATGAAGAACTCACTAATGTCTCCAACGGAAGAATTGGAATTCCTTGAATCACTAGACTTTGATTCCGTCTCATCTCCTGATCCCATGATGGCGCAAGAAGCTGCCCATTTCACGAAGATGCTTTACACGACTCGTCTATCAAAATACTCCTCTCCCACCATACTCTCCGACGCTACCGAAACCCTATCCACACATTATAATCTTGCAGAGAATCCAGATATCCTTTTATCCCGCGCTGAAGCTCTGTATACACAATGTCGGTTTGCAGAAGCTCTGGAACTGACTTCCTCTATCCTCTCCACATCTCAATCAGCCGACCTGACCTCCTCAAATCCCAGCATTCCGGCACAGAACAACCTTGGACATGCCCCAGCCATTTATCCACTCCATTTGGCTTGTCTCTACGAAACCGGTGCCACGAATGCCCTATTCCTACTCTCCCACATGCTCGCAGATCACTCCCCCGAGGAGCCTTACACCTATTTGGCAATTGGGGTGTACTATTTGTCGGTATCAAAGGTGGCTGAGGCGCGGCGATTCTTTTCGAAAGCCTCACTGCTAGATCCACATTCGGCCCCAGCTTGGATTGGATTTGCGCACACCTTTGCAGCAGAAGGTGAACATGACCAGGCTATTGCGGCGTATAGCACTGCTGCTCGACTGTTCCAGGGCAGCCATCTCCCCCAACTCTTCTTAGGAATGCAGCATCTCGCCCTCAACAACATGTCTTTGGCGCACGAGTATCTATGTGCTGCTCACGCTATGTCGACTGGAGCTGCTCCGGGCTCTGTGCCTTCCCTTACGCCTAATACCTCAGGGATTGTATCAGCCATCGGTGGGGACCCACTCGTTCTCAACGAGCTAGGAGTTGTCTTTTACCATCAGAATCATCTTGGCGGTGCCGTAGAACTGTTCGGGCAAGCACTAGCGCTAGCTACTTCTCTCCACTGCGAACCTAGTGCCTGGGTGGCTACACGTGCGAACCTGGGCCATGCATTCCGTCGCATGGGCCGTCTGTCCGAGTCTCTTCGTGAATTTGATGAATGTCTTCGTGTGGGGGCAGGAGGGAGCAGCATGGGCTACTCGCCATTTTTGGGTGGTGGTACGGGCGGCTCAGCGGCGATCGCAACCGCATCTGGGGTTGGGGGCTACGAAGATCGGGGGCTCACGGGTTCTCTTCATACATCTCGTGGCCTGGTGTTACTGGAGTTAGGACGAACCACGGATGCGGTGACTGCATTGCATGAGGCTGTGCGTGTACTAGGATCGAGTGGCGGGGGCGATGCCGCCGGGGGTGCAGGTGTGGCCGGTACATTACTTTCACGTGCACTGGAGCTCTGGGCCTTGGAGGGCCGACAAAAAGACCGCACGACTTTCGAGGAGAGCATGCGGGAATCTAGTGCAGCCTCTTCTAAGCGCCGTGGATCTACTCGATCTCGTGAACAGAAGGGTAAAGAGCGAGTGCCCCCAGAAGAAATGTCTCGACGACGTGGACGTCAGGAGCCATTTGTGGAAGAATGGACAGAGACGGTGCCACGTGTCGCCACGCCCCCGGCTGAAGATGAAAAAGTTGAAATGGATCTCGACATCGAAGCTGACGGGCTTTTGCGCCGAGCTCTAGGCCGTGTACGACATGGCCGACAACGTCGACCAGCAGTACCTGCCACCCCGGATATAGATGCCAGTGAGATGACTGCTCCATCCAGTGGCCGTAGTCGAGGGACACGACATGGCCGGAGTCACTCTGGGCAATCTGTACAATCTGGACAATGACGGGGAACCCTTTTAAATCCTCCTTCTAGGTGAAATTTTGCGTTATTTTCCTTGCATTGCAGCGGGCGTTTCCAGGGAAAATTGGCTTGGGCAATTGGTTTTTTATGCATCTCATACTAGAAGATCAAGCAGATATTGTTAGAGACATGGCTTATACTTCCATTGTATCTAGTCTTAAGGACTGGAATGGTAGTAAAATACGATGACCCTTCGAACAGAGTCCTTTTTTTTCTCCAACCTTTATTTAATCCCTATCAATCCCTATTGATCTCATTCTATATTGTCTTATTACTATGTGTGGATGTAATAATGGCCCCCAAATAGATCACCAAGCTTCCCCGGCGCCTCTAACGCCCCCCGTCACAGCCGACCGCCATGGAAAGAAAAGGGTTCACGCTTGTTGTCTTGGCAATTTCCGTGTTTCCGACTCCACATAACTTCACTTTCTCCATACTCCGTACCTACATCGACCTACATGTGGTATGTCTATCTGCATCTCGGAGGAATGTTCCTGACCAGAGTCCAATTATGTCACACCAATTTAATCCAGAAAAAAAAGCTAATGCAGAAAGAAAACAGAAATAGAAAAAAGAAAAAAGCAAAGCGATGACGCCGCTGTCCCCACTGGGGGCCAGGCTTGAGGCTTGCCAATGCCCCTATGGTATTTGGGGCAATCACCTAGTTGCGCATCACTACCCTTTATAGGGATGTCTCGGGGTTTCCTTGATCGGCCCCCCCTTGTCTTCCCTTTCAAAGGTTCTTTTCGCTTTAGATACTTTTTAATACACTCCCTCTTTAGTTTACTTCAGATCGCTTCCAGATCATGCCGTGCCAGTCCAGTTCTTTACCATGACAGCTGCATTTCCTATCCGTCCGCGACGCGGCTTGTCGCTGCTGTGCGTCATAACCGCATTTAGCTTCAGTGTCATCATCGTCATCTGGTTTGGCATGAACTCCGACAGAGAGTACATCCACCCCATCCTCACGCAGTTGATCCCCGCCGGACACTGCGCCTGCGAATCATCTACAACCTTCCAGTGCTCGACATGCCTCACCTGCCCCGAACCCGCTGTGCAAGAAGAGACCTCCCCCGCTTGGTCCTTTCAATATGCTCGTGACGGTCGTAATGAGGCGCTGAGTAATAGCCAGTGCAAAGCTGCCTTCCCCGGATTATTCGAGGATGTCGCGCGCGGTGGCAGGTTCTGGTCTTCACACGGTCGCTTGTCTTCGGTGGAACTCGATGCGATCACCATAAAACATGGTATGGCGCGCGCATATATCTCCAATGGCCAATTATATGTGGTCACGGCGCGGTCCAAGGGCGAGGATCATCGACGGAAAATCCTAGGGACGTTGAGCTCAATCCACCGTGCGCTGGCCGCCGACCCGAAACAAGCTTTTAGACCAGACATTGAATTTGTTTTCTCGGTGGAAGATAAAGTCGACGATGTGACCAACTCGGAATGGCCGGTTTGGGTCTTTTCGCGCACTCCAACTGAAGAAGGGGTTTGGCTTATGCCAGATTTTAGCTTCTGGTCTTGGGACAACCGCGATAATTACATGGGGCCGTATGACCAGGTGGTGGAACGAATCAAGCGAACGGATATCCCTTGGGAAGAGAAAACGCCTCAGTTGGTCTGGCGGGGCAAGCCTAGTTTCGCGCCCAAATTGCGACGCGCGTTGATGGAGGCCGCTAGAGACAAATCGTGGGGCGACGTCAAGCAAGTTAATTGGAATACCGGTTCCAATGTTTTAAAGATGGAAGATCATTGCCACTATATGTTTATTGCGCATGTTGAAGGTAAGATCAAATTTCCTTTTTTGGGGGACTTGAGACACCAGCTGACAACTTACTATTTACTAGGTCGCTCTTATTCGGCTTCATTAAAATACCGACAGGCCTGTAATTCCGTCATTGTCGCACATAAACTCCAATTCATCCAGCATCACCACTATCTTTTAGTGGCAGATGGTCCCAACCAAAATTACGTCGAGGTCGAGCGCGATTTCAGCGACTTATCTGAAAAAATGGAGCCTCTTGTCAGTAACACCGAAACCGCTAAGCGTATCGCCAACAACAGCGTGACGACCTTCCGGGAGCGATATCTGACCCCCGCTGCCGAAGCCTGCTACTGGCGGTCATTGTTCGATGGCTACGCCAGTGTGTGGAACGGCACCGTCGAGCAATGGTCCAAAAGGCAGGACCGCGAACGAGGACTTCGATACGAATCGTTCGTGCTTCTGGAGAGCGTGAAAATGTACGAATTTGAGGCTGCTAGCACTGAACAATGGCAGGCGATATTATAATACGCCACCAGGATACGGCAGACTACATACCTGCAATAATGTTTTAATACCTGATGTCTTGCGACGAAGCCAGCATAACTGCACTCAGTTATTTTTTTTAAGGCGTTTCGGGGTCGACTTTCCCCCTTGCTACATGTGATACCACGAGAGCGATTATCTTAGTTGAACAATTTAGCGGTCATTTGATCGTATTTTCCTTGGTTAACTGCTTCCTTTATCTTTATTCGTATATCCATTCCATCTGTCAGGATTTCTTGTCGATTACCAACCCATCTGATACTAAGCCATTTACCTCAACTACCGACCTCTCCATTCACGACTCCAACTCGGTCAAAATAACCCGACAACCGAGCGGTGCCAGAATCCCACCCTGTCCAAATCAGCATATATACAATAACCAGAAAGAGAAACACAACATACCGGGGTCATCTTCAATCGATACTCAGGATCAACAATCCAACTCACCCTCCCCAGCAAAACAAACAACAAAATCTTCACCTGCAACAACGCAAACCCCTGTCCAAGACACTTCCGCTTGTGCGCATTGAACGGAATATACGTTCCCCGCACTGTCTCCCTTCGAAACCTCCCCTGCATCTCCTCAACACTCTCCCCCCACCTCTCCGCCCGGAACTCGCGCGCATCCTCACCCCATACAGCAGGGTTACTATGCACTGCCCACGCATTCCATCCCACAAACGTACCCTTCGCAATAGGAAGTTCCCCACCTAGCATTGCAGGCTGCAGCGCGACGCGGTTAATAAGCTGGCAAACAGGCGGGAAGAGACGAAGTAACTCCAAAACCACGGCCGTGAGGTACGGGAGATTGTTGATGACTTCCTGGGATGGATTTGGGTGGGTCTTGGAGGTAGCCAGGATCTCCTCCCGTAGTCGATCCTGGATATCGATTCGAGTCCCCAGCTGCCAGAACATCGAGGTGACGAGTTGCTGGGCGTTTTCGTGCGCGGTTAGGAATGTTATCTTTAGGTTATCCCGGAATTGTTTCTCAGTTATTCGGCCCGATGTATATGCTTCACCCAGCATATGTGAGACCATTTCTTCGGATTGTGGTGTGTCTTTGCTTTCGCTGCGTTTGTGGAGCATTGTCATTATCTTGGCATAGAGGCGGTCATCGAATTCATGCATTATATTGTATGCGCGTTTGCGTGATGGGAGGAGCCAGGGGAAGTGGTCTAGGTCTGGGAAGCTGAAGTACATTGGTTCAAAGAGAGTTGCTTTGATTATGGATTGAAGGGCTTCGATTCGGACGGCGCCGTCTGGTTGGCCCAGGCTCTGAGATTGGGGTCGGTTAGTTCTCAGCTGAAACATTGGATATTGGATGTTTATTTTATTGCAGAGAGGGCCAGGACGAGATCGATACTTGATACCTTCAGATCCAAGTCCAGGAAGTTCTCGCCCATCACATCCACAGCCCATTTCTGCACATCTGCCATGACCAAAATACCTTCTTTAGATCCAATCTCCTTCTGCAGGTCGATCAGAACATTCACCAGCTTCCTCGACTGCTTCAGCAAAGATGTCGTCTCGAAAACCTTCTTCTGCAACCCGGCCTTCATAATACCGGTATAAAGTCTCCAGTTCTCGCCATGCGCATTGATAATGTTATCACCCACAAGAGTCGCAATAACAGCATGAGGGATCTTAATCTGGCTCCCGGCTTTTGCGTATATTTGTTCATTACGGAACATATCAGTTAACCAATCCGGCCGTGAAACTAGAACACTCCATCGTCCAGCGAACCAGACTAACACGGCGCCGTGTTTCTCTAGTGGAGTCCTGAACCAGCGTTCGTAGATCTCATCTTGGCCCATTGGGGACCATAGTCCGAGGATCGAGACGTAGATTGGGATTCGAGGGAGATTCGGGAGGGTTCGTGGGACGTGGAGGTACCAGGTTAGGAAAAGGAGAGGTGGGAGGAGGGTCACGAGAGTGGAGAGAAGTATGAATGGTAAGGCCATGTCAGGTGTATGTTTGGTGGGTTTTGTTAAAATGGGAAGGACTGGAAAGGGGATCTGCTACTCTCTTGCTAGTACTATATAGCACCAGTTGGGGTGTCTAGTGTCTACCTAGCATTCCGTGCCCGAATGCACCTGGTGTCAGCGGAAGTCAAAACGCCCGCGCTGATGACACACTGTCCACCGTGACTGTCTTTCGTCGTATATCTGCTGTGTTTTACTGCTAGATGGCTTTGTTGATGAGTAGGGCTTGGTATATCGGGGTCGGAAGGTGGCTTTCGCTTGAAGTTTCTGTGAACTAAGAGACATATATATTCCAGAGCACCAAAGTAAAGACAGCTACAATCTTCCGGATGTCTTTCAGCGTCGGAATCTAAGAGGGCCGAGTAAGTTGCAATCCCATATATAAATAGTGGCGACATCGCCTCACATGGAGGTTATAGGATGTGGCTTGGTCGCTTTGACCAGTGGGTTCCAATTTCCAGTCCTCATTCTGAATGGGAGCGTCCTCTGGTCTCTAAGGTTACCTCTAGACGATAGCAATTTTCTATATCTACGTACTCTTGTTCCAGTTGCCAGAAGTATCCAATTATCTTCTCTTGGCCTTGAATACACGTTATGTATTGCTTTGTATGTTAGAGCAAGCCAGATATATATATATCAATATCCCAAAAGATATGTTTCCATGTGGAACTACCTGACGCGTTGAGGTCCTCATCACCTAGAAGATTTACGCAAAGCGAATCACCACCCACATAACAACAAAACTACGGAGTACTACTAGGCTTTGGACTCTAGCTTAGGACAGCTATCTTGGAAGTGTTTGTAAGATAGCCAAAAAAAAAAAAAGAAAAAAAAAATATATGCAACGACGGCTGCATGATTCGAACATGCGCCCGCGAACGGAATTGATTTCTAGCTGTTGGAGTTGTTAGTGAATGTTTTTGTGGAATGTTGTATGAAGAGAAACGTACTCAATCGCCTTAGACCACTCGGCCAAACCGCCATTCGATAAAATAATTATTCCACTAAGTGGTAGTAATGGATATTAGTAGAAAATGTACTTGGTGAAAAGTGCTCAGATGTGGATGTCAAATTGTAAAGGATATGATTGGCCGATAGGTAAGAGAGTAAACAGAAAGGAGATACAAAATTGAGTAGAATACCTCAGATATTTAGGCGGATGCTATTTAAAGGAGAAGTTTACCTTTATCGGAGATTCCAAAGAGTTGACATGTATTGTATACTAAGAGTAAAATGATATCGAAAAGGAGTGAACACATTACTTTCAAACCTGTTTCGGATGATGGTATTGTCTAGATTCCTGCCATCAGCGTAGCAGATAGCGAGAATCCGTAGACAACGGTGGCTATCATGGCGATGGCATTCAAATGGATGGCCATCGCGTGATTTCGCGCGAAGTTGCGGTTGGCCCGAAGTATCTTTGACCCATCGGAGTCAGCCTCATTGTTCTCGCTTTCTGTATGTGGAGTGGATGTTAGCTGCCTACTCAAATTTGTTTAAGATATGTATCAAGGTAAACACACCTTGTAGAGCCCTCCTGACCAACGATGTAGTGGTCGTGCGAGGCCCATATATGAACCAATTCAGACATCCGGTCAAAGCAACGACAGCAAGAGGAGCTGCACTCCATGGGTCTTGGACTAGTGACAAAATACTGTACGGTGGGTGTGTTGCTGCGGTCAGCGCTGTGAGTCCGACCTGCGTTCCAAAATAGATGGGGAAAAGGCGCTTTTGGAGAACAATAAACTCCTTCATTGGCAAGGCTTGGTAGCATATCCTTGTGTTGACAAAGCTCTGTATGTGGTTAGTCACAGGCTTGTCTCGAGAGACAAGAGACGTACCTGATAGAGCTCTGTTCCGAGGAGTGCACCATAAGAGAGAAGATGATATGGGAGGAGGTTGCCCACTGTCTTGAGAAAAGGCTCCATTCTGTCAAATTAATCTGATGGGATGACACTTGCTGTGACTGAGAGGGAAGATGGGGGAGTTGGAGAGAGTGGCAGTACGTTGGGGTGACCTGACTCCTCATGGAACCTTCCAAATTCTTGGCGGCTTACTGGTTGAGATGTCGACCAAAGAACCCAAGGCTGATTGACGTTTTAATTGTTTGTTTAGATAGTTGATATCCAAAATACACCACTTGGTTGGGTATAGCCAGTCGCATTATACATTCTACCATAAGGCAGATGCTATACGCTGACTTACTTCCTAGTATACCTATAGACTGTCGGAATTCCTTTCTATTCCAAGAGAGGTAGACATCATTCAAGTCACTTGCGGGATAAAATATCTCTGCATCACGCAGTTACACAGAGATTTGCGTTCCAAAATCAAATCCAGCAACAAACGAAACCGGATCTTCCGCCACACTCTACGGCTGGATCTCACATGCATATATCCCGGGAGGATGGATGAGCGGTCACATAGGCACCACATGGCATTGCTCTAGGTTCATGAAAGAAGTTCATTGGAATCTTTGAGCTGGAGGACGGAACTCAGCCCGAGTGTCAATTCTGTATCAATTCTGTGTCAATTCTGTACCATCTATGACGCCATTGCATAGATGACTAGTTTGTGAGGTGTTTAGCGCCATATTTCGGACTATTGGACCCATTGAGAAGATAACGTAACCTGTCCAAAACCCAGAGTAAGAAGAATGTATAAAATAACTGGTGGTTTAGGTCAAACCTCCGGAGTATATCCAACGTGAGCTCATTGTTTTTGCAGGATCAAAGTGCCAAGCCCCGACGTGTCTTATTTTTAGACTTCAGATTGGAGTTGTACTAGCTGTACTAGCCTCGCAACTGCCTATCACCATAGCCCTGTCCTTCCTGTCTTTTTGTGAACTGTTCATGGGTGATCTGGATATTGATAAAGCCCAATAGGAGATTGTCTAGTTTATTTTCAGCTTGAGCACAAGATCATGGCAATTGCCCTTGCCACGTGGGGTCCGTGTAATCAAATATAACGGGCTGAATTCGGAGACGGACGAGTCTACAAAGAAGATACTGTGACGCCACATGTGACTTGAAGTATAAGTAGGCGGAGATAATGATCCGAAGCACCGGGAGCAAGTACCACTGAGGAATAGGTAGCACGGTCTTGCCACGCCAAGGGGTCTAAAACAAGGTTGGGCTCAGACACAGTCTCTGAACCATCAAGCTGGACCAGAGCGGAGGGTTTCATGAGGTTTGCTGAATCCCAGGCTGTTGGAATGAAGGAATAGAAATAATTCAGGGCAGCGCCATGTCAATGCCACACGTCTAGGCCGGGGATAACCTCTGATTACACCACCTCGTGCGACCAACCTGAAACCTTCTCCCAGAATGCCCAATTCTGCACAAGAGCTTTGTTCCAAAGGAGTTGACAAGCTGAGAAAGGCAGGTATTTTGACAAGGCTAGCCCAAACAGCATCACGCGGCTGAAAAGGCGGAGGTTGGATCAGTGGCTTTCAGACCGACTCTCTGATCACAAATGATTCGTTGTACAGGCTGAGTGACACAGTGAGATCAGGCGTGATTTCCCCTCGTGGGCGCACGGTCTGTATAAAGCAAAGAGAGGCTGACAGCGATGGATCTCTTTTGTTTCTGAGTTTCCCCACTGAACATTTACAGATTTGAAACCTCCTGAGAAATATATATGAAAGATATGCAACACCTTCGAGCACGATAATATCTGTCAAGGTCATAGCACAACAACTTTTTGCAGGATGAAGGTGGAAGATCAGTCTAGTCCCAAGGACGAGGATATCCTCAGCCAAACACAAGATCCGTTGGAAAGAAGGAGATTACAGAACCGCCTTTCTCAAAGAAACCACCGTAAGGTATTGCCTCAAATAGAGAAGACAGATGTGAGACTGACAGAACCCAGGTCGCAAGATCAGAGAGCGCATTGCAAAACTCCAAGAGCGCGTCATCGCCAACGAACTCAGAGCTGCAGCTGCGCTTAACGGATGGGATCAGGCATATAACCCTTCCCTGTTCCAAAGATCTCACTCATCATCCTCAGAGAATAATTTTAGGTTCATCTCACGAGATGTCTCCCCTTTGATCCCAGACCAATGTACTTCGTTCATGCCATCATATCCCCTGTTCTCGCAATCATGGCCAAACGACTTCAACACATTCCCACAACATGGGTATCCTGGCGATCTATCCCAATTTAACGGGGTCAGCGAAGCAAGTCCTATATCTCCTATAACAAGTGTTTCAGCACAACCAAACAACGCCATCTCATCACCCAGCTCCGGTATCGGTGGGGATACATATCAGGAAATGATAGGTACCCCAGAGGCCTTGATACCAGACTCCATGTCTACATCGCCGCCCAATCAGCCGCTGTACTACGTTGCGACTGGTAAGTACTCTATTTCCAGCTCCATTGTATAGAAGTCATCATATGAACCAATCAACTGACAACAAGCAGAAGCCGCATTGCCTCAAATAATTCAGGTCATCAACACCATGTCTCCCGAGTACAAAGTGATTGTTCTGGTTCCTCCAGAGTCTCCGGCGTCGGCTTCTATGCCTTCTTTTCCTTCGCCAACCTCTTCTTATAGTGCTGCTCATAATGGGTCGGATCATGGTCCTCCAGCACAACAGCCTAACTCACAAAATCTGAGTTGTTTGTGTTATCCTCAGAATATGCATTCTGGACCTCCTGTGCACCCACCTTCAAGGCCATGGATTGGCGGGGGCTCATACTCCCAAATGTGTCCTTTGCACAAGGCAAATTCAGTCGCCCCTAGGGGGGCTTTTCCTGTTAGGATGCTGTGAGTCTGTTGTAGCTGTGTACAAAGATAGAGGTGACAGAACAGAGGCAGACAGTGGGACATATACAAAGAGTGGGTGTGGATAAATTGTGCATATATCATGATGTTTACTATCTAAAGAACTATATTTCTATTTTTACCGACACTGAATATTGATAGGCGGATCTCAGACAATAGCGGGCTGGAATGGCATATAAATGGGAATACTAGGCATACTTAACAATCCTAACCAGATTGAATTGGAATACATCTTCTAATTAAGATAATAAGATCAAAAATTGAAATTCTCACAAATAATCTTTATGCTTCGTGTGCCCATGTACCTGAGAGATTGACTAAAAGGGTAAAAGGGGAAGAATCAAAGTTTAGTGGAAGTACGACTGATCAAACACGGAAGATACTCGGAGATACCAGAATCGAAATCTATTGGATATTTCATTGAAGACTCGTATAATTGCTTCAAAATACTCGGCAACTTCGCACCAAACATAAGCCAGATATGTGAAAGAACGAGTGACCAGACACAGACAGAAAAAGAACGACAGAGAAAAACAAAAGACCACAAGATCAGAAGCCAAGAAACATGATCATCTCAGTCACAGTGAATTCGCCATAGTTCCCGATCACAGTTAGGGATATACCCAGTGCGAGTATGCAGCATGGCAGTATTATCACTGATCAACAGATCACCCTTCTCCCAACCAAAGCGAAGACAAACTCTATAGTCATACGTGATGCGATCCACAACCTTAACCAGACTATTATCATCGTTCTCGATTGAAACATCACAGGTCGAGAATTTGGTCTTGGTTGCGTCCCAAGGCTGATGCCAACGTAGACATGGCAGTTCAGAGACGGGATGTTTCACGATTAAGGGCAGGTTCTTCAGTTTGGCATCCCAGAATCCATCGTTATCCATAGCCCAGGTAATCTTTTCAAGACGCTCAGCAGACCACGGAAGAGGAAGGTACCGGAAAAACAGTCGTGAGCTCGCAAACAGGGTGTACCCGTTTCCCTTTGGCGCAGTGGCAGGACAAGTGAAGAACTGATAACCCGGTGGATGTTGGACTTTCTTCTTCTCGCCCGTTTCTGGGTCGGTGATCTCGTCGAACTTGAACATCCCATCGAAATGCATCGGCATGGCCTCATTCGACGTCACGTTGTTGCCCATCTTGTCAGACCGGCCGTTGTCCCGTACCTTTTGGATTATGCCGAAGCTCCACGGGAGAATAGTGCCCAGCTCTTCTCCCTTCTTAACATAGAGATCTTCCTCTAGAGTCTCAGAAAATCCACGTAGAACAATTGGTGACATACCGTTCGACAGCTGGCGGATCTTTTTCATGGGGATTGAGCGGATTGACGGCGGTGGATTGACATTATCAATATCCGCCGGACGGATGATCAGTCCGCAGGGATAGAGATGCTCAAATTTCACAGATAAGCCGTTCTCGGTCCAGTCAAAGATACTTGATCTTTCACGGAAGAAATATGGTTGTCCGTTCTTATAGACGAGGTCGTGCGTGTCGCGTACATCTTCAGCATGGACCGTACGATATGAACCATCCAGTCCGACAGCCACAGAAGAGTGCCAGGGTGTATACCCCAGCGTGCCTCGAATTTGTGGAATAAGCGAGATAGAAAGCTTTTTCTCGCCCGCGGACTCGTGAATTGACAGTCGTACGTAGTCTCTACGGTTGGCTTTGATAGCCGCTGCAAACATTTTGCCCCGAATGATCATATGTCGTGCCGTCTCAGAAATCTGTGCTTGTCGAGCGCGTTTTGACATAGATTTGGTTTCCTCCTGATGAGCTAGATCCTTGGTGAGGAATTTTATATAACCGCGATATGTCAGACATGTATCATTGTCAGTTTTGATAGCTTCCGTCGCGTCGAAGCTCGGGTCGGCAAACGTGTACATCAGTTCTCGACGGAGACAACTAGCGTGAGCTAGATAGAATGCTTTTGCAGACTCTGGAGTTGAGGATGGAAACCATGGGTGTTCGAGAAGTTCGAAAAGACGAATGAATTTGACATGATGGAGCTCTTTCTCGATAGCCATTTTTCGCAGGGTCTCTCCATAGTCCCAAACGGTTTCATCGGGGACCCCCAGGATATCTAGCAGATGTTAGTATTGAATATTTGTAAACATTTGTGATCATTTCTTTACCATTGTATACAAGCCCGTCCGAGCTGATATAGACATCGGCACCAGGAGCATATACTTCAGCGATGTTTTGGCAAAGTCCATTCAAATGAGCCAACGCCAATTCTTCACCAAAATCGGGCATAGTGCCCAAAACCTTACTGCTCGCATTAGGTGATTTGAAAGGAAATGCGGGCAAGATCATGCGAATTGGCTCTTGTATGGCGATTTGCTTCAGGACAATTGGAACGAACGACTCAAATCCCTTCCAGGAAATACCCGACTTCTCAAAGTCAACACCATAACTTTCGATGATTTTCAATACCTCCATAGCCATCACTTCATTTGCAGATATGCCATTCAAGGTCTCAGAGGCGACGGGTCTGTTGAGCACCTTATGTTCATGTTGGTTGGTACTATCGCCGTTTGAGGTAATAGCTACCGGATCGGCGCTGTCATATTCGGGAGACATAACCTTCAGCTCCACAGTCTCGATAGTGACTTTGTGATTGGACATTCCATTCTCGACAAGCTCGGAATGGTATGTAGCGGGAACAATGTCCGCACCCGGCGCCAAGGCAACCATCGTGACTCGAAGTGGAATGTATGTTTCCAAGGAAGATACTCTGGGCCAGTCACTGTTCTACCTAGAGAAGGTATGAGAAGAAAGCCTGATTAGAAAGTAACTTTATTGGTCTCCCTTGAGTCTTGATGGAATAGACAAGATTGCTGTTTTATCCAGAACCAGATGGTGCTATATAACCAGCATCAGCCAGAAACACTGACCTCGGGACAGGAAATGTAGAAAGTTCAACCCTCGCTCCGATGACTGTAACTCCTGATGCGGACTAAGAAGTCGAGTCTTAGGTTCAACCCAGGACATCCCAGGCATGAAAGGCTATCACCCTGTACAACTTGGAGGCATGATTTTCTACTCTACTTGACCTCATCAAGGTCAGCGTGGAGGAAAATTTGCTAGAGAGTCTTTTCCAACTTAGTAAAAGGCTTGAGGTTTAAAGCTGAGTCTGAGAAGCTTAACCACATAAAGCTTCACTTAATGCTCCTTTCAGCAGTGTCAGCAAAGCTGGTTTAGAACCGAAGAATGAGGTGGCTTGAAGGATATTCCCAGAGTAAATGAACAAGGCTTCAATTATCTATTGTGTCTGGTGACTAGGAGTGCATCAAAGTTCCAGATCTATTGGACAAACAGAATGATTGGGGCCTATATGTGTCAATGAGACTACTTTTCCAAGTTGGTCTCAGGATCTCCGATAACCCGCTGCCAATACTAGGAAGCGACTATAAACCCATTTGGGTAACCCTACGCACATTCAAGACACATGTAACCTATTGTGACTTGCACCGCCATAATCTGAGCGGCAAAAACAGTCTGATCCACAGGGAAGTGGAAACAGAAAATGATTCCAACAGGCATTTTGGCCGTTGATGAACCGTGAAAGTAGTGTAGCATAATAATCTCATTAGTAAGATAGAATTCCCCCAGGGCTGAGCCATCGAGGCATGTTTATTTTTGGAGGAATTCTATACCCGTGATATTACAGTGGGTTCACTAGTGGACAACCTGAGAGCTGAAAATAGTAGAAGCATATATTGTCTAATTGGACATGGTCAAGCACACGTGCTGTGATACCTCTGCTGCCGTGATACTTGTTCTGTTGTGTTCAAATTCGCTGCCACGCTAGTGCTTGGCGATATAGCAGATGAATAATAATATATCATCCGCTATCGCCGAGCCTGCAGCTCACTCTTTGAGCTCACGCCAATCATACTCCATAACTCGAGTGACGAATACCGCCATGTCATATGTTGTCAATTGACTAACAAGGTAGTATGTGGCGTCTAGGCCTGAGCTTACCCCACCTGCCGTGAGGAGTCGAACACCGCCACCCTTCATCAGACCCCCATCAAGATATCGCTTGTACAGTACAGTTGTAGCAGGTTCACCCGGAGTGTTGGAATGAGCACAGATCTCCTGAAGTCTATCAAGGGAGCTGTGGTGGGTCGTCACAGTCATTCCACCGAGTACACCCGCGGCCCCGAGTAGAAAGGCGCCGGTGCAAACCGACAGCAAAACCCTGGGCTCTGACGACACATCTGCAGGTAGGGCTGCAAATTTGCGAATCAAATCAAGCTCCGGTGTATTGTTTTCGATTAATGGTTTCAAAAATGACGGGGCGCCACCTGGGATGACTAGGATATGAAAGTCTGAAATCTGATCGAGTGCGTCCGACAAAAGCAGGTCTGCGTGGACTGTAAGCGAATTGGCGGCACGGATTGCGGGGCTGCAAGCGATGGTTTTAATTTCGAACATTCTGTCGGGGCTATCTGGATTTCTGTTATGCGAGACATGGGATAGGACTTCGATGGGGCCTGCAAAGTCGAGGATGTCTCCATCTGGAAACAGAAGAACCCCGACTTTGTAGTACTTGTTGGAGGATTCGGAAGACATAATGGCGACGGGAAATTGCGATCTGGTCTTGCAAGATGTACCGATGTAGATGTCGTTTGGCGGAAGTGTAGGAAGGATAAATAATAGTAGTGAGATTCCTAGAGCAGAGTTTGGGTTTTGCTTTGAAAGAGATTAGAAATACTCTTGAGGTGGGGTTTACCTCGGATATTCCTGACTCTGCTGACTCCAGTACAAATAACTGGCCGACGTTGTACCACTTCGGCCCTCCGGGCCCTCCGCATTCACCGATTCGACGGTTGGAGATTCTCGCAAGGTGTCCAATAATATCGTCCGTTCGTGGTGCGCTTAAAAATTAAGCTGTCTCGGATGTTAGTACAGGGAGCCCGGGGATGTAATTGTTTCAGTGATCTGGGGTATTAAGGAAGGTATAATTAGGTAAAATCATAGGAGTTTAAAGAACCCCATGGAGAGAATTATGAATTGTAAGGGGAAGGCATGAGCTTCAGGCTGCAAATAGTTTGTATAAACTGCAGTTACCTTCTCAGCACTAATAACTTTTTTGATGCCATCAATTCTCACTTTTAAGTGACCGTTAATATGTTCCATGTAGTCCTCTAGTTGTGTCTTCAACTGATCCTGATATATACCTAGATCCCGGAGCCCCAGCCCCCTGCACGACGCAACTACCCAACAAGTACTTCATTGTCATCCATGATACATCCTGGTTTTTAATGTCTACTACTCCGTATAGAGAGTGGCACTTAAGACAACCTAGGCCTGTCTTTGTATTTTCTAGATCAGATGGGCACAGGTATGAACCAGCACTGTACTTTGTAGAGAGAAGCTAAGACGGGAATGGCGTATTGCAACTGCCATGATCTAAGAAGAATAATCATGGATCTATCAGAGTGTGTCAGTGTCATCCATCGTCTCCCTTGTAATTTAAAACCGAGGTCTCAATCTCGTCAACGTTCAATATTCCAAGAAGGGTTAACGTATTTCACAAGCGAGCGGCCACCACAACCGAGTGGCCATCCCAAAAACATATAGTAAATATAATAGATTACAACTTCATTTCTCAACAACGGTTGGTTGTAAGGGGTGTTCCTTATAGCTTAATCCTTTCTAGATAATATCTAGCCTCTTTAGGAAGTTTAGAGAAGTTTTATGAATTTGTGATTGCGATATATATATTTCTAGCTTTTAGTAACGTAATTTTTGGTAATTTTTGGAATTAATATACTACAGCTGTTTACTAACTATGAAATTGATAACTATATGGTGCTAATGGGACTTATCAATGACTATCGACAAGTAATGAAATAAAATGATAATGTTGTTGTTGAGATATGAAATTGCAATTTATTATATTTACTATGTGTTTTTGGGATGGCCACTCGGTTGTGGTGGCCGCTCGCATGTGAAATACGTTAACGTATTTCACATGCGAGCTGCGCACACAAGCGAGCTGCGCAGTCCGATACCCATAGTAAATGCGATAAATTACAACTAGATATCTCAACAATGCTTGTCTTTGCGAACTTTTCCTTATAGTCTAATGCTTCTCATATAATATCTTGCTCCTTTTAGGAGTTTGGGGGAATTTAAGCAAGGTTAAGAAATTCATAACTGAGATATATAAATTCACAGGATTTAGAGACGTAATTTTCGATACCATAATAATACAGGTTTTTAATCCACTCGAAATTGATGTATACTACTAAAAATTCTTATCAACCTCTATCGGCAAACTACTGTTAATAAAAAACGTTTGGTTGTGGAGATATAAGTATAGCATACATCGATTTTACTATGGTGTTTCGACTGCGCAGCTCGCTTATATGCGCAGCTCGTATGTGAAATACGTTAGGGCTAATATGTATTAGTCATGATATAATTCCCCCGGGCCGCTCCGTCAGGTCTCTGGGGATGTGGGCTCCGCCAAGAGCTCCCCGCGATTAAGACAGTGGAGAATGATGGAGATGAATGCACGGACCGTATTGGTGGATTCATGTACATAGTTGTCGTGTAGCCTCCACCACGTCTCAAATTCCAGTAAAGCGATGATGGGTTCGCAGGACTGCTCTAGTCGGAGGAGTGGACTCTGGGTTTACATTTGCGAGTACATTGGAAAGCTACAGTGAGCACATTAGATTCGAAGTATCGCGATATAAGATTCCGTACAAAAGATTATACACATACTAAATATCCAACGGCGCATATCACACCGAAGAACACATTCAACTCGTAAAAAAGCCCCCTCTCTAGCAAATTCAAGAAAATAAATTTCCGAAAATAACAATAATCATGAGATGGACCAAGAAAAGACTCCGACACCGCGCTGAAGAAAGACAATAGAAACAAAACGCTTTTCGAGGGACAGGTCGCCTTTGATCGCTAACCCCACAGAGGCGGATGAATATACTCTGCTGCACGATCCATTATATTGGGCATTGTCCATTCACCACTACCAGAACTTTCTGGCGTAGGGGGCGGAAGAGAACCAACGCTTGGGGTCATGCCTGCCTGTCCAGGAGCAAGTGTCCCCATGGAAGTGGAAGTTGGGTTGAGGTTATGATGGTACACGGGCGTACCATTGCGTCCCATTTGGGGACGAGTGTTTGGATTCCCAAATGCAGTAAGGAGTTTTTGCAAAGCACGATGCGTTTTCGCTAGCGACTTGGCCCATTGCGTCTGTGTATCAGGGGTTATCCCAGCCGGAGAGGTTGGATCCACTGCCGGAGCGATGGGGCCTGGGGCGTTCGTGGTGCCCGTGATTGGGTCGTAAGTGCCGAGGGTTTGCGGCGAGGTCATATTGGACACATTTGCGGCCTCATTGGAATCAAAGGCTCGCTCCGTGCTTGCTCGTTGGGCAATGATGCCTTCCAGTGAATGGAGAAGATTCCACACATTCGGATCCGCTTTTGCTTCATCGATGACAGCAAGCAGGAATGCGGAGCTGATTGCACGCTGCAATGCGATCCAGGAACGAGCTGCGTGGGAGCTGATGTTGTGCATTTCAATGTAAGCTTCAACGGTCGTCATCAGATTCATCACGCAATTTTCCCGCATGCTGGCTGCGCTGGCGTCGCTCAAATCAGCCAGGGGTTTGAGCGCTGGCCGGCATAGCTCAGAAGCGAAATAAGAAGAATGTAATTTCAACACAACTCGCTCCAGATGTTGCGTAGGTGTGGAACAATTCCTTGCGTCTCGCAAGTATGGTCTTGCCTCTACCATAATTTTCTGGATGCGTTCCTTATAGGTTTGTATGCTTTCCAGACGTATCTGCGCGTGTGGGCTCAGCATGCGAATGCGGACAACCTCCAATGCAAGAGAAATGACACGGGAGAGAGTTTCAAAATAAGATAGATCGCCAGGTTTGGCGCCATCCTTATAAGCTATGTCTGGCTGGCTCACTGCAGTGGTGGAAGGCCGATCGTAGGAGAGTGAAAAATGGCTGTCTTGCCATGCCATGGACCACCTATTTATATTAGGGCCACATAATTTAGGATTATAAAAAGAAAGAAGTATCTTACCAGACATGTCGTCGACGATATCGTTCAGCTGACGAAAATCGACTTGACTCCACATGGAGACCGAGCGCCAAGCCCATGCGAAGAGTCATACCAAGTAAAACATAAGAAATTCCGGGATTCATGTTGTATGACAAAACGTTTCCTATCACCAGGAGAGTTTGAATGGCCTCGATGGTGGGCTGGGAGAGGAAATTTGTCATGCGGAGGCACTGGTAGGAGCAGCACACTGTTTGAAGTGTTAGCCAATGGCTCCAATACAATTATTAGCGTTGATCACATACCATAGACTTGCGAGGTCAATTCTCTTTCCTTGCTTCCATAATCGGACGACTGACATCCAGAGGCAAGGATAGCGAACAGTAGTCCCAGGTACGCAATGCTCACCCCGAAAGGCTTTTGTGCTTCGTCTGCATCGGCCAGGTACTCGCCACCGCTAGAGGTTCTTGTCTGCAGTAGAAGCTCCAGAGTGTTCTCAAACTCATAGATGTCCTCTAAAACGGGATAGATGGCTCCCGAAATGTCCTTGTAGTAGTAGAATAACCTATAGCAAGAAGCCACAGTTAGCGCAAACAATCTCGATCAAAAGTTTGATTTGAAAAGACTACTCACTCTCTGCACTGTTGATCGCTAGGAAGGGCGCTGCAGACGGCAGTGATATCAAATGTTGACATATCGGATGACCATAGATCAACAAATGGATAGGTCGCAGACTCATTGTCCAAACCGAGCTTGGGCAGTATTCCTCCTTCCAAAAGTGCCTGGAGTTGATCAGATCCGGACTGATTGTTCAGAATATAAGCGAGAACAGAGCGAGATCCCAAATGAACAGTGCCTTTCCCTAGAGTATTCGCAGCGTGGATACCCTCGCGTTCTGGCGAGGCACACTTGGAACGGGAACTCGCATCGCCACTCTGCACGCTGCCGGTCTCTAGGGAGGTTGGGAGGCCGTCTTCCGCCCTCTCCAACCCAACTCGAAGGGAGGAAATAGTAGACTCCATTTCTTGCAATCGGTTGCGCACATTATCCCATTCCTCGCGGGCGATTGAGATACGACCACCACCACTACCTGTAGCAGGAATGATCGGTCGGTTCAAGATCGGCTCGTGTTTCACTTCCACTGGGGTTTCTTCATACGCATATGTCGTTGAATATTCAGGCACGGGTGCCGTTGATGCGCTAGGCACAGCGCTCTCACGAAAGGCTTGCGATCGTTTTTTGGAAGGGCGTTCGTAGGAGCAAAGATCTGCATGGTCGCGCTTAACACACCCGTCACACGGCAGATTGCGATCGCATTTAACCTTGCGCGCGTGGCATGGATAGCAGGCTTTGGGCTCGCGGGCCTTGCGCTTCGTGCGGATGATCGCGTCTACCTGAGCCTGCGGTAGATCGGAGACCGCTCTGTTGGGCGCTGCGGCCATGTCGGAGGCAACGGACGGTGAGAATGAAGTTGATGGTGGGTAAGGCGACGTCATTCGGGCTCAAAAAAATTGCCTTTGGTACAATATATCCTTATTCGGTCTCGAAATTGTCGTGTGTCGGCCTATACAGCAGTGCTTCGTTCGATCATTGGCAGCATAGAAGTGGAGGATCGGAGGCGATGTGGGGGTTGGACTGTGGTTTCAACACATTGGCGACAGGTATAATTCCATAGATTCATTAGTTAAAGTAGAGCAGCATGTCAGGCCATGAAAGCTTGATTTGAAATTCCACGCGATTTGTTCAAGGAAGCTGGGATTAAGCGCCGAGACAATGCTATAGCATCACGTGACGTGGGGCATCCGAATGCGGAATAAATTTAAGCCCTACGTCAGCATTCTATGAACCATGTGAATCTCCCAAACCTCAAGATAATTTGTCAAATGAGGTATTTGACATAAAGAGTACCTGATTATTATGTATTACTTGCATCAATTTGATAGGAAAAAAGATTGCTCTTATTGGTTATGTACCTTGTTTGAACCATATGCCTGATGCATCAGGCCTTGCAGATGAGTTCCAACAGTTATATAACTAGTACCTGAGTATTCAAATATTGCTTTCTCTTCAAGACTCAGTTATAATCATTTATATTCTTATCCCCGCGCTGGATTGTTAGTAAGCCAACGGGGAAGTAAGTGTTGTCTTGAAATATATATATCGGCAGCACATCGCTAGCTCGTGATTAGTTGCAAGCCGAATAGCGCCTAGTCCTCCTTGTGCGTTATAGACCCGTTCTCGTCAGCCTCTGCTCTTCGGTTATGATAGTGACCCAATTTGCAAAATTTGCGATTTTCATTTCGCACCCAGAACTGCTTGTCCTGACTTGTGCGATGCGATTCCCTGTCGTGGTTATTGTGATCTACAGCCGACCCCTATTGACGAAACATTAACCGCCTCTTCACCCCCTATAATTAGTCTTGATAGGCTACTATTCCTCACGGTAGGACCCTAGCGCCATATATATAACTTCCATATCCACTAATACTGTCCCTATTTTCCAAGACTGTTTTCAAAACCCGTGATGTGTGCACTGGTCAAATTCGTACTCCCAGACCGAATATTAGCGGTTTATTTCATCCACGCTCCTCACAAGACCGTCCTCAAAGCTATTTTGGCGGAGACAACATCTTTATCGACATATATGATACGTTTCAACCAGATATTCAAGACGGCACATTCTCCCGAGGAGATTTATATTGGACTCTTTCAAGGTTTTAATATAATCAACAGACTATACCTATTTGAGTAATTAATATGGGTCTTGCATATATATGATTGGCTTATTGTAAGAAGATCCATGGAATGACCTCGGGATGTTCTACCACATTTAGCCGGCCCTCAGTAGAATTTTGCAGTGAATTTACATAATTAAAGGTCTATGTCGACGAGTTAGGCAACCCGTTTCAAAGAACGAAAGCCATGATATTGGGGGAATATCCCCAGGCTTATAGTAGTAAGACGCCATTGTCATTCTCATAGCTGATGGGGGAAAAATGAAAAGGATACAAAATCAAATAATGTTTCAATAGTGTCAGAGAACATTGAGATAACAATGATCTTTTATCCTATGGTGCCGGCCCGGGCATCTTTCGACGTAAGATTGGTGGAGCGTCTGTATTAGGCCCAGGACGTCCACGAGGCAGCACAGAGGCCCGTCCGCCTGGATCCAAGGGCAGCCTTCCGAGAACCAGACGTGGAGCGCTTCGAGAGTTACCTGTGTCAGGTAAAGCTGCCATGATTTCAGGGTGGCTATTCGCAATCCACATAGTATCATTGTCGATGCGCGGAGCTGACGCTATGTATAGCATTTGCCGTAGCCATGGGCCATCCAATCTGCTCACTCCCCCACTCCAACCTCGATTTATCTGACATTGGACTCTGACCCAATGCGTCATCCGCCTTCTATGAGTATCCAGTATGGTAGCTTCAAGTTCAACAACTGGGCCAGTTTGTATGCTCCCATCGGCGATTTCTACTGTGTTTAGCCCCATGACCGTGGGTTCCAAGGCTGACGAGCCCATGATATTTTGAATATCACCCTCATATAGTGTCATTATGGATGCCCCGGTGTCGTATAGGAACTCAAGCTCTGCATACCACCTTACACCGGGTATGCGAATGGCAATCAAATACTAGGAACGAATCAGCATTCATCAAACAAGGATCTTTTCTTTGGGGGGGCAAAGGGGGTGCATACCATGCGATTAAAGAATCCATCAGGCGGGGGCGCTCCAATTAGACCAATGGCTGCTAGTGATGATGTAGGTCCAGGTCCAACTAGCTATTTGCGAACCTTGTGTATCATTATGACTGTTTATTTCTAAATGGACTTCAAGGGCGACTCACTCCTTCCATCCAAAATCCGGTTTTACCAGAATGGTGCGCATTGAGAACCTCGAATTCATCCCAATTGAACGGCCTTGGCTCACACAATTGCACGCCTACAAACCAATACGTGACCAAGCCTTCATTCCAATGAAGCATTCCTCCACGGTAGGCCTGCAGCAATGCCCGGACATTATGAAGTTGATTGAACCTGTCCGAGCTTTGTAGTTCAACTTCCATGTTCCTTAGAATTTCCAAGCGTCTGAGAGCCTCCAAACTATAGTTCCCAGGTTCCGACTCGGCCAATGCACTGTGGGACATTCAATTAGCAACTCTCCTATTAAGAGCATCGATTTTTCTTACTTTCGCTTGGCCAAACGAAATTCTAACTCCTTTAGCCGGTGCTCAAATATATGAGGCATGATATTCTCTTTGATTCTCATGTGGCATCTTTCAATTTGTGCGTCAATATCACTACGCCATATCCATTAGTATGGGGCCAAATAGGTGACAGATAGACATAGATACACCGGCATGGTCAACTCACTTTCGGTGAAGATCCGGCTCGGCCATGCTCCAGCCTGAAGGCAATTCATCAGGATCTATAAGGGGATTGGATTGTCGTGGCCATGCCTTCCTTGTCGGCTGTACTGATGCGGCAGACGATTTAAATTGACCCACATAAGATGTAGCAAGATCCGGAAGCAATGTGTCAATTGTAATATTGGGGTCTCTTGGGGCGTCGCTGATCAAATCTCTCGCAGATGGCACATACTCGGCTTCTACTTCGCTGGTCTCTCCTTGTATGTCTTGGCGTTTCTTTGCTTTTGGTCTCTCGTCCGATGTCCTTCTGCGTTTCCTTCCCTGTGATGATGACCCTTGTGACATGGCCCCCGTCGGTGATTTTGAAATCTCTTTTGCCTTCCTATGGGGCATGGTTCTGGTGGGTTTTTCTCCAACTAGACGATCCTTTCTATTTGACCTAGTCACTGTCGTAGTGGTAGATCCCATATTCAATATGAAAGGCTGGATGCAGCCAGACTGTGGGAAATGTTTGACAACAATATAAAAGAATGATCTGATGTTTGACAAATAGCAAATATTAGGAGAACGGCGTGTTGTTCTTATTGCTCAAATGCAACATGGTTAACATGTAAAAACAAAGAGCTTCGAGGAGTCTACGCGCTAGGAGGTAGAGGGGCTAATCAAAGAAAAATCCATAGATGGAATAGCATGAAAACAGTATTGGTCGGTTAGAACATATCAAAGAAAAAATTGGAGCTTGAACGAGAGAGAAAAATATAGTTCTTGCAGCACGAAACAAAGGAATATGATCCTTGCTTCAGCTAAACTATGCCCCTGATTATTCGCTTTGAATCTTAGGGAAGTTTTTTGCGAGAAATATTCTGATAAGGAAAATGAGGCTTGTTTGGACGATGCAATCCTTTTGATACTATTTTGATTCGCTTGGCATAGAGTTTGTTCATCAAAACTGACCTTTGTTTTTAGTCAATATCTGTTTTTTGCTTCTTTTTTTTTGCTTTTTAAAATGCAAATTGTGATCATCTTGCTGATAAAAACAAAACTGGTAACGTATTTCACATGCGAGCGGCCACCACAAGCGAGTGGCCACCTCACCCAATTGTATTAATTTTAAATGCATTTATCTCAACCAAAACGCCATTAAATTAAATCCACTAAAATCATCTATCTAGCTGGACATCTATTAAATCTATGTCCAGTCTGTCTGCATCCACTACACCTTGGTGCAGCCCGCGTATGTGGTTCCAAAGCCGGTTCTTCATGTATACCGATACCAGGTAGAGGTGTATCATCTGCTTCTACCGGTGTAGTAAGCAATTGAGAAGCTTCCTGTACTGACAGGCCTACTTCTGCCTGTATCTGCCTCCGGGACCTGGTTTGCTTTTGCTTCTTCTTCTCGTTTTCCGCGCGTAATTCCTTGTTTTCTTTCGCTAGTAAGATAGCGCCTTGCATTGTAAGACGGAAGCCTTTTACAAGCTGGTTTAATGCACGATCCGATGGGCTAGGCGGACTTCGAGATCTTGTACGAAGTAAAGCTTTAATTGAAGAAGCTTGTCGGCGCAGTTCTTTCTCTGTAAATGGAGTTTTTGGGGTGAAATTCCGGCTTGATTCGCTCCCCCGGCTTGGGGGGGGGGTAGGTGTTCGAAGACGAATATTCAGCTTTGAGATCACCCGGTCGGGTGCAAAGGGTATTAAACCAGCTGCTCCGAAGCTATTTTTAATAGTCTCCGATTTAAAAGCTTCAATTCGTGAAAGGGGGTACACTTCTAGGAAGTCAAGTTTATCAATATGGTTGGTCCCACTCCGCATTTTTGTCTTAACTCTCCGGCCGTAAGAGCGTTTTAACACCGCAAAACAACCAATATCAAGAGGTTGTAAAATATAAGATGAATACGCTGGTATACAAATTGGTATTATATTGTTTTGCTCGTAAATTTCATCAAATTTCGGTGTTAAATGACTTCCGTGGCCGTTAAGAATCAAAAGCCGGTATACTCCTTTTGTACGCGAAGAAGTAGAAGGAATAAAGAGCTTTTGAAGCCAGCGAAGTCCAATTTTATCAGAAGTCCAGCCGTTAGGACTAACTTCAAAGCGCCAATCCTCCGGGAGGTTATCGAACCAAGATTCAATAAAGACTTTGCCTTTGAAAATCATATACGGAGGAAGAACCTAACCAGAAGTATTTATACACTCAATAACAGTTACCCACTCTCGATTTCCAGGTTGTAAAAGTGATCGCCGACCGTAGTATTCACTCCTTATAATAACCTTCGTAGTTGCAATTACTCCTATTGCAAAACCAGTCTCATCGAAGTTATAGATATTATCGGGGTCGATTCCGAATTGAAGGATTGTTTTTTCAACCAGATTAAACCACTCCCCAATGATTTTAGGATCTTTATATTTCGCGCGCTCGTAGTTATATCGTTTCGAGAATCGAGAGGAGATAGAAGGATATCTTTTCACGAAGTTTGTAACCTAGTTGTGGCCGACCGAAGGAACTGGTATAGTTCCACGCTTTTCGAGAAGAAGATTCGCTATTTCTCGTACAGTAGTAGACCGGGGAGCCGCTCCACGAGAATCAAGAGAGAAAATCTATTTTTGAAGAGATTGCTCTTCAATTTCAGTCAATTTAGAGCAATTGGCGCGTGAAATCGCGCGGTGTTGTATCCTATCAAGTCGGCGGCGGAGAGTTGTACGTGGGACATTGAATGTACGTGCAGCAAGAGCAATACAGCCGATATCTCCATTTTTAAAAGCCTGGATAGCTAATAAAAGCCTACCCTCTTGCTCTATTGAATTACTAGAGCTTTTAGAGCGAATTGGTGGCATGGTAGGTGGTTGAAGAGGAAGTGCTTTAATTAATTGACGCGTTTTTTGGTGGGGTGGCCACTCGCTTGTGGTGGCCGCTCGCATGTGAAATACGTTAAACCGTAGGAAGGTTACGTATGATATCGCGAATGCAGTAGATGGCCAAAAGCTTGGGAATTGAGGACAGCAGCTGTGTCCTGAAATTGTTTTGAGCCATAGGGTAAGACAGCAATACGAACATCGAAAAGATCGGGACTCGAAGCCACCTAGGGCTGGCACAGCTGAACTGCTGGGCTTTCTGTGTACTTTGTATATCCAGGCCACTGGGCATCTCCCCAGATGCCCCACCGGACTAATGGACGAGTCGTGGGGGCACGGCCACAATATCAATAAGTAATTTTTTCGTAGTGACGAGGATGGCTGAGCGAAGAATGTATAATTATGTCGAAATTGACAGTCGACAATCAATTCCAGAATGGTTGATTCAGAATGGAACAATATATCTTGTGGCCTAAGGTGTTAATAGTGGGCCTGAGGCCTGGGCGGGATGGAAGATTCCCAGCCCCGGCTGACCAATTGAGAGTGACGTACCGCCCGAGTAGCTGCCAGTGTTTAGATCTCTCATCTAACTCAGCTCCGTTGATACACATCGTTTTGCTTCCCTGCATCTCAGACAAACGCCTGATTCTAATATCAGATCTGCTCTTAACCCTTCTGTCGGCCTCCTCTTCCAGATTCGATCACCAAAGTCTGCCAACCAAGCTTAACCATGCAGGGTAACCCCGCGGAGCACGATGAGGCTGTGTCTCAATTTTGTGCTATGACTGGAACTCAGGCTTCAGAGGTAAGCTTATCGCTGTAATTATAAATATTACTGTCGCTAAATTTCAGCGCGTTATTGTCTAGGCTCAGGAATATCTCGCTGCCAATGGGTGGGACATCGAAGCTGCCGTCACAGAGTTCTTTGCAGAACAGGACGAAGCTATGCAAGATACCACTGCTGGTGGTAAACCACAACTAGGCACGGAGGGTAGTTCTGGAGCTTCTGCGGGAGGTAGAACTCTCGGGGGAGGTGTCATACCAGCTTCATCCTCTGCCGCAGCTGAGTCCTCATCATCCGCCCGAGGCGCTGCGCCCAAGAAGAAGAAGTTTGCGACACTAGGAGACTTTGCTTCGGGAGGAGGTGGCGGTGGTGGTGATTCGTCCGATGGAAACGACACCGACGAGCATGATTTCTTTACAGGCGGTGAAAAGTCTGGATTAGCTGTGCAGAACCCGGATGATTTGAAAAGAAAGATCCTCGAAAAGGCTCGCAAGTAAGTTCTTTAGAGATTGCTAGAGATACTAAACCCCACTAACATTCAAACTTCAACAGGGCGCAGCCTCCTCCTTCGGACGACCCCGAGCCAAGGGAATCACACTTCACCGGCACTGCCCGCACACTCGGTGGTGACGATACGCCAAGTCAGGTTATTGAAAACCCCTCGGCACCTACTCAACAGCGTTCTCAGCGTGTTCAGCGGACTCTCCACTTCTGGGCCGATGGATTCTCCGTTGATGATGGTGAATTGTTTCGATCAGACGACCCCCGCAATGCAGAGATCCTGGACGGTATCCGCCAGGGCCGCGCTCCTCTTTCCATCATGAATGTTCAACCCGGGCAGGAGGTCGACGTGGAACTCAAGCAGCATGAAGAAAAGTACACCAAGCCTAAGCCTAAGTACAAGCCTTTCTCGGGTTCTGGACAGCGCCTCGGTAGCCCGACGCCCGGCGTACGGAGCCAGGCTCCCACACCTTCATCCTCTATAGCTGGACCATCGACCCAGGAGCCAGCGAAGCCTGACGTGGACGAGTCAAAACCGACGGTTACTCTACAAATCCGCCTAGGAGATGGTACGCGGTTAACATCCCGGTTCAACACAACTGCCACCATTGGCGATGTCTATGCGTTCGTTGCTGCTGCTACCCCGGATGGCGCAAACCGCGCATGGGTCTTGATGACGACTTTCCCCAGCACGGAACTCAAGGACTGGGATGCCGTTCTCGGCGACATGCCCGATTTCAAACGTGGAGGTGTTGTTGTCCAGAAGTGGCAGTAAAATGCACCAATAATATTCTCTTGTGTCTTGAGAATTTCCTCTACGGAGTGGTTCCAAAAAGCGAATAACAGCAGGGGCAGTGGGAAGGTTTGTATGGTCGAACGTTACATGACATATCTGATACCAAAAGATGACCTGGATATTTGCTACGTAGAGCAATGGCGTCTGACCAAACAAGCTCCAAATTCAAAATAAGTGGCCAATCAGACCTTTCATATTCCAAGGTTGTCATTACCAGCGTGCTGTAGACCGAAGGTTAGTCAGAAGGCGATTGATAAGCGCCCGAATATCGGCCTCCCCACTCTTGAAATCCGTCATTGCGCTTTCAGTTGCTACAATCTTTTTCCCCCCTCAAATTAAGCATACACTATCCAAATATGCCTCTCACTGGGGTAAATAATGTTGTACTGGTATGTTCACGTTCAATCCATTAGAAGCCTGCGGCGCGAAAAAAAGAACGCCATGCCCCTCATAGCTTATCGATAACGAGGGCACTGCTAGAAGCCATGAGCTAGAACATTGAAGCCTCAATTTCTTGGACAAGACTGACAAGAGATTCTTGAATATTAGGTCCTTTCCGGCAAAGGAGGTGTGGGAAAATCCTCCGTCACCCTCCAGCTCGCCCTCGCGCTTTCGCTCCAAGGCAAATCTGTCGGAATCCTTGATATCGACCTTACGGGACCCTCAATGCCACGCCTAGTCGGACTCGAAGATGCAAAGATCACACAAGCGCCAGGCGGATGGATGCCAGTACCAGTCCACGGGGCTGAATCTGTAGCTGAAGCCGACGCCTCAGCGCCCTCAACACAACTCCAACGCGGTTCCCTCCGCTGCATGTCCCTTGGCTTCCTTCTCCGCGATCGTGGAGACGCCGTAATCTGGCGTGGTCCGAAGAAAACGGCTATGATCCGCCAATTCCTCTCGGATGTCTTCTGGGGCCCGACAGATTATCTTCTCATCGATACGCCCCCCGGAACGAGTGACGAGCACATTGCGCTGGCTGAGCAGCTTCTCACCCTCTCCACCACAGACGCTGCGGCAGCTGCGCAGGTAGGATTACCTCGACTTGCTGGTGCAGTCCTTGTTACGACGCCGCAGGCTGTGGCGACCTCGGACGTCCGCAAAGAGGCGAACTTCTGCGTTAAGACTAATATTCCTGTGCTTGGGGTTATCGAGAATATGTCTGGGTATTCTTGCCCCTGCTGTGGGGAGGTTAGTAATCTATTCTCCAGTGGAGGAGGACAGGTGATGGCCCAGGAATTAAGTCTCCCATTTATGGGTAGCGTGCCTATTGATGTGAAATTCGGAGAATTGGTTGAAGGAAAGATGGAGGCTGAGGATAGTGACGAGGAGGATGACGAGAGTCCACAGAGTCAGCCACAAGATACTCCCGCTGAGCCCGATGATCGGCCGCTTGTCGAACGATACCGGGACACCTGGTCTTATCCTCGATTTGAGAGATTTGCGAAGACTCTTATAAGCGGCATTGAGGGCCCGACAGCCGTATAGCAATGTTTTTCATGCTGAAAAGCTACCCTTGATTACCTGTTTTCTAGCGACATTCATCTTTGCTTTTATTTGCATTGCATCATAGAAGGTCTTGGCAATTTTTGAATGTCAAACCATTCAATTAATGAATCAGTCTATACAATGGGCCCAAGCGTACAGTAGCTTTTCTCTCAGGGAATCGTCTTCTTGCAAGAGATATCCGATTTCTCCCTGACTCCCGAGGTCCAAATCGCCAAGCTCGTTAAACATATCCGCTTTCTCTCGAGAAGCGAGACCGATATTAAAGCCAGGTTATTTACCACGCACCGGTGTCCTCCCAAGGTATCGAGTGCACACAGAGCCAAGGCGATAGTGACTTCTAATTAACCAAAGATAGAGTATAAAGTGCCTATATACGATCATCCGGACAATCAGAAGTCTCCTGCGTGGTATTCTAGTATGTGGACTTAGTAATTCTAGATGCCAATTCACAGTGCCAATTCCGGAGCGAAAACTCTTTCGGGGTACTAGGCACACGACCACTGGGCACACGACACACTGAGCACGCGACCGGCCAAGCTGCCTAGAGATTGTACCAAGACATTACATGGCGCCAAGGCTAGGCTGTGCAACGTTGAACCCACGCCAAGGTCTATTAAGCGTGCAATCGTATCTCAGTATCTAGGACCGTGCAAATTTACCCAACGTGAGTGGCGAGGGCAATTCACGGAGAGTTTGTCATCGCTGGAAAAACTTCCTTGGTCCGCTCTTGGCGCACTTGGCACCCGCTCCCAAGACTTGCCGCCAACTCCCGCCATCTATGGTTATTGGAAAAAACCGTCCTGAGGCCAACCAATGAACGTGATTTCAAGCGCACGCTGTCAATGATATCTGTATTATGGGCTAATATTGCAATCAGCACGGAACGACCAGGCCCAGTCAAGGAAATGGCTCACCACAAACTGCACTTGGCAGCGGTTGTGGCAACTTTGCAGTTGGTATAAGGAGAGCATGAATCCTGGACATTGATTGACAGCAGAATCAATTCCATCTCTCGTGCTCCAGTTCTCCCTTGTTGTGTGGTCAAACACAACCCCTTCGCCGCCATGATTCCGCTAGCGACCGCGAAGTATGACTGGATCCTGGCTATTACCACCATCGCTTTCGTCTTGAGTTCTTTCGGTAACGGTGCCAACGATGTCGCCAACGCCTATGCCACCTCCGTCGCGGCCCGGACCCTCAACATGGCCACGGCCGGTGTCCTGGCTATCTTCACCGAATTCATCGGCGCTGTAGCCATGGGCAAACGAGTCACTGATACAATCAAGAACGGAATTATCGACATCAACCGTTACAATGGCAAGCCTGGTGCCCTCATGCTGGCCATGGGCTGTGCTGAGATTGGCAGCGCTTCATGGTTGATCTTCGCAACTAAAATGGGCTGGCCTGTCTCGACCACGCAGACTATCGTCGGCTCCCTCATCGGTGTTGGTTTTGCGTCCCAGTCTGATATCAACTGGGCCTGGTCTGAGGGCAGTGTCTCCCAGGTTGCTGCATCTTGGGGTATTGCCCCTCTCGTGGCAGGTGGATTCTCGGCTATCATCTTCGGCACTGTCAAGTACAGTGTCCTTGAACGCGCAGATCCCTTCTTGTGGGGTATGCGTTTGATTCCATGGTACCTTGCCCTGACAGGTGCCATCCTAGCCCTTTTCATCGTCATCGAAGCCCCTACCGCCCCCTCATTGGAAGAGTTTGGCGGTGGCAAGGCAGCTGGCATTATCCTCGGTGTGTTCTTCGGCTGCCTCCTCATCGGCTATGTTTTCTTCATACCCTATTTCAAGCGCCGTATCGTCCATAACGATGCCCGCGTCAGATTCTACCACATCCCCCTTGGCCCTTTACTGCTGAAGCCAAACCCCCCTCTCTACTTCCCCGGAAAGGGCGAAGTTTCTGTGATCAACTACTATGAGGATGCTTACGGCGAAGTGCGCGCTGGCCAAGCAGACGCAGCCAAGGAAAACGTTACATCAAACGCAGACTCTATCATGCCCACTCCAGAAATCAAAGCAATGTCCGATCCAGCAAAGTTTGGAGATGATGAGGAGAAGGTCGCACCGGTACCTCAGCCACGCAAGAAGCACCTCGAGCCAACTGAACGTTTCATCGACCCCGTCCGAGAGCTGTCCTGGGTCAATCCCCAAAAAGCCTATGGTTATCTGAAATACATTCTCTTTCAGGGTGTGACCCGTGATGTGGTTAGCCACGACTCGCCCGAGCTGCGCGCAATCCACGCACGTGCCCACCGCTATGACGACCGCGTCGAACATCTCTGGACCTACTGCCAGGTTGTCTCGGCAATGATGATGTCAATTGCACACGGTTCCAATGATGTGGCCAACGCTGTTGGACCCTGGGCTGCTGTTTACAGCACCTACCATGCTGGCGTTGTCGAAACTAAGTCACCTACCCCCACTTGGTTCTTGGTTGTTGCTGGTCTCCTGCTCGGTCTTGGATTCTGGTTCTTCGGTTACCACATTGTTCGTGCCCTTGGAAACAAGATCACACAGATGTCCCCCACTCGTGGCTTCAGTGTTGAGCTTGGAGCAGCTATCTCTGTACTTTTGGCTTCAAGACTTGGCCTGCCCGTTTCCACAACTCAGTGCTTGACTGGCGCCTCTTTGGGCGTTGCTCTCATGAATTATGATCTTGGCGCTGTCAACTGGAAGCAACTTTGCTTCATCTTCGGTGGCTGGGTCTTGACTTTGCCTTGTGCCGGATTGGTTTCGGGACTGCTTTGCGTGATGGCATTGAATGCTCCTCACTTGTAAAAAGGGGATTGATGAACACCCCTCATTGGCAGGACGCTTGAATATTCAGGCAGGAAAATGTATATCTTAATGCCCTGTAAAAATATATGTATATATGAACTTGTTGAAATAAAATATCTATCTCATTCTAAGTTATGTATTATTAAAGCCGAGAAACTTAAACCCGAAAAAGATAAATCCAAGAAAGAAAAGACCATTTATCGCCGGACATGTTCAGGTGTGTACATAGGCGTTATGAAATCTTAAATCGTCACGATCCAGTCGAACGACGGGTATCCTTCTAAACATGCAACAGAGTATGATGCTCTATTTGGTGCGCTTGTAAATTTTGCTAAGGAATGACTCGAAGACTTCCTTCTTCAGACCCTTAGACTCATCGACTGCCGCAATCTTCTCACGGAGCTCGCCAACAGCCTTCTCCTCGTACTCCTTGTACACCTTCTCCAGCTGAAGCTCGTTGAAAAGGACCTTGACCTTGGCCTCCTCAGCAGCATCCTTGCGGCCGTAGGAAGCATCGAGGAGCTTGCGCTGCTCAGGAGTGCAGCGCTTGATGGCCTGATTAACGAGCCAAGAGCACTTGTTGTCCTGAATATCGGTACCGATCTTGCCAATGACGGATGGGTCACCGAAGTTGTCGAGGTAGTCATCCTGAATCTGGAAGTATTGGCCCAGAGGAATGAGGATGTCGTGGACCTGCTTGAGGTTTTCCTCGGTAGCAAGCTGCAGGTACATAAGAGCCAAAGCGACGGGCAGGTAGAAGCTGTAGTAGGCCGTCTTGTAGGTGACAATGAACATGTACTTCTCCATGGAGAAGTTGTCGAGGTTGACGTCGTCCTCAGGGGCGGTGATGAGGTCACAAAGCTGACCCAATTCTGTCTGCCAGGTGGTCTCGTGGAAGAGCTCAACAATGTCAATGTAGGCGGGGTGCGAGCGGAAGCGCTGTTTAAGGATAAGGTAGATAGACGCCTCAAGCATGAAGGCATCGTTGATGGCGATCTGGCCAACACCCTCGTGGCGGTACCAACAAGGCTGGCCACGGCGGGTGATAGAGGAATCCATCATGTCGTCACTAACCAGGAAGAAAGCCTGGAGCAACTCAGTCAACCAACCCAGGATGCTGAGGTGCTCGAATTGCTCCTCGGTCAGGGGCTGCTTCAGGAGAGCAAGGCCGGTATCAGGGACCGAGAGGCCACGGTTGAGCTTACCGCCGGGAACATTGACATTGAGGGACTATAGAGCACAATTAATGGTGTCAGGCATGATACTTCATTGAGAACAGTCAATCAAGAGGTGGAGGGTTGCTCACTTTCTCGAACCACTCAAGTGCATTGTCGGGGAGGTTGTAGCGCTTTGCGTGGGCAAGGATATCCTGAGCCAACGAGGGGAAAATCGCCTCAAAGTCGGCACGCTTGGTAGTAGAAGCCATGATGACAAAGTGTGTGATGAAAACGTCAATAACCTGACAAGAACGAAAACATGCCCAACAATAAAAGGACTATTTCCCCGCGGAGGGACCGTTTGCTAGGTTTGCCTGTTTGTCTTGTTTGTCTTGTTTGTTCTCATGTTACTGTTTCTCCAGGCGCAACCCGAGGACGACGTGGGTTCTGCAAGGCCATTGGATGATCTTCAGCTTGTTTTAGAATCTGCGAGCGTTAGTAGCGTCTTCAGAACATTTGCTACTCTTCTTATCGATCTTCCGAGTTACGTGTCTTACTCTTTCATTCGTATCAACAACGCGACAAGGCCCAAGCCTTTGAACTACACCGGATCGTCGCGAGTTACGATTGAACCGCCCTGGTGAGCTCTTTTTAACTAAAAGAAGCATGATATAGAATTTTTGCCATAAAATTCGATACCCTCAGAGCTGCATTGGCGCCAGAACAGCTGTCTTTCAACGTTCTGCTCGGATCACTTCCGACTACTACATACTTGCGACAAGGACGCCCGCCATGGAAGAACCTACAGATGACGGAATCCAGGAGCTTATGTACCAGCTGGAAAATGCTGCAATTAAATGCTCCGAGCGATGCCTCTATCAATCATCAAAATGGTATGTCTACTTCGCTTCATTCGTACAGGCCTGATGTGCTAATCATGTTAATGAACTCAGGGCCGCTGAAATGCTTGATTCCATCCGGCCTTTAGATCATGAAGACACCGATCTCGAGTCTCCAATGGAGATTTCAGATCCTCCTCCGCCGGCGACAAATCCTTACATCAAACAGCGCGACCCGGCAGAAGCTGCCCTTGAAAGGCAAGAGTCCTACAAATACGTGTTGGCCAAATCATACTTCGATACCCGGGAATATGACCGATGTGCGGCCGTCTTCCTCCCTCCGACTACACCACCCGTTCCTTTGTCCGTTACCTCGCCTAATTCCAAGCCGAGATCATCGCGGACTTCACACAAGGGCAAAGACAAAGCTTCACCGTTCCAAAGCTCCAAGGCCCAAAAGACCCAAATACAGCAAAATCCATATCCAAAACTCAGTCAAAAATCGCTCTTCCTCGCTCTGTACGCAAAATATTTAGCCGGAGAGAAGCGCAAGGAAGAGGAAACGGAGATGGTGTTAGGTCCAGCAGATGGTGGGATGGCCGTCAATCGAGAGCTGTCGGGTCTCGCCAGAGGCTTGGATGGATGGTTATCTGAACGAACTGCACAGGGGCTGGATGATCGAGGACAGGGATGGCTAGAGTATCTCTATGCTGTTGTCCTGTTAAAAGGACGGAATGAAGAGCTGGCGAAGAAATGGCTCATCCGTTGTGTGCATCAAAACCCCTACCATTGGGGTGCCTGGCAGGAACTGAACGATCTCTTGGGCAGCACAGAGGATGTAAGTAATTCCCATCAAGATTACTTCGTCGGTACTAACTTTGCCAGTTGAAACAAATCCTCGAACTTTTGCCGCAGAATGTTATGAGCCTAATATTCTACGTATACTGCAGTCAGGAGCTGTACCAGGCCACGGAAGACACATACAGGTCACTTTCCGAGCTTCAGTCAATGTTCCCAGAAAGCGCATTCCTAAAAACACAGCACGCACTGTTATTATATCACTCGAAAGGTAACTATCCCAGTTCCAGCGCTACATGCGATTGATCTGATCTAATATCATTCAGACTTCGAAGAGGCATCCCATATTTTCGAAGGAATTCTTGCCACATCGCCCCACCGCTTAGATAGTCTAGACCACTATTCAAACATCCTTTATGTGATGGACCAGCGACCTCAACTTGCGTTCGTTGCGCAGGTTGCAACAGCCACCGACAAGTTCCGCCCCGAAACCTGCTGTGTCGTGGGTAACTACTATTCATTGAAATCCGAGCATGAGAAGGCAGTAATGTACTTCCGACGTGCACTCACCCTCGACCGGAACTTCTTATCTGCATGGACCCTCATGGGCCATGAATATATCGAGATGAAAAATACTCACACCGCCATTGAGTCGTACCGACGAGCCGTCGATGTCAATCGCAAGGACTATCGCGCCTGGTATGGTCTCGGACAGGCCTACGAAGTCCTAGATATGTCTTTCTACGCCCTGTTTTACTACCAGCGCGCCGCAGCACTACGACCGTACGATCCAAAGATGTGGCAGGCCGTCGGATCATGCTACGCAAAGATGGGCCGCGTGGAACAGAGTATTCAAGCTCTGAAGCGTGCACTGGTGGCTGGGTCATTACAGCTAGATGATGGCGGGCAACCGGGCACCGGCGCAAGCCCTGGCTCTGGGAGTCGCAAGATCCTTGATCCGGAAACCTTGCACCAAATCGCGACACTGTACGAGCGTCTCGGCGACGAAGAGGAGGCCGCTGCGTACATGGAACTCACTCTCCAACAGGAGTCCGGTGCCCCTGTCAATGAAAGCGTTGACAATGACGATGACTCTTCCTCGGAGCGAGGTACCCAAAGTGATGCCGAGATCGAGCATTCAGGGGACGAAGACCCTGATATATCGCAACGACATCGCCGTAATCGCAAGTCTCGCGCAAAGACTGAATCATTTGCTATGCAGAATGATGATTCCATTGTCAGTGATACATGGAACGGCACTGGTGTTACGGCAACTACATCCAAGGCGCGGTTGTGGTTGGCACAATATGCGTCACGGAACGGTGATCTTGACCGTGCGGACCAGCTAGCGAGCGAGTTGTGCCAGGATGGAATTGAAGTAGAAGAGGCCAAGGCTTTGATGAGGGACGTGCGGGCGAGAAGGGAGGGTGCGAGCTAATTGCATCGATTAATTGAGATATGTATGGATTATCATGACAACGAAACATTTTACTGCTCTTTATGAATAATAGCTACGATTGTAACGTTTATTATCACCTTGTAAAAGCAAGGCCAGCATTAGGGGTTGCTGTTTCTATATATTGAAAGTGTTCATTCGTAAAAAGCAAAGGGTATCAACTATTTAAAACACGAGCTAGTGGTTCGATCGAGGTATACTCGCCCAACACAGCAATGGCTGTTTCATCAAAGGTCATCTCAATCCATGGGGTCCTTGGTTTAGAGCACCAAGGCTCTGATGTCTCCTTTGTCATATCATAACAAGGTTGACTCGATTCGAAGCTGACCTTTCCGACGGAGAAACTATCAGACCGCTTGCTGAGACTCCATGAAAGACAGCCATAAAAGTGATCACGTCCAATACCCGTCCACGTATCACGTAGGCAGAAACGAAGATCATCGGGGCATAGATCCCGTTCCAACATGCTCGAGCCCAAAAAGAATATGCTTCCCGTGGAGGGGATTCGAATTGTTACAGTATAGGCGAAACTAGAAAGGGTTGTGGCGAAACGATGCATTTCTTTGCCTAGGTGAGTTGTTTTGGGATCAAACAGGACAATGCCAAATCGTGTCCCCTGTGAGGCGGCATATGGGTTTGATTGTTGGAGGGAAGAAGCAGATTCATCAGAGCAGAGACACCGAACAAATTCGTCCAAATCACAAGATTGGCTATCGTTGTTGGGCTGTTCATTAATTTGGGGAAGTGTAAAGCTTCCCAGTGAGGTTTCAGGCGTCCATATAGGAATAGTTGTTAAAGGAGATTCGGGTGACATCTTGCGTTTCTGTTTCGATAATGTAGGCGCCAGCAGCTTTCCCGAAAGCCGTTTCTGCGCCTCGTGTAATTTTGGAGAGTGGTCTTCGTGTGGGGAGATGAAACTGGCTGGCCGCATAGGACGCAAAAAGCCCGAAGATTCCTGCGATGCGAGCTTTCCATCCTTCTGGCTGGAAGAGTGTTGACGAGACGACAGGTTCTCGTTGTCCACGAGTATATTCGTCTCAAGAATAGGGCTTTGATCTTCCATGGGAAGTATTTTCTCATCAATATAGACTAGAGGGGACATTGAATGGTCATTGTATGATCGATCATGGCTGTCTTTTGCTATTGGATCTCCACGCAACCCTTCCATCAATGGACATGCATCCATACAACTTTCTCCAGAAGTAGTGGTGGCTTGTGGGACCTGGGATGGTGGGGAAGTTGTCTCCTCGTCGGTGTCAGAACAAGTCGCTTCTGGGCTCGGAGACCGCACAATGTACTGATTAAGTCCACTCGCAGCCTTGAGGCGCTTGGACCATCTCTCGCGTTCTTCCAGTTCATCCACAGGCATAGCCCGGGCATCTTCTGCCGAAAGCTGTAGTTCCTGGAAAGACGTACATTCTTCTAGAGTCCGGTCCGAGTGTATCTTCAAAATCCGAGGAAATCGAAGTGTGAAGTATCTCGCGCCAGAGGGTTTTTCAAATCCACTGCCCAGCATCTCGACGATGAACGGATGCTTGAACAATGTGGTTGCAATGGGAAGGTTGCTGTGCCCATACTCAACGTGAAAGCCTTCGAATGATTCCGGTTGACGTGCAGAGAACTCGCCTAATTGATTAAGCGTTTGCATGGTCTGGATGCTCATGCAGTGACGGTTGATCACATCAACCACTAGGAAACGCGGCAAAGCATCGTCTTCTGTGACACGCTCTTTATTCAGAAGACAGCCAACAAAAAAGTGAGTCCATTTCAGCTTTTTTATTTGTCTCAGATCAGGAGCGTCTCGCGTGTTGTAGTTAGCTCCAATCAACATAAGGTCTAACGTATCTCCAAGACCGGGTATATAATCTTTCTTGAGTTTGATCCATCGGCCAAACATGGGATCCAACCCAGTGGAGTATATCGGAAAATAAGGCTCATCAGAAGCCTTCAAGACATACCCCTCCCAACGTTGAGTAATCGCTTTCTCAAAAGTCCTTTCGAGCCGGTTATAGCTATCGACCCGGTTGAAGTCTAAAACCTCCTGATGGGCCAAATCTGCCCGGCCCGAGATGGGTTTCACCACTTTCTGTAAAAGTAGTCGTCTTTCCCGATGAGGCTTGGCAAGGCATACGTCGTTATCAAGGAGAAGAATGTCAAAGAACATTATCATCAAATGCTCGAACGGTTGCGGCCTGTATCAATCAGCAAATAGATCACTAGTTTAAAAGGAAGCGTCATTTACGGAGAATCATTATCAACACCAATCAAAACGCCAGATCGTGGAATAAACCTCCGAATTTTGTTGAAGTCCATAATATCACAATTCTGGTCATTCCATACAAGTAGTTCTCCCTCAACGATACAGCGGTGCGCAAACTTGCAGTCAGGCAATCCGGTACGAAGCGACTCTTCTATCACAGGTATGATTTTATCTTTATCTGCAGTCGAGTCCTTGCCACTTTTGGAGAAGATCTGAATGGGGGTATACTTGTTAGAAAGATCAACGTGGATCTGACAGTATTCACCATCGTATTTCCGTTCAATGCTCATTCGACGACCGTTGGCCATTTGGTGACAATGTTTGATACTCCGGGCTTTGTAATAATCAGGTCTTCCCACCTTGATACCAGGGCGAGGGCGCATATGTTGTAGTGCAATGACGCTGAGGCTTTTAGCTGCTTGGGGATCAGGATTTAGGGGAAAGTGATTTATCGGGTCGGAAGCGAGCATCTCTAGTGCTCCTTCAAAAGAGTTCTGAAGCTGGAGTAGTTGCGGCAGAAGAAAGTGAAATTTCTTCAGGGTATACTTTTCTGGAAACACGATGGGGGAGTAGCTTTTGAGAATCATGCGAGTGAGCCATTTGGCATCACGGCTACTTGATCGACGGTACAGTTTTGATAGAGTTTCATCAACGTCCACAGCTGTACGATTCCGACGGGCCAGAGGGCCGGAGAAGCGGCAACGTGATGCAATCATAGCCATGGCGCGATCGATTTCTTCAACCGATAACTCCTGGCCAGCCGGAATGTAATTCTCGGCTTGCCGCATGACAATTTCAACACATCCTCCGAGATCAAGGCCACCAGGAATTTGCCATCGATTGAGTTCAGAAAGTCGTGACGATCCCAAACCCAAGCAGCGGCCGATGACTCTCGATAGCTGCGTGGCTTGCAGCCAGTATACTCGGTCCGTTCGCTTTTCGGGGAACATACACGAAAGCAACGCGACCCTGTCTGTCTCGGCATAATGGATGGTCCTTTCATGCCGAGAGAACCATTGGGTGACTGTTCTAATGTCCGGATTCTCGTTTCTGGCCGCCGTGGATGCCTTGGCCGTTTTGCTGTCGTCTAAGCTGGACAGCAGATCACACAAGAGAGTGAATTTGAATCCCATGGCCCATATCCACGTAAGTCGCCTATTAACTCGGCCTAAAACTGTATAATAATCTGAGGCATAGTCAGGTCGGTCAAAACTCGAGACTCTCAGGTCGAGGGCCGTCCGAACGCGAAAAGAGGAAAGAGCGATGACACGTGAGCACGTGACCACTTTCGTCCCATCTATGCAACTATACGGAGTAAATCGAAGTGACAGTGCAAAGACAGGTGGATCATTATCATTTTGAGTATTTTCAGAATAAGGTTTCAAATGAGTATGCTTGATATCAGCCAACAATTATGAGACCCCTCAGTTGATCCATTTCGAGTCCATCCATTGTGCAGTAGTCAAAGCAAATACAATCAGGCGCATTTGATGCGCTAGCTCTTCATATCTAGGAATCATTTCAAAAAGCATTTGGGTGAACTCTGGCGCCTCGGAGCCCCACGAATCGAGTGCTGCGAACTCAAATCCCTCTTATATCCCAGCATGCCCATAGTCAATCAGCCAAACCTTGCCATCAGAATCCAAGATCAGGTTGCGAGATGCAATGTCGTAGTGTGTGAGAGTAAGCCTGTTGAAAAAAAAAAAACAGTGGAGCATCAGGTGGTGCTTGATGAAACAGTTGGGTGATTTCAAGTCGTCGATTGTACCAGGCCTCTAGTTGCTTCGTCGAGCTGAATGGGCCAGCTCCCGCATCTGGAAAAAAGCACTCACGGGTTAAACAGATTTGACAATCTACTGGGCCTGGTACCTGTTCTTGCCCCCCGGGTAGGGGGATAGAGTGTAGATTGTTGATAATCGAAGCAACTTGAGAGACAACGTCTTTGCGTTCGATGTGACTTAGGTCTTTCCAGCAATCTTCGACTGTGCTACCGCTCACGAAGTCCATGATCATCGGGCACCTACACCCGAAGAAGACATTTTCCGTTTCAAAATTCAGCACTCGATGGACTTTGGGCACTGGGATTGATTGTATTTCTCCTCCTTCCCCAGTCTTGGCAATGAGTTCAAGGATACTGGCTTCGCATGGGCGGGAATTCATCCCTCCTTTCATAATCAATGCCTGTGATAGGTGTACAATCCGTGTCCCTTGGTAGCTATGAATGATTGGTGCCGTATCAAAGAGTTCGGTCAGGGTTTCATCTGAAATGAGGGAAATGTCAGGGCTATCGAGGGGATATTTTTCGAGCTCTGGGCCTTTTCCACTAGCAGGCTAAGAGAACCCTTTTGTTAGATATACGAAAGTGGATTTTTTAGGGAGACATATGATTCCACTTCATATATGTCAGGGGGTAGGAAGTCCATTTTGTCAGTTGGGGTAGGCGCTTAACGTGAGATCAGGGGATCTACTGCTTGTAGAAGAAAACAGAGCAAGATAGGAGTTGGAGTCAAATGAAGTAAATAAATATGATCAAAAGAGTAAGAGAAGATGTGAGAGGTGGAAGTGTCCTATGGAGGCTCGAGGTAAAGATAAAAGTTGTGATCTCTCTCTTTTTTAGAAGCTTTGTTGCTTCACGGTCCCTTGTTACTCGGTGATATTGTAATTATGTTATAGCCTCTCTCTTAAGTTTCAGTCATTTATTCAAGCTTTCTTTATAAACTGGAGATAAGAGAGATCAATATGAATTGAGATCCATCAACACCTTCCCAAAAAATAATCATATACTTAAAGCGTTTTTAAGAATTTCTTCTGTGCCTCTTCGGTATCTGCTTTCAAACTTTCCACGATTTCTTCCAACTCGTCACATATTTTTCCTGCATTGGCGCCATGAATCTTTACCTGTCCTACTTGAAAATTGTCAGGCGTCGCAGAGCCTTGTGTCAAGTCCCAGAAGCTAGTCTGCATGACGGGATCGGTAAAGAAGTCTGGTGAATCTTTTCTGAAGTGCTCTTTGTAGAACAGGATAGAAGAAGTCAAGACTAGATAGATGAGAGATCAGTATTATTCCATAAAAAACAAGGCAATTATCAAGGATATAATGAAAGTACCATGACATGAGGCCAATCTCTCCTGTGAATCTTTTCTCGATATTTCCATCTTCATTCGTTTTGAGAAACGATCTGCTTTAACCGCAACAAGAACATTATTAAAGGAACTTGTAGTAGCTAAAGAATCTTTTAGAAACTCAAGATTATCAACTAGCCTGCATCATTAAAGAGGGTTAATATTCGCCAGAGAAAGGCGCAGCCAAGGAGCCAGACCTACCATTCGGCTTTAGTCTCGAAATTATCCACTCCTTTCGCCTCGATTGATTTCCATTCTCTAGTGACATCTTGCAGGCGGTGATACAAATGAAGAAGTTCTAATATCCAGTCAGTAAAGCAATATGCAGCCGTGGGCCTCGGAAGTGACAGATAGTTATCTCACCATCTAGAGAGCCAAGAGTTGCCGAAATGGTATGTATGGCTTTCCCATCCTGATTTGTGAATACAAGCGCTTCAGACCCCACGATCTGAATATCGAGTTCAAGGACTGGTAATTGTAAGATTGGATCATCTCACGCTTCATCTTTAGAAGTAGCTTACTGTTTTCCTTGAACACTACTGCCTTCTCGTTATTTGGTTTGGTTCCACACACAAGCATAAGAGATTGACCCTCTATAGGATAATCAAGGTATAGATAGGGATAGATATAAGACTTTTCAGTCCCATCCGCATACCCTATTTGCACGTTTTGAATCCTACCCGAGTTAGCAAAACTTAAATACGACGGAGTATTTCAAGTATACCTTTTTTGATAGGGCGAATGATGATAAAACTGAGTGGAAATGACAAATGCAGAATCCATGCGCTGAAGATATCGGATACCATAGAGATGGTCCAAGAATTTCTCCCGATCTAATCGATATGAGCTTTTCTTCCATACCTTCCAACTTGAGCATAAGAATACTCCTACCTTGGAAATTATCGAAGTTTACCAGCACCTGTTGAGAACCTGTGTTGGAGTTCAATGCAAAGTCTTCAAGGGCAAGATTGAACTGCCCATTATCATCACATTTGTCAAGCTCGCTCAGGGGATACACGCAGCCCTTAATGTTGCATAGCGCGATGATAAGACTGCATTTCCCTACTGGGACAACAAAGCGTTCGACCGGTTGTGTCATTGAAGCTGCAGAATGTTAGTAGTAAACGTGAGAGGAAGGCAAAGACTTACATTCTTCTAGCTGTATGAAATACAAATCTCCAGGTGCAGGCCCTTTGAATAAAATATGTGCTCGAATAGGCGTGAACATCTCGTTCGCTGGATGTGTCTCCCAGCTACAGAAGAGGCTGATTTTCTTCTGTCCGACAGATCTGAACAGTGATCAGTTAGAAATGAATGAATAGGAACGCTGTAGGTATCTCACATTTCACAGATACACACAAGCCCTGGGCTGTTGAGATCAGGGGCATCTTTGCCTTCGTCTCGGTTTATTCCAAAAATCCCCGGATCAGTCCAGTTAATGGTATTTGACCCTGGGATGATGTATGAGACATCGGCTCTAGAATTTCCTGCATCTGACTGTGTGTCTTCAAAATTGCTTGTTTGCAAGGGTAAAGGGTCTACCTCAAAGCCCGCTAGCTTCTTCCTCCATGACAGAGGTGTCCGAGTCGTGGGGGAAGCGGTGGTGGAGTTGGGTAGTAACTTCTTTTGAAGTTGAACTAGCACATCTTCAATGTTAGTCGTTGTAGTACTTTGAGTTTTGTTAGTAAATTCCATATTGAGCATTTAGACGACATACCTCGTTTGAATAGACAATAACAAATCTAGCGAAAGCTTATAGCTCTCGACCTTCCTCAATGAGTCCTGGATGTCCTTCTCTTTGAGCGTCCACTTCACATTCTTCTTAAGTGCCTCAAGTCTCGAGTTTGACACCAGTCCTTGCAAGAACTTCTGCAGCTGTAGATACGTATCACCACAGTCATCTAAAGTAGTGTTAAGTGCACTGAGCCATTCCGAGTTCTTGGCGGCTTTGGTGGACTGGAACTGAACAATTTGCTGGATTTGCGACAGGATACCCCTCACAGTGTGGACCTCTTTAGAAAGCGAGTCTAGCTCTTTCTTGTTCTTTGATTTTATGGTGTGGAGTATATTGACGATCTGGGTTGATATGGTGATGAGACCAGCCAAAGAAGCAGCGATAGAAAGAGGATCCATTGTACGGAGTAGATATCTTTCAATTATAGTAATGCAGAGTAACCGCACAATTCATTTCTTGTACTCGTAGCACGCGGATCCATGACGGGACATAGTACTCACTTAGACTTTGAGGCTGTCCTTGGCGACCTCGTATATGCACAAACACGGATGGAGTACGGTGTTTAGCCTGTTTTCTTTACGAATAAGCATGTCAAGCCCACCAATTAGCTTATCAGGTAATAGAAAATACGAATATGGCTAATTCGTACATACTATGTAGGGATATTTTTGATTTTGTGAAGGGAAGTGTTTAGCAGACATGCCTGGGGGCCTTACAATTGTAAATAGACATCTAGAGATAATTGCAGGCCTATGTGATTAGATCTAAATACTATTTTACATTTAGAGGGAATGGTGCTAAAGGTGTCCAGTAATCATCATTCTTCCCATCGAGCTTTCCAATTTGCTGTGTCATTATATTCTCTTGGGTGTGAGCCTCGATCCGCCTCTGCAATCGTGTACCCTTTTATAGGCCATCCGATAGAATTATGGCCACGTAACTGTTGCGTTGAACCTGGAAGTATAGAGAACTAGAAACACGTTGGAGGCTAACCTAGAGATTCTCATTAACTTGATATTCCATTGGGTTAGAGCTTATTTTGCTCATCTTCCATCGGAATCATCACGCCTCCGCCCTGCCAGGCCTGTCAATCATACGAGAGTCAAGCTCTTGGACCCTGTTCTCCAAATCTGGAAGTTCACTCGGTGAATTAGTATGGGCTAATTCAGCCGGTCGAGCAGTGTGAGCTAATTCAGCAAGAGGATCAATATGATTAGAACCTCCTGCATCGAGAGTATCTGACGTCTGTGCCATCGAATAGAATGGTCCATTCCTTTTCGATCGACGCTTGAAAAATAGGAATAACCCAACGAAAACGAGCACGCCTGACGTAACACCAACACTGATTCCGGCAATTGCACCACCTCCGATTGAATGTTTAGGTTCTGTGGTATTGCTGGCGCTGGTGCTTGTACCAGTGATACTAATACTCGTGCTAGTATCATCACTAGTACTAGTGGCACTCGCTGGTTTGATGGTTGCAAAGTCAAGACCCGCAATCGTTGGCAATGCAGCGCTGGGGTTGATAGGCCAGTATGAATTGATTGACGTGGGACAGGAAGGAGTAGAAAATGTAGATGGGGGGTGGGTATTTGCAGTCACATTAGCCCATTGGCTTTTCAAAACATTGTAATCGGCCAAAGTTGTTGGCGTGCTGACCCCGGAAGTGGTGTATGAAACAAGGCCGTATTTACTCTCTCTACTTGATGTTAATTCATATCAAAGGAGAACCAGGGACATAACTTACTCTTGCCTCCATTCATAGATAATTGCGCCACTCCAAACACTCGACATATTAGACCCAAAAACCGCGGACTGATCCTCAAAGAGCCGCGGAGCAGGACTGTTGCAACCATCTTCAGAGAAGAACATGGGAACCCCTAGGCCTTCTAGCTTCGAGGTCAATCCATCGTAGCCAGAAGTGATAATGGACGATTTGCCACACCATGAGTATTGATTGACTGAATAGAAGTCGATAGCCTCATCACTCTTGCCTCCGCACACCAAGTATTCTCCCAACGCTTGAATATAGGTATAATCCGAGTCTGTAGCGTATCCAATCGGTATAGGACGATACTGCCTAGCGGCAGCATAAGCTTTCATATCTCGAGCTGCAGCTTTTAGATACGGGGCTAGGTCAACCGTAGGGCCTGGTCTATGCATTTAGATTGTGTAAAGACCGTGAGCAGTGGGGGTTTCATACCTTTGTCGGTAATAGATGCACCAGTAATGATATTATTTCCAACCAAAAGGGCCAGAAGATTGCTGTACCCGGCCATTGAATCAAGAATAGCCGCGTATTGTTTGAAAACGTCCATTTGCCATGTTGAGTTGGCCTTAGAGATGTCAGTATCTATAGAGAACACACGGGCAATCGGAAATAATCACTATGTTCGAGCTAGCATCCATTCCTGTCAGATCCAAAAGGGTCGAATCCTTTTGAATTGCCATGTTCGTCATGACGTATATTCCATTGTCCTGGAAAATCTGCATGCATTTATCATGGCTCTGAGTCGCATCTGTATAGAACACATTGATAGTGTTGGCCCCTAGTGCCTTGATGATGGGCGCATCGACTGCACATTGGCTGGCCCTTGAATCAGCCAAAACGTCGATTGGAGTTGAGCCAGACGCCTTTTCGACATAAACAACACCTATTTAAGACGCGTTAGAGGATCAACAGCACAGTTCAAATGATCTTACCTTTGATCTGAAATCGATGGCCAACCCTCAATAATCCGTTTCCCGCGACTGAGATAATAGGTAGTGACATTGTCCCGCGGTGCAAAGACACAACTATGTCAGCGCGAGATGGTAAGAACGAGAAAGGCGATCGGGGGAGAAGTGAGAAATTTGGGGGCGCTATACCTCTCGGATCGTATACTTTACCCAACCTGGTATAGTGCTGACCTCCAGCGGCTGTGAATAATCTAATTGATAACAAACCCCTTTATTTTAGAAAGACCGACAGTTGGTTATTTATACTCTCATAAGATGTTTCATCTATTAATAATCTACAAAGTTATGGATGTACTGATGGCCGTTCAACCAACAAAGGCAGATTCTCTCCATCACAACCCCAATTTTCTTCGATATTTCCATTATTGCATCCAAAGGAGTGGTTTGGCGACCATTTGCCTTGGTGCGCTTCTATCTCAAGTTGTCCAAAAAGCAGCGGTAGGACAAATGTCCTCCACAGGGCTGTTTTTAGTCCCCTACTTGACAATACTATGGCACAGATAAGACCAATCCATAGCAAAACAAGTGCTATGGGGAAGATGATTCATCGCTAGCGCACATGGAAAAAAATGGTAGTGATATAACTACTCTGCGCTATTCACACGTGTTGGTCTGGGACTGGACCGAATGACACCGGTCACCCTCGTATACTAGTCATACTCGTCATGGACTCGCTGAGATTCTTACTGCTGTACAGAAGGAAAGCAGACTAGATAACCGGCAAATACGCAGGACTTCGGAGGGACGCTTTGAAAATCGGCGTAGTGTTAAAGAGTGCCTCTAGGGTAGACTACCAGAAAACGTCGCCTCGTCGATGACATGGACGTTGGTTTCTACGAGAGGTTTGTCTCGGGGGATTGAGCTTGTGGGCGACCTCAAGTCAAAGGGACCGTTCATATATTCAACAGATGATTTCGCGAGCTTGAGATTTGCCGTCGCTCAATAATTGTATGCTGGATAAACATCGCGTCCTTACATTGAAAAAGAATTATAGTTGACTTCATCGGCCAGTCGAAACTTACTGGAAAATCTGGAGGCACTGTAGGTACGTTTTATTTTGACAATAAGTTTGTGGAATTGAAATAACAGATTTGACCCCATGAAGCCCACGAGCCAGTTCAAACCTCAAAATGGCTTTGAAGAGTATGCATTCGCCGAACACCGAGCCATTTGTATGAAATGAAAGACGCCAGGTAAAAAGAAAAGAGAGAAACATAAATAACTCTCCCTTTAGAGAATGCCCTGCTTTTGCAAATCCAGGTAGATCCTTTCGGGCATAACGTTGCCCTCTGCATCCTCCATCTGAACGACATTATCACGTGATTCTCTGTCCTTCTTCCGATCCTTCTCAAGCTGCTCCCAAAGCGCCATGGCCTCGTTGATGCTAGTGATCTCACGGAAGAGATTGGTGTTTGATGTGATGCCAAGACACTTCAATCCGTGGATGTGAAGGTTTTCAGAGAAATGTTTGTCAAATGCTCGTCGACCCATGTAGGTGAAGTTTCCACAGATCTCGCACTGGTATTCGACACCGAGTCCATGAAGCTTGTAGAGCCAGAACGGAATAGGTTTTCCATCCCATGCCAGTGGCAATTTCAATGGGTTGTAAACGATCTCTTCGTCCTCTTCCTCCGATTCTTCGCCGGCACGAGTATCGGGACCCGTGTGATCCAGCCCAGCTTGTACAGCTTCCCATTCCATTTGGCGTTCACGTTCAGTCATACCCTGTCGGCGTTCAACATTGATTCTTGTTGCTTGTCGCTCCTCGTGCAGGACATTCGTCAAGGATCGAATTTGGTGTTCGCGTCGTGCAACTGCGCGCTCCTTTAGACTGTGGGCCAAAGACGGACCTTGGGAGGCAGATGGCTTCTCGTCGGATGTGCCGGCTTTGCGGGCTTCTGCCGCTCGAATGTGCTTCTTGCCGGTCAAGTGGCTCCGGTGGACGTTCTCGTTCTTGAATTCCTTCTCGCAATCTGCGCACCAAATACCCTCGCCGGTCCCTTGAGTTGCTGGGCCAGATGTACCATTGTCGGACTTTTCTTCTGTCCAGCCCGGAACCTCCTTCGCAGCCCATTGCTTTTCGAATTCCCGGTCAAAGCTGGCGAAAAGCTCGTCCAAGGGTTGCAGTGGCTGGACTTTCTTGATAAAACTTTCCAAATAACTAGCAAGCTCGCCAACATAGTTGAAGTAACGATCGGAGATCTTGTCTTTCCGCTTAATTGGTAAAGTTGGCGGTGTGAAGACATCGAAGATGTCGAGATATTGGACGTATGACAAGCGCTTAACTCCTGGAAGGTTCAGGTAATCTTCATGGATAGTTGTGAGATCCAGGTACTGTCCAAACCCTTCTTCGCCAGTGAACATATTATCAATTGCGGTGCGGGGAGTCTCTCCTTCAGCGGTCTGACGGCGGTTGTATGCTTGCTCGAGGTTCTCGATCGGTTCATTTGGGTAACGCTTGTGGTGGTCTTTGATGTCCGCCAGCTGCTTGTAGAACTCCTCAAATTGATCACCTGTTGAGATAGACTGTATTTCCTTCTCCCGTAGTCCATCGGCATCCTGGTAGATCTCTAGAAGTCGCTTGGACTGGCTCTCGATTCTCTCTAGGAACTGGGCGATTTCATGGTCGCGAGCTAAGCGACCTCGGGCCTGACGAATTGGTATATTAGAAAACGTGACTGACATTGTTCGGCACTATACTCACATTTCGGGGCTCCTCCGCCACGCGATCAGCAATAGCCTGTTCCAGCCGCTCTAGATCCTCATGGATGAACCTTTGATCTTCGAGCAACATATTGTCAATATGACTGCCGCGTAAGAGCTTCTTTTTATTGGCGCGCAAAAAGTGTTGACAAAATCTCGTGTCGTCGCAAAAAGACGTTGGCAATTGGCAGCTCCAACTTGCGGGAAGGTCATGTGACCCAAACCTTTCCACCGCGAAAAGTTGGGCCGGTTGACCTCACTTACTTAAGGCTTCACTCTTCGTGAATCCTGTTATCATTTCTTATCTGCCGTTGAAATACTCATATTTACACGATGGCGGAAGGAATCGACAGACGCGCCGAAGGTATGTGGTTTCCACCTTGGGAAACATGAATCATGCTAACAGCAACTAGAGCGCATGGAGTTCAGCACCTCCAAGGAGGTGACGGTCGCGCCAACCTTCGAGGACATGCACTTGAAGGAAAGCCTGCTTCGTGGAATCTACGCTTATGGATACGAATCGCCTTCAGCTGTGCAATCCCGTGCGATTGTTCAAATCTGCAAAGGTCGTGACACAATTGCCCAGGCCCAGTCCGGTACGGGTAAAACTGCTACATTCGCGATCAGTACCTTGCAAATCATTGATACTGTCGTGCGCGAGACCCAAGGTACGCATTTCCCCTGTCCAGTCTGATCAGATCCAATCCTAACCACGATATGGTTTATAACAGCTCTGGTCCTGTCCCCGACCCGTGAACTCGCAACCCAAATTCAATCCGTCGTTATGGCCCTTGGTGATTACATGAACGTTCAGTGCCACGCTTGCATTGGAGGAACCAATGTTGGCGAAGATATCCGCAAACTCGACTACGGCCAGCACGTTGTCTCGGGAACTCCTGGTCGCGTGGCTGATATGATCCGTCGCCGAAACCTGCGCACACGTCATATCAAGTTGCTCGTTCTCGATGAGGCCGATGAACTCCTTAACCGTGGTTTCCGTGAACAGATTTACGATGTTTACCGCTACCTGCCCCCCGCGACGCAGGTCGTCGTGGTTTCTGCCACCCTCCCATACGACGTCCTTGACATGACCACAAAGTTCATGACTGACCCCGTCCGTGTCCTGGTCAAGCGTGACGAGTTAACACTGGAGGGTATCAAGCAATATTTCATTGCCGTTGAGAAGGAGGAATGGAAGTTCGACACACTTTGCGATCTGTACGACACCTTGACTATCACTCAGGCCGTTATCTTCTGCAACACCCGCCGAAAGGTCGATTGGCTTGCCGACAAGATGCGTGAGGCCAACTTCACCGTCTCCAGCATGCACGGCGAGATGCCGCAGAAGGAGCGTGATAGTATTATGCAAGATTTCCGTCAGGGCAATTCTCGTGTCCTCATTTCTACTGATGTCTGGGCCCGCGGTATCGATGTCCAGCAAGTCTCTCTTGTTATCAACTACGATTTGCCTACCAACCGTGAGAATTACATTCACCGTATTGGTCGATCTGGACGATTCGGCCGCAAGGGTGTGGCTATCAACTTTGTCACCAGCGATGATGTCCGCATCCTTCGCGACATCGAGTTGTACTACTCGACCCAAATTGATGAGATGCCCATGAACGGTAAGCCAATCAACTATAATTTTTCTATTCCTATGCTAATGATGTTATCCTAGTTGCGGACTTGCTTTCATAATCCCCACTGCCTGTTCAGTATTGTGACTGTAACATCTTTGCTCACGCCAAAAGCGATTTGGCTTCATTCCTTCTAGGGGCTTCTACAAGTGGAGTGCACTGGCATTATTGATTGAATATGACTCGGACTCCGGCATAATGGGTTTGAGGGAAATGCAAGGTCAGCTCTAGCGCGGAGGAAGGGGATAATAACATATTTCAGTAAGTCAAACTACAACCATCACTTCAAGTCAACACTGAGCGCTAACGATTTGAGGTAGTTTTCAAGAATGCCAACCAATTTCACACCCCAGGAGGTTTTTACGATTTTGCCTCTTTCCAAAATTTCAGGTCTCGGGCCTGAGTAGCAGGGATTGTTTTCTTTATTTTGGAGTTTCTTTATTTACTTTTTTTGACACTAGGAATCATGAATGATGGACTCGGTTTTACTTCAGTATAATGTGTCTTTTTCATCCTTTGCCCCAAGCCTTCTAGTTTGGCGACATAAATTCGAACCAGTAATGAGAAAATGAGCTGACAGTGAAAGACAGTTAGTGCCACGCAGAACTTTGGGGGAAGTGCAATAGTTCAACTGCACGTCAACAAGTCTATTGATCTATCTATGACTGCGCTGGCTAATTCCTACCCGATCGAAGGTCTACATCGGAACAATGAATATAAATAGTAGATTTGATTCAATCAAAGAGACCTGCAACAAAACGCAGTTCAATCAGATACCAAGAAAGCTCCCCCTCCCAAAGACCAAACCCAACTCAGAACTGGACCAAACAAAAATGGACAGAACATATATACTTCTCAGAACCCAGAAAGAAGATACGGGACCAACGCCAGCTTCCTGTATTGAAAGAAATAGATGCTAACTGCAAAGAGTAAACAGCATAAGGAGTGAAAGGGGGACTCGAACGATGTATATGCGCAAGATAGCATGATGAGGATATGTCGATCAGTTGATGAGGGAAGAAAAGAACACAGAAGAGAATTCAAGAAGAACAAGAAAACATTGCAAGACAGCAGGTTTATCGTCTTTCGATCCAAAGCTCCGGGTATGTTTCCTCAATCAGATACGGTATCGTAGGGAAACTAAATAATAAAGATAGGCAACGAGCATGAACAAAACTGGGGTTGGGGTCGTCATCGTCGATGTGCAGTACACGAATATCAGAAAGTGGATGTTGTCCTCAATGCGCTAGTCCGCGTAAACCCATTTGAGGGTACCCTGCTGCGTGAAGGCGGTCCTACTGGACGGGATCGATTACTCTCTCTCGACCAGCTAGAAGTCTTGAGTTAGCGGTGTTGAATGAGAGGTGAGGACGAGAGTTGTTCTTACATCCTTACTGCACTGTCATCGCCTGCTGATGCGAACATTCCCGGGTCTGCTGGATTCCATGATATTGAGTTCACGCATCCCGAGATATGTCCCTCCAGAGTCTCGACAATGTTGCCGTTTTCTTTGTGCCAGATGTAGACTTTCGAGTCTGGAGATAGTTAGTAACGATAACAGAAATGATACATTGAGATATCACCTTCACTTCCGCTGACGACAAAGTTTTCAGCTGCTCCTCCGAACGTGCTACGAATCACGAACTCGCCTTGCTTCTGTCCCTTGAACTGACGGACAACAGAAGTTGTTTCCATGTCAACTAATTGGATCTCGCCCTCCGACAGGTTTATAAGCATATGGCGCGAGTCTTTGCTAATAGCAACCGAGGTCGGTTTGCTCGGCAGTGGTAGACAATAGTCTTCCTCGTATGTAAGCATGTTGTATACATGGACCTTCGCCTCTGTGTCAGCGGCAACAAGACGTCGTCCGTCCGGGCTAATAGCACAGTCCTGTACACGGAATCCGCCTTTCCATGTGTATAGAGATTGACCACGCATACTCCAGTGACGGAGCTGTGATTCAGCATCAAGAGAGGCCGTCACGAAAGATTCTCCATCCGCCGCCCAGGCAGCTGCAGTCACCGGTTGACGGTGGTGGTTGATAGTGAGTAGGCAGCGGCCGCTCTAAACCACACGCAGCTCGAGTTAGCATACTGTGGATTTACATCAGATAGGGAATATAATTACCTCAACACTCCATACGCGTGCTTTTTTATCTTGCGAGCAAGTAATTATTTTGGAGTCATCTGGACTCCAACTAGCGAACGCAACTCCATCCTCGTGTTCCGTTAGTCTGTGGATAACACTGAAGTCGGTTGTGTTATAGATGAGCACATTATGGTCTTTGCCTGCAGTGACCAGCTTGGAACCATCGTGAGAAAATTCGCAATACCATACTTCATCCGAGTGCTGAGTCAAGTCTACACTGACGTCCAGCGGGAAATCGTTTCGGTCGCACATGTGGTCAGAGTAGAGCGACGGAGGGTCGGCGGTATTATGATAAGAACACTTGTTGATCTGAGTCCGCTTGACATGATCTAATAAGACGGCTAAACGATGTTGCGGGATCATCACGGAAGGAGAAATGGATTCTGCGGCTGAATTAGCATACCTGTTACACCACAGTTATTGGACAGTAGTCAGGCTCACTTGACAGCTCGCCAAGCAATCGTTCACGAGACGAGGTGACTGAACCATCCCATCCCGTTTGAGCATGTAAGACCTCAGTTGAACACATAAGAAGACTAGCCAAAATAACAGGTAAGCAAATCGTTTTCTAGAAATATCTATAGATCGGCAATACCTTGATAGGGCGTGAAGTCGCTCAACATCAAAATTCAAGGGTGTTAGTTCCTGTCGAAGGACGTTGAGAGCTGCAGCTAGATCACGCGCTTCTAGCAACTCGAGGAATTTCTGTTGTCGGAGATAGAAGAGCATCTCGTTCTTATCGGCCTCCTCTGCTAATACCAGGGTCTCCTCTTGTGGAGATTTCCGGTCGACCTGTTGTGACCCGGCATTCCGAAACGACTGAATCAAGATTCTCTCGGCTTCTAGCCATCTTCCGCCCAACACCGCACTCCGGAAGGTTGCGACCCCTGATGTTTCCAGTTCATAGCCACTCTCTGAGCTTAATAGCGATGCTGACCCGCTATAACCCAACTCATATAGACTCTGTATCAAAATCCGCGTGACCTCCTCCCGGTTGTGGCCGTAATAAGTAGAAGACTGGGATGGCCTTTTAGAGCCATTTGTATGAGAGCTCCCGTTGGTTGTCGCTTGCCCATTCAGACCCGTCTTTCTCGATGCCGATGTAGGTGATTCGTTCGAGGCGTCTGAGAAGCCATTTTCTGTTGATATTCCATCGGGACGCATGATTACCAGGCGCCTGCGCTTGGGGGAAGGAGGTCGGCCGCCCGGTCGGCCGAGCAGTTGGCTGGGGTAGTTCTGAGACGTAGTCTCACGTGCTATTCGTAGAAGGTGTCCGGTCCCCGCCGATGAGGGACCAAGGTTATCCGGGCTGCTCGAAAGGCGGCGGCGGCGGTTGGGCCGAGTGGGAGATGAACTTTGTGGTTGAGATGCAGCAGACAGAAACTCTGACGTTTGGAAACCGGGATTCCCTACCGAGGCGGGAGCTGTATTGATGGGTAAAGGAGGATCAGGGTGGTCGGAGGTGATAAAGGGATTATGCGGTGATGAGTTGTGAGCCAGTTCGACAATATCTCTTAGATCTGCCCAATCCCCTGGCTCTTTGGAAGAACCAGGTGAGCAGACCTCAAGTGGTGGCGGGTGTCCGATAAGTAATCGCCGGAAGCTCCGTTTGAGAGGGGTGCAGTTGTCACAGGGTCAAATGGATGGTCACTAGCTGCTAGTAGTCACAGATGTAACGAATGATCGATCTGTAAATGAGAAATCATGTAATGTTTCTCTTTGAGTTGGGAACTGGGGTGTGGTTGTTGGGGCTTATCGGAGAGGAGAGAAGTGAGACGATAAAGAGATGGACAACTGCCAATCTCCGACGGCAATGATAGTCCGAATATTAAATATCAAATGTCAAATATTGGATGTCAAATTTCAAATGTATAATGGCGAAGAACAAAAGGGAAAAAATAGGATTGGGTGGTTGGGTAGTCTATGTACGTAGCTCAGGTAGGAAGGACCCCACGATCTAAATCGTAACACCTCTTATGTGTTCCCTTAACTACACACATCCTAGGAGAATTTTCCTATTGCATACGAATATGTGGACTTTGGAAATCTACACAAATGGCAAAAATGACAGATATGACGTATGAGGAAGTTGGTACATCTACTACCATCCTTTACTCCGCAACCTCAACAACCAACTTCGTACAACTCACCCCCTGGAGTAGCACATCCAATCCAGCATTGATAGCGCTCAACCCATTGCCCACGACCCTCGGCTCTAGACTCAGCCTGATGGTCCCGTTGGCTACGTTGTTCCTCAGCCAAGTCCCCATCCAATATCGGAACTGACCCAACCTCTCCTCTTGATTTATTGACGCCAGCACAAAGATGGTTTCCACCTCGTTTATCTCCTTGAAATCCGAAGGAATAATCGAGGCCGACCCAGTTTTTACCTTCTGGTTTTCTCTCCCTTGGTCATCCCCCAGGAAAGCCTTAAGTACGGCTTGACACGGCGCTAGCTGCTCCATGGCAAGAAAGCAGTGCTGAAACACCAGGTCATCCTCTCTGGCTGCTGAAACAAACGTATCCACAACCTGCATATCTTTGTAGTTGAAGACGCGACCCGCGCCTAGGGAACCTATGTACTTCTGATTCGCTGCACCGGCCGTGGCATACACGGCGGCAAAAGAAGAGTCGCGATCTTCTCCCACAGCACCCGGGCGCTTTGCACGCCCATAGTGTGTTTCGCATCTTACATTCCCGACCTTCGACCCATCGCCGCTGGCACGGAGCGGTCATTTGTAGTTCAAAGTAAAGCAGAGCTTCGGCCTCCAAATGCTGTTGGAAATCTGATGCATCGACATCCTATCAATTGAATGCCAAGTGTCAAGATTTTGGTATACCAAGGGCCTTGGCTGCCTTGTGTAAGCTCTCAGACTGTCCCCTGAAATTGTTGATATAGAGCACCGCATAACTAGTTTTGATGATCTTCATTGCTAAATAAATTATATTATAGAGATATCTTGACTGTTATATTCAGTTATTGTTAGACTCGTTCATATCCACCTCTCAGTGAGCTTGCTTTGTCAATCCCTTCCCCGAGAATTTCTGCAAATCTTCTCTGCGGTCAACGTCAATTCCTTCCCTGTTCTTCCCCTAGGAGCTTCCCCAGATTTATTTATCTCGGTGTTGTGTTCTCGTCTCCCGGGAGATTCCATCCGTCGGAAAAACTCCAAGTCACTGGTCAGCTATAGAGAGTTTTCTCTCTACCTCCATGTCCTACAAAATTTTGACGTCATCCTAAATATGGAACCCGCTATTCTTACTACTCTTCCTCTACTTTATACGCTGACTCTGGATGTTTTCCCCCTAAATCCATTTCTTCCCCTGATGCCATGTTCCCCCAAGCTCTTTAACCCGTACCCCACATGCCTGACGTCATGACAGCGCTCCCACCTGGTGCTGTAACTCGCATATTCAGCAGCCTGGAATATGTTCAGCTTGAAGCTCAGAAGATCATAGAGACACTTGAAAAGGACGAGGAAGAAAACGGCAACCAGTTCCTTGTTCTACTCAACATAAGCCCCTATATCTCCGAGTGACTCTTCGACCATGATTGCCTGAAGGGTGTGAACTACCGGTTTGAGTTTGGAGGTGGTACAGGTATTTTGCGCATGATACCAGGGTGTCCCCATGAATACACCACTATGGGACTCTTGCAGAAAGTCACTCTGCAACTGATTAACATGGGACTAAGTGAGCAATATCGTTGGGGCGGAAAGACGCGATATGAATCCCCTTTGCGGCAAAAAGAGGGAGACCAAGTGTTCAGCCCCTCTGCACGTTGGCCGTCTAGCACTAGCTTGCCATGGCCCACCATGGTTATTGAAACGGGTGTATCTGACAGCCTTCCAAGGCTACGTCAAGATGCTAAATGGTGGTTCGGAGCATCTGATGGAGAAGTATGCATAGTTATTATCCTATCTATCAAGAAGACCGCTGTGCATTTTGAACAATGGCAGCTTGCTCCACCCAATGCCCCTCGACCCTTGACTAGAGCCTACATTGACGGCCTCCGCCAAAATCCCAGTAACGTGCCGCCCCTCCTCCAACAGCCGTCCAATATGCAGCAGCCATATTCGTGTGCTGAAGTGGATTTGACTAAAACTTCAGTTGCTGGTGCCCCAGTGACAATACCATATTGTGCTCTCTTCGACGTTCCTGTCCGACCCCCTGACATGCAAGATGTTGTGCTTAATGTACAAGACTTCCGTTTCATCACTGGAGTCAATTTCTCTTGATTGCTGATCTTAAGGAGATCAATTAATTTGAAGAGAGGAATTCAAGGTTTTGACCTGATCAATGGAGATGGCGGAGTGGGAAGAATGGTTGTCGAAGAGCGGAATCACCGTCGGATGGGGGGAAGATTCCTTCATCCAATGTAGTTGTAGTACTTATGTCTGTCATCAACCCCTTGTTTGATTTTCTTTTCCATCGGACAGCAACGTAATTCCACGTCGTCCGGTGGAAGTGAAGCCTCCTCTAGCACTTGTAAGCTCGCCTGTAGGTGACTATATCAGTTTTAATAGGACAGGCTGTCGGGGTGCAGGTCAAGTTTCAGCTTCCAGAGAGTGATGTTCCGGGTGAGTTCTCCGTCCATTAACCAATTCAACCAATCAACCAACATATTAAGGAATGTTGCAATGTTTTTTTTTTCTCTTTTCACTTCTCATTCGTCTATTATTTCTTTCTCCTCTCCACCTGTATACTACGCCGCTTTCATCCTTATTTTTATATTTGTCTTAGGGGGTCAGTCATATTATATAAAGTAACGTCGATGTCAATGATGCTTACACTCTACATATACATCCCGAGGTCCATCGCCACGTTAGATAGATAGATTACCACTTCATTACATAATTTCAATGGGAAACAGTAAAGCTGATTTCCATGTGACGCCATGATGATGCTCTCAGTCATACCTATATAAACCGCTTATTCTGCACTCTCTAATCTCCAAGGTCCTCTTCAGTATCAGCAATACTCCTATAACTACATTTCTACCACTTACTCTACCCACTCCACATCTTTCATCATGGGCTGCGGCTGCGGATCTACTTGCAACTGCACTGGCGGTTCTCAGAGCTGCTCTTGTGGCGACAACTGCAACTGCAAGGGCTGCGGAGTATGTGATATCCCCACTATATTTCAAGTGCAAAGGCTAACATCTTAATTTTAGAAATGAACCATTTCACCACACAACTCCGACTCCTCGAAATCTACAACACTCGTTCTTCGAGCTGGATGATGAATATGGCGATGATTGGATGAGATCAATGAAGTTTTTGAGCATCGAAAACGAAAGGAAATAAAATTGCATCTCTCAATTCCAAACTTTACTTCCCAAGACTGTTACATGATATGTAGACCTCATCGTTTCTCTTTCAATACCGCCTCGGAAGCTTTAAGCGCTCCCGTGATGCTAAAACATGCAAATGGCGACAACGCATACATGATCTAGATATAGTCAGCGAAATGGCTTTTTTTTCTTTCGTAAAGTCATAGCTACATGCCGTTAAAGTCTTCGCAATGACCATCTTTTCCATCTCAGATGCCGATGCTAATTCTGCCAACCCCGAAATCACCAGCGCCGGTGGACCGGCAGGCATAAGCATCATACTAAACCAGAGGATCGGATCATCACCAAGGAATCGAGTCCTCTTAGCCAGTCCGTAAATCAATGAAATGCTCAGCGCCGGCCAGACCACCAAACGAATGACAAAAATAGTCGTGATAGCCCTGACGGGGATCCGGGCCGAATTTCCTTCTGCAACCATCCGCTCGAACGTTACTCCAAGTTTACACCCAACCATGAAGATTTGCAGGGTTGTAAATAGCCCGCCGACGTTGCCGACACTTGCAGTCAGCCACGCATTGAATATCCCTCCATCTTCCTCGTCAAAGAAGAACGCTCGGTGCAACGAGGGGACTAATCCCAGCACCGTGCCCAGAATCGTGCAGAATATAGCCACGTCCGCGAATGGAGATTCAAAGGGTGCGAGGAGTTCTTGCTTGACTCGGTGGGGGAATAATGAGCCTAGCCAGCGCATCGGCCAGCGGGTCAGGTTCCAGGCTGATGTTCGGACTTCTTGGGCGCGCTGCGGAAGTAGTGAGGTTTCTTCGCTGAGTTGTTCGTCTTCTGCTAGGATTCTCGCGGTTTGATCTCGTCTCTCTGATGTACCAAGACCATCTCCACGATCTTGTAACATCTTCGGTCCGACGATATATGCAATGGTCTTGCTAACCACACCGCAGACAAGGAAGTAACTCTGAGCACGGTCGATTGCTGAGGCTGAGGTTTCGCCATTGCGTAGGATCAGTTTCAGACTTCCTACGCTCTCGAGGGAGTGGAGAAGTAACAAGGGCAGAGATGTTGTGTTGTTGAATGAGCAAGCCGGTGTAACCCATTGAGGTAGGCCAAGCAGACGCGATAAGAAATGCGCAAGGCCAATTGATAGCGATGTGTAGAGGGTCGACCAGACTAGTAACGGCAGATAGACGCGATAAGTCAGTTATGCTGGGTTCATCAAGGGTTGCTATAATATACTTATAACTGGAATATAGTTCATCGCTGTCCCGAGATGAAGCTCCTGGCCTAGATGCACAATTATTAGTGCTGGTAGGAGGAGTTTTACGCCTAACCCCAGCATGTCATTGATTGTAGTCTCGTGAATCAACTGGAACCGACGAGCAGCAAAACCGTAGCACATTGTTAACAGCACGGAAACACAGGCTTGCAACGCACCCAGGAAGGGTACGACTAAGCCTTCGTTTGCCATTTTGATCCAATAGCTGACAATTTTAGCTACCTATGTTGTCTTCCAAAAAAGAGTTGCTTCTAATTTTAATGGCCGTGGCGTCATGGTGACCGAGTTAAAAGCTACAAATACCATGTTCTTCGTGATATTACAAGATCCTTCAATATCTTCCAGAACAAAGGCCATATAAGTTACTGTTCTTGTCACATATATATTATTCTCACTGCTAGAAAATATTCGGGCTTCGGGGGAGTTCACCACCGAGATCGGGAAATTCCCCGTGGGGGGCTATAAACACGGGTGATGACAGCCCTAATTGGCTGCCTCTAGTCCCAAATAGCTTGAACTACTTCACGTTATACTAATACAATGCTTTCAAGTCTACATTCCACGAATTCTAGCATTGAAACAAACACTATATCAATATCAATAGCATTCCAACATAGATTGGTCGTTTAAATGATGTGGGGGTCCTCGGGTAATCGGTCGGAGGAAAGCCGAGTTGTCCCCTCTTCAGCGTAAAGAACATAAAGAACATGGAAAAACTCCTTCTGCTCTTCATCTGTTACAAAAATTCTACTCTTAAATAATGTCTTCCATCACACTTCGCTCGGCCCTGGAAACCACCCCAGTGGCATACGGCTTCTGGTTGACGTATGTTTATCCCCCGCATCTCGAGAGGGGCAGCATCAGCTCCCCACTGTTCTCCAATTGAACTTCGAAGCTTTCTATCCAACGAGAAACAGAGCTAACTGATCTAATACTCCGTACAGCCTTCCCAGTGCCCCGGTCGCAAAGACCATCCTGCGCCGCAGCCCTGAATTCACGGAAGGTGGATTCAGCTGGGTTCTAGTTGACGCCGAACATGGATTGATTAATGATAGCCACTATTACGACGTTCGTCCTTCCTCGAGAGAATCGAACTCGAGAGTCAATTATTAACAGATATATACAGCTCACTAATGCCGTTGGCCACGAGGGTGCGAGCCCTATTATCCGTGTGCCCTGGCCCGAAGAGTGGATGATCAAGCGTGCTCTTGATGCTGGTGCCCATGGTGTTATGACTCCTATGTGTCACTCTGCAGTATGTACAACCCGAGAGCGTTGTGTTCGCGCGTATTTCTTGATTTCTTTGGAGCTATAGGTGCTAACCTCCACTTTTCTGCTTCCAATAGGAGGACGCTGCCAAGGTCGTCAGCTACTGCAAGTACCCGCCTGTCGGAGTCCGTGGATACGGTCCCATGTTTACCCCCCATTCATTCCCGGGTCTGAGGCCCGCCGAGTACGATGAGAAGACCCACGGCGATGTGATGGTTATTGTGCAGATTGAGTCGCGCCCCGGTGTTGAGAATGTAGAGGAGATTGCTAAGGTCGAGGGACTTGATGTTTTGTTTATTGGTGAGATTGGATATTTCTGTTTTAATTTATGGAACTGGCTAACGCTTCCTTTCTAGGACCCTTTGACCTTGCTAAGCAGATGCGTGTTACTCGCGGTGGCGAGGAGCACGAGGCTGCTATCCAGCGTGTTCTAAATGCTGCTAGATCTGCAGGAAAGAAGGCTGCTATCTTCTGTATGTGTTGGGTTTTTTTAGTCTTACTTGCCCTTGTGTCTAACAGAATACCTTCTAGGCTCCGATGGCGATGACGCTCTTCGCCGCACACAGCAGGGCTTCGATATGGTTTCCATTACCACCGATGTTGCTGTCATCGGTGACGGGATGCTCAACGAATTAGAGAAGGCTAAGGGCAGTTCTAAGGTCCAAGGAAAGCGGGATGGTTATTAAAATGTCTCGGAATTATGATTATGTGTATATAAGTCACGCAATAAATTCAACTATTTATCATTATATGGTATCTCATTCGTCCCTCCCATCAAATGCTGGCTCGATCAATTCTTCGCCATCTTCAGTCTGTAGGCACCTGGTGTCACTGATTTGACAGTTCCGTTTTTATCGACATCGAAAACGAAGAGCGAGGTAGCAATACCACCCCAAGTCAGCTGATCCAACATGGTCCAGTCATTGAGATCGTAGAACGAAGAGAATAGTCTTGACGAGGAAGCCACCCCAGGATTCCGGCCTTGAGTAGCAGTGTATCCCCGGAAAGCGATTTCCCCACTGGCCTGCTCGGAGACGATAGACGGCACAAGTCGTGAGCCGATATCACCAAAGAGTCTAGGAACTAAAGCCGTGATATCTGTGCCATTGCTAATCCATGAAGTAATATTCAAACCAGGTGCAGGATGGGTAGGTGGCACGACAGTGAGTGTCAATGACGAATTCAGACCCGCGGCTTTGTACGTGCCGGCAAACTTCCGCGCTGCCTCTATTGCGGCTTGCTCTATAAGCGCCGGGAGGATGGCATCAGTGATAAGGTCGATGGCTAAGAGCACCTCGCTGCTGCGGCCAGGTTGCGTGCTGGCTCCGAGGAGTGTGAAACCAGCGTCGAAGTCTGGTATCACGACCACGATGCCACCATAGAATCCCGAGTCTCCAAGTTTGGTGTATAGATCGGTGACCACGCCTGACCCTGCGTGGACGTATCGATGGATCTCCCATGGCGAGCCAACGGAGTAGCGTAGACTCGAGGTGTGAGTGACGGGCTTCATCCATTCTCGTGTCTTTTCAGAGGAGAGGAGAGTGGAATTTAGGAGGGCAACACCAAGCTTAGAGAGGTCGTTGGTTGTAGAAAACAACCCACCGGAGGGGTTCGTAACACCTCCATTGGGGGTGAACTGCGTATCAAGAACCTCTGAGAGGACGGAATGGGACCGAGTGGAGTTGTCAGGGGTAGACGAGTAAGTGGACTTCAAACCTAGAGGCTCGAAGATAGAATCACTATACCACTCATCCATAGTCTTCCCCGTGAGATTTGAGATTGCCAGGCCAAGGAAGATATAACCGCCGTTAGCATACTCGGGGCTTTGCCAGGGAAGGAAAACCGGAGGTCTTGTGGCATATCCCACGTCCCAGGAGACTAGGTTACAGCCTATAGTCTGTTCACCCAAGCATGGCGGCCATAGCGACAAATCACTCTCGTTCAGAGGTGGAAGACCGTAGAAGTTAGGATCAGTCAAGGCAGGATCGTGAGAGCCTTCGAGGTACTTGTATAGAGCAAAGGTTTGTAGGAATTCTTCTGTAGCACCGTGTGGTATGCCACTCATTTGGCCCGCTAGGGACCTGAGTGTGATTTTGTCCCATTGAACATCATAGACGAGCCGGAACTTATCGTGTTGCTTACGAACATGTTCGGCCAAGAATGGGAAGATTTCGGTGAGTGGAAGATCCCAGTCACGGGGCTTCAGCTCTATGAGTCCTGCAAGAACAGTAAAGAGTTTCGATACACTGGCGACCTTGTAGATGCTGTTTCCATCTACCTTCTTCACTCCAACAGGAGAGTTTGCGACTTCGCTAGCGGTGTGGTGGAATTGAAGATCTTTGGCTTTCGGATCAAGCGTGGAAAACAATCCAGCAGAGAATGTGAGGTTCCTCAATGCATAAACCCCACTGGTTTTATTGGTCTGATTATCGGCGAGGACGGTGCTGAGTTGGGAAGTCAGATTCTTCCAGCTGGTGGCGACCCGGCTGTGGCTGCTAGACAAGTCTCTGGGAGGAGGATATGACGGTCCTAGAAGATTGGCAAACGATTCCGGGAGGCAAATCAAGCTGGCAAGCAAATAATTGGGTAGCCGCATGATGCTTTCGAAAAGATTGATTCAATGATTCAATTGAAAGTGAAGGTCAATGGACTGGACTGTGATTTTAACTAGCTACATGCCGGCGTGGTCTTATACCTCCTTCAAATTGGGATAGAATTAAGCATGACGTTTATTCTCCGTGTTACAGGGCTGTGTCGTACCAGTTAGCCCTGTGCTGTACGAGTTGGGGGCCATCAAGCAGGATTCTGTGTATATCAGCCTAACGAACAGACCGTGGCAACATAACAACAATTGGCTCGTCAGGGATTGCCGAGAGATAATTAATGCAGCTGCCTCGGGGGATAGCTTGATTTGATCCGATATACCGCTCTGTTGATTCTGGTCCAAGTTAGCTGTCGGGGCAGTGACGCCACGCGCAGCTCCAGTGCGCTGGATTGAACCATTTCCGGAAATTATGCTTGATGATCTTCGAGTCCGTGTTGCCATTTTATTATTATTGTCGATCTATGGAATATGAGATTTCAATATGGACATGTTAGCAATATGAACTCCATATGCTCAACCGAAGCCACATTGTGATACGGACACTAGACCGGATCGGGTGGCATGCAGCGCTCGCTTTCTTGGCATTTTTCTCCTCAGCTTCCAATACTAGTCTCCTGCTTTACTACTACAACCTTCACCACTTCTTAGTAATTTGTTGAAAAAGGCAACGTATCATCCAATGGTAAGATGGCCGAGTTGGTCTAAGGCGCCAGGTTAAGGTATACCTTGACTCTACAACTAGCAATAGTTTCCTGGTCTCGCAAGAGGCGTGGGTTCGAATCCCACTCTTATCATATTGGTTCTACCTGTCAATCGACAGGTGTCTTTTTTTTATTTCAATATGAATATCTCAAAATAAGAAAAAAATGGATTTTAAGTATTCTGATGCGCCACGCAATGCTCTATATATGAAGTATTCATCCTACATACATACATAGATTGGAATCCACGTGAAGATTGATACACGTTGTCGAAGGACGAGTCGAAATCAAAATTTGGCCTTTGAGTGAGCCAAGCATAGCCACCTGGTAGTTGTGCGATAGCTACAGTCGAACCATAAAAATCTGGGAAGGGACTATCCTCACTGCAAAGACAAATCCCATGCTCAAAGTGGCTACGGCAGTAAAAGCTGCCAGAAGACCTAAATGCGCCAGACTTTCAATGCCAAGTCTCTCAAATTTGGTGCTTCCTCGTTTGCCCAAGTGAGTGGTGCGAGTGAGGGAGGGCACGTATTTGAACTCGAAGCGCGACTCCTCTCCAAGACCCATCTTGTCATCGAGAATTAGCTTGTAAAAGCGCTTTCGGCGGAGCTGATCAACTTCTTCATTAGAAAATATACGAGAATGTTGGAAACATAATTTTCACGTACCGAAATCATAATCCTGTCGAGGAAATATATCTTCGGTACAAAATATGAAACAGCCATAACCCAGAAGCAATACCCCCATATCAATACCCGATAGTATAGATTAGACCGAGGAATTTCAAGCTCATCGGCTAATTGATCTCCATTGAGTAGTCGACTCATCGCCTCCATGAATTCCTTGGATGCAAAAGCCGGCGCTGTATTCTCCAGGCCAATAATGATATTCTTCACCAGGATCTTTCCAGTCTCAGTGGGACGAATCTCGGAAACCAGAAGCGATTCCATTATGGCACGAGCCTTAGCTGTGTTCTCAAGCGGATCCGTCGGTGTGCCCATATAATACGCAACCAGCCTCCACAGCGCGATATAATCCTCGGTCTCTTGCTGGCTGAGGTAGATGCCCTGTCGCGGAAGACCCAGCCATATCACCGAGGTGCAGAATGTGTTAATTGTGCCAATGCAGTCTAGGTCATTAACCGGTGTTCCGTATTTATTAATCTCATAGTATTCAGGGCTCTGATCTACTAGACTTAGAATCCTCTTGCGCACAGACGAATGAAGCAGTCTGACTCGAACGCAGGAGATATGGCCATCGCCACCTGGCTTCATGCCTTCAGCTGAGTTGCTAACTTGAAGCACATGCTGAAGAGTCTCGAGTAATCGCCGGCGTACTACCTTTGCCCCGAAACTGCCTGTTCGTGAAAGGGTTTCGACGACTCGCATGGCTCCCCTAGTTATAAATCAGCCACAGTTTGGCACTCATTGCCAGGAGGTGGAAACATGCTCTTACATTCCACCAAGTAAACTTTCAAAACCGAGCTATTGATGATATCAGTCCACATCCCCAAAAATACTCTATCTATCAAACACTAACGACATTGAGAATCGGAACGCCATAACGGAAGAAAACATCCTGGCCCCGTTGAATTTGATCCCAGTCAACCCACTGCGGAATGGTATTGATCTCAGTCCATAGCTCGTTGAGCTTCGGGTCCTCCTCCGCATGGTCCCTCAGTAAGCCATAAAGGTCCTTCTTGAAAGGCCGTTTATCGGCGCCGTCATCCGCGGATGGAATTTTGTTCAAGCGCTCCACACATTCGTCGGCCAGATAATCCCAGCTGTACATCAACGGCTTGAGGTTATCGGAGGAGGAGTGAAGGTCAGTCTAATGAAAGGAGTAACCCCAGTAGTGGCACTCGGTACTACTTCCGCTCTTGGGACTCTTCAAAGCCATGATTGTGGTAAGCTCCGAGTAAAAGTAGACCAGAGATTATTTGTGTATTTCTTCCTGAGATGAGAAAAAGCCCATGTTTCTAATATATTTCTTCAAGTCATCCAATGGCAGGTGTTTCCGTGGGTTGCCGGGGTCCAGACTCCACGGCCCTAAGGAGAGAGGGGTTATGAGATCGATCCATGACATGTGAAGCTATTTCAGCCAATAAGATCATCGACGGATTTAGATATATGATACCTATGTAGCTAGTTAAACGTTGATTGGATAATATCTACTCCGTACAAGTAGTCACAATTTAAGTTCTTTAACACCGAGAGACATTATCTGACTCTGAAACAGGCCCTGCTACTTCAATGTTTTTAAGGAGCTGTGAGATACCCCGTAGTGGATTCAACTTTTCTCCTAATACCTAGGTGATACTGTCTTGCACGGAGTGAATCGAAACTTTGCCAGCCTTTGATAGATTTGCGCTAATAGCCTTGTATGCTACCTTTGATCGCCGCTTTGTCTTTCACATTCTACGCTTCACATCCTTTGATCTTTTTATGTTTCATTGGTGCTTCACAAGAAGACATTTGGAATGATGGCTCAGCGAGGGAATGGATTATTGCTTAGGCTAGACTATAAAGGCCGCAGCTTTCGCTGGTTGACAATGCTTTCCGTCTAATTTTCAAACCTCCTCACCAGAGAATCCCAATAGCCATGGAGCTAAGACCAACCATTAAGTTCAAGCTAAATGGAGTATCCAAATCCGGTGCTGATGTCGATACCTTGGAACTCCAAGCTTGCCACCGCGCTCTCAACAACCTGCGGAGTTTATTGTTTCAAGAGCCGATGTTAGATCTCCTGAAAAACCAAATCGAAGAAGGAAACCGCTATTTTGAATCGCTGATTCAAGACTCTCGAGGAGGATTCAGAGAATGCAGAACATACATGAAAGTAACCGGGGTCTCGGCGACAGACCTGAGAACAATCTGCGGTCGCTGGCAGGTCTACCAGCCCCTTGATGAGATGGCGCGATCGTTTGTATTCCCAACGCACCCAGAAAACTATATGGTTATGCATTCGCCCGAAGCTTCCGCCAGCATTGGGCCAGACTGTGGGGTGGAGGTCATCGGGGAGCATATGGCCAAGGTACAATTTTCTAATCTCATGGACGGTGGAGAGATTCCCAAGTGGATGGCGAAGCAGCGAGAGGAAGAGTATGAAATGGTGGAGATCTTGCTTGCGAAAATTGACAGTGGGAGCAAGTTCTTCTATATCATGAACGAATTCATGGATACCGAGGGCGGTTGCAAGATCAAGCTACGGACCTTTTTTCCCTCTGCTTCGCCTTGGATATTGGTTAATGGATATGCTGAGCATCTTGCAATCGAGTTTCGAAACCTCCTTCACATGGTTTATGAGACCATCGAGGAACTTGAAGACAGCTATTGACCCTTTTTTTTTTTTGCGACCGAGGTAGATATCATCATCGACAGTCCTCGGTACTAGATATCATGGGTTATTCCAGATCGTCGGGGGGAGTTTTTTTTTTGAAATATTTTTCTGCAATGTAAACATTATTGGATTGATTTTCATGGCTGTCCCAAGGTCATTGTGGAGTAGATACAGTAGATCATATGGGACTTATAAGATGAGCCTACATGTTTAGTGATTCGAGTAGTTTTCAAAAACTGCAAGGTTGACAAAACCAAGTAGACAAATTCCCACTATTGTAAGATTGCATGATCGAAAACCAGCCACAAAGATTAGGTGGCATAAGCCAAGCTGAAGCTGAGGGATGGATCTGCTTCCATGGCCGCGATTCGCTCCGCGGGGATGAGACCGAGGATTGGACGAGTAGATCAGGGGGACTCCACGACCGAGGTCTGAGAAACTAAATTCAATTCCAACACCTGTAATCTGCAATCCAAAGCGAATGCTAGGCTTGGGACGACCTCAATTGAAAGCGCGGCCATCGTTGTTGGATCTGATAACCACAAAGCATACGTTGACACAGCCATCACCGCCCGCCGAGCTGCCACCGCTTCCAGACTCGCCCTCCTCAACTACCTTCACCCACTCTGTGTCCCCCCATTCCACACAGGCTTCTTTCATTATGACTTCGGACGATTCTGAGAACAATGGCTCGATCTTTTCGGTCTCCGGCCCTGTCGTCGTGGCCGAAAACATGATCGGTTGTGCCATGTACGAGTTGGTAGGCAACCCCAGCTCCAAGATCGTGGAGAACCCCAGATACTGACCGCATAGTGTCGTGTCGGTCATGACAACCTTGTCGGTGAGGTCATTCGCATTGAGCAAGACAAGGCCACGATTCAGGTCTACGAGGAAACAGGTACAGCTCCACACCCTCCCTAAACCCGCATCTTAGCCCCCAAAGAGCTATGCTGACCGACGTGAACTTTGAATAATAGCCGGTTTGACTGTCGGAGACCCGGTAACGAGGACAGGAAAGCCACTTTCAGTCGAGCTTGGGCCCGGTCTGATGGAGACGATCTACGACGGTATTCAGCGACCCCTCAAAGCCATCGCCGACCAATCGAAGAGTATCTACATTCCCCGTGGTATTTCGGTGAATGCCTTGGACCGCGAGCGAAAGTGGGAATACAAGCCTACTAACTTCAAGGTCGGCGATCACATCACTGGTGGTGACATCTGGGGTTCTGTGTTCGAGAACAGTCTGGTGAACGACCACAAGATCCTGCTGCCTCCCCGCGCACGGGGGTACTATTACTCGGATTTCTCCTGCAGGCAGCTACACCGTCGAGGAGAAGCTCCTCGAGGTGGAGTTCGATGGTAAGAAGTCCGAGTTTGGTATGATGCAGACCTGGCCCGTCCGTGTTCCCCGCCCAGTTAGCGACAGGCTGGCCGCCGATGCGCCCTTCATCGTCGGCCAGAGAGTGTTGGATGCTCTCTTCCCTAGTGTTCAGGGTGGTACTGTCTGTATTCCTGGTGCTTTCGGATGTGGAAAGACTGTTATTTCCCAGAGTGTGTCCAAGTTCTCTAACAGTGATATCATTGTCTACGTTGGCTGCGGTGAGCGTGGTAACGAGATGGCCGAAGTCTTGATGGATTTCCCCGAAGTACGTGCCCTCCCCAAAATTACTGCGATAACATTTTCCTGACTAGCTTTCTTTCGCAGCTCTCTATTACTGTCGATGGCCGCAAGGAGCCTATCATGAAGCGTACCTGTCTGATCGCCAACACCTCCAACATGCCTGTCGCCGCCCGTGAGGCCTCTATTTATACCGGTATCACTATCGCCGAATACTTCCGTGATCAGGGCAAGAACGTGGCTATGATGGCAGACTCCAGTTCCCGTTGGGCTGAGGCTCTGCGTGAGATCTCGGGTCGTCTGGGTGAGATGCCTGCTGATCAGGGTTTCCCCGCGTATTTGGGAGCCAAGCTGGCCTCCTTCTACGAGCGTGCTGGCAAGAGCAGTGCCCTGGGTAGCCCCGAGCGTGTGGGCAGTGTCAGCATTGTCGGTGCCGTCAGCCCGCCCGGTGGTGATTTCTCCGATCCCGTCACTAGCAGTACCCTGGGTATTGTCCAGGTGTTCTGGGGTCTCGATAAGAAGCTGGCGCAGCGCAAGCACTTCCCTTCAGTCAACACTTCCATCTCCTACAGCAAGTACAACGCAGTTTTGGATAAGTACTACGAGAAGGACCACCCCGAATTCCCTCGTCTACGCGACCAGATTCGTGAGCTTTTGGCCAAGTCTGAGGAACTGGACCAGGTCGTTCAACTGGTCGGTAAGGCGGCGCTGGGTGACTCGGATAAGATCACGCTGGACGTGGCCAGCTTGCTCAAGGATGACTTCCTCCAACAGAACGGATACAGTGACTACGATCAATTCTGCCCCTTGTGGAAGACAGAGTACATGATGAAGGCGTTTATGGGCTACCACAACGAGGCTCAAAAGGCCGTTGCTCAGGGTCAGAACTGGAACAAGGTCCGTGAGGCTACTGCTGATCTCCAGAGTGCTCTGCGAAACATGAAGTTCGAGATTCCGGAAGATGAGGCAGAGATCTCGGCCAAGTACGAGAAGATCCTCCAGTCTATGACTGAGCGATTTGCCTCAGTTTCGGATGAGTGAAAGTGACATCTTATCTTAGCATGTATTTCCCTTTAGATGTTTGTTTGAGCACATTCCCCTGTAGTTATTGTGTCCAACTCGAGTTGTTTTTTTTCCTTTTGGTGCTCTTTAACGTAGTATAACTTCTAGATGTACATGTGGCCCGTACGCGTCAGGCAGCACAAGATTTGCACACATGACCGGAGATGATAGATATTAGGTATTTGATTTGAAGAAATACACTATTTCTCTTGAATATCTAATCTTATAATACTACAACATATATTATAGTGAACCATCACTACCACTTTTGCCTGGAGCCTAGGTAGACACCGGAGAGAGACCGCTCTGGACGCCACTACATCACCGCCTTCCGAGTCGACCAAACAATCATCCACTTGCATCGTGTCTCCCCCGATTTCGCTTTATTCAACTTCTACCTTGTGCCTCTTTTTTCTTTCTTGCTTTTTGAATTTTTCTTGCCTAGAAGCAGTTTTCATATCCAGTATCGCCAGCCATGGCAAGCCCAACGTCTGGCCACTCGTGCGCAAACCCCTGTCCCTTTCCGATGCGGTCTGGCTAATCTCCGTGTAGCATAAACGTCAATGACCCCAGCTTGATTTCGCTAGTTAACAAGCTTCAAGATGTCTTTTCCACAGTCGGCGTATGTATAAATCTCAGAGATCACAAATCAATTGTGATTCCAGGGGTACCACATTTGCTAAGACCGCCGCCCGCTTTAGGTTCAAAACCCGATCGATTTGCCCCAAATTGCCGTTGTCGGATCACAGTCTAGTGGAAAGAGTTCGGTTCTAGAGAATATTGTCGGCCGGGATTTGTATGTTGGTTGTGTTGGGGAGCTTGCGCGGCCGCCCAATCAACGCCTCCGGTGGCGGGGCATGCGACATGATGTGAACAATAATTGCTAACCACGTTTTTTTTCTTGCAGCTTGCCTCGTGGCTCTGGAATCGTGACACGGAGACCTCTTATTCTGCAACTGATCAACAAAACCACTACCACAAATGGTGAGACTAAGCTGGAGACGACGGACAGCGAGTCCAATGTGAACGAGTATGGTGAATTCCTGCATCTCCCGGGGGAGAAGTTCTACGATTTCAACAAGATTCGCGATGAGATCGTGCGTGAAACGGAAACGAAGGTCGGAAAGAATGCCGGAATCTCGCCCTCCCCGATAAATCTGCGCATCTACTCGCCTAACGTCTTGACCTTGACCCTCGTCGATTTGCCAGGTTTGACCAAGGTGCCCGTTGGAGACCAACCGAAAGATATTGAGAAACAGATCCGTGACATGGTCCTCAAGTATATTAGCAAGCCCAACGCAATCATCCTAGCAGTCACTTCGGCCAACCAGGATCTTGCCAACTCCGATGGCCTGAAGCTGGCACGCGAAGTCGACCCAGAGGGCCAGCGCACCATCGGTGTCTTGAGTAAGGTCGATCTGATGGACGATGGAACCGATGTGGTGGATATTCTCGCTGGACGAATTATCCCCTTGCGCCTGGGTTATGTGCCGGTGGTCAACCGTGGCCAGCGTGATATTGAGAACAAGAAACTCATTGCCTACGCCCTGGAGAACGAGAAGAACTTCTTCGAGAACCACAAGGCGTACCGGAATAAGGCTTCCTACTGTGGTACGCCATATCTGGCGCGGAAACTGAACTTGGTACGGATTGACCCCTAATCGTCTAGTAGACATTTGAACTAACGGACTTCCTCTTTTTAGATCCTTATGATGCACATCAAGCAAACCCTGCCTGATATCAAGGCCCGAATTTCCGCCTCCCTCCAGAAATACACCGCAGAGCTAGGGCAACTAGGTGACTCTATGCTCGGCAACAGCGCCAACATTATCTTGAACATCATCACTGAATTCAGCAACGAGTACCGTACAGTCTTGGAGGGAAATAACCAGGAGTTGTCCAGCATCGAGCTGTCCGGTGGTGCTCGTATTTCCTTTGTGTTCCACGAACTTTACTCCAATGGTATCAAGGCTGTCGATCCCTTCGACATCGTGAAAGATATTGACATCCGGACAATCCTTTACAACTCGTCCGGTTCCTCCCCTGCCCTATTTGTCGGTACTACCGCCTTTGAGTTGATCGTCAAGCAACAGATCAAGCGCTTAGAAGAGCCAAGCTTGAAATGTATCGCGCTGGTTTACGACGAGTTGGTGCGCATTCTGACCCAGCTCTTGACCAAGCAGCTGTTCCGCCGCTACCCTATGCTGAAGGAGAAGTTCCATGCTGTCGTCATCTCCTTCTTCAAGAAGTGCCTTGAGCCCACCAACAAGTTGGTCAAGGACTTGATCAATATGGAATCCACCTACGTAAACACCGGCCACCCCGATTTCCTGAACGGACACCGCGCCATGGCCCTCGTCAACGAGCGCCAGGCAGCTGCCAAGCCTACACAGGTTGACCCCAAGACTGGCAAGCCTCTCATCCCAGCCCGTGCCCAGAGCCCCTCGCTCGACACCAGCGGTGAGGCCAACAACAATAGTGGATTCTTCGGCAGCTTCTGGGCTTCCAAGAACAAGAAGAAGATGGCTCTCATGGAGGCTCCTCCTCCAACTCTCAAGGCTTCAGCTAGCTTGTCTGAGCGTGAAGCCACCGAAGTCGAGGTTATCAGTAAGTGAACCAGCTAATATAAACTCCTTGTGGTACTTGACTAACACTCACGCAGAACTCTTGATTACTTCCTACTTCAACATTGTCAAGCGCACAATGATCGACATGGTCCCCAAGGCGGTCATGTATACCCTGGTCCAGTATGTCATATCCTTGCAAAAAAAAAAAGATCATCCCAATATTTGAGTATACTAACGAATTATTTCCCTAGGTTCACCAAGGATGAGATGCAACGTGAACTACTCGAGAACATGTACCGCACTAACGAGCTCGACGAACTCCTCAAGGAGAGCGATTACACGACCCGCCGACGAAAGGAATGCCAACAGATGGTTGAGAGCCTGGGTCGCGCCAGTGAAATCGTCAGCCAAGTCCAGTGAAGAAAGAGTGGATTTGGTCACCAGACGATTTTTTCGCACAGGAAAAAAACCATTCCATTGACCACTGCATGATTGAGCTATCGCGTTGGCGGAGTTAGGCTCCTCGCATCTCTTTGTGATTTTTGCAACACCCTTCGAATATCTTGACTATACTCCGTACTTGCTTTGACGTTCTTACCATCCCTTGGTTAGCGACTTGTTTCCGTTGGTCCTTATTTAGATGTTGATCTGGGTGGTTTGGGTTCGGGGTTCAGATTTCGGATTCGCGTCCTTGGTGATCGTCTGATTTTGATGAGAGGGGGGAGTTCTTTGCTTCGTCCTGCTATGTTTTTTCTTTTCGTTTTCCCCCTCCCCAATTTGAGAGCTTTATACCGTTTTCCTTTCTCATTGCTTGGTCTGTTGTCTGTGTTCGCGGACTTCATGCCATGGACGCCCGGATGATTGTATCAATTAATGATTCTGTCCCTGCTTTATGACTTAGCTTAGAATTCAAATTTCGACTTTTCAATTTGTTCGCTTGTTTATGAGATAGTACCTTTGGCATTTAATTGGCTCATGTGTCAATATACTTGAAAGAATAGTCGCCCATGCGGCCTTGATGTAGTAGGACTTGAATTGTAAGCCCTGAAAAGTCAGAGGGAGATAGTCATGATGTATTCCTATCACTACAGCAGCCTACTAGAGCGGCAGATGCCATCTGACTTCTGCCGCCCTGAGTCGTCGGCCGACCTCGGTCAATACGGCGCTCGCTGCACATGTAAGTACATAGGGTGATGCAAAATATATAAATGCAAATGCAAATGCTGGCAGACCCCCAATAGGGCAAGGTCGGCCGTCTACTATGTAAGCGGGCTTATGCGGTCTAGGATAGTTGGGCCGGTCTTGTACAATGTGACCGTCGGCAGGCGATGGTCTTACGCGAAAGGCAACGTGCGAGATTATCAAAATGAAGCAGCAGAAAAGCAAGGATAGTAACACTCACAGGGAGGTAATGATGCGAACGTTAAGTTCTGTGTCTTCGCCGGAGGGATTGGACTCCGCCTGTGTCTCGTTCGTATGTGTATCTTCCTGTCGGTCGACAACTGGTCCTCGGATGACTTGTCCTCGAATATCTGATAAGGATCTAGGGTGGGAGCTGGCTTGAGAGGTTAATCTTCCAAGTCAGCGGTAACCGAATCCTATATGCCAGGCGGCCGACGTGCTCAGTGACTATAAAGAGGCCGGCGTACTATTTTCTTATGTATGGAAACTTTTAGATGGTCATGAAGATAATGATGTTCTTCATTTTTTACTTCTGCATGTTGGAGGTGGCAGAGGTACTTTAGATACATAGAAACTGGAAACTTCCAGTGAGTACAAAAACTGAGCCAACATCCCAAGCAAGTATCGAAATATGGACGTTAATGCTGTCCATAAAAGGGTTTGAGCCGAGATTTGAAGACTCAGCAGAACCGGCGCAAGGTGCAAATGTTGGTCAATGCAAACACAATCTCTGGATCCTCCCATATCAAAACAAAGTCGTTCATACATTTCCATATCCATCCCCCTCCCATATTCTTCACCAAGCCACATGTGTTGCCGTGAGATGCACAAGTTGTAGTGAAGTCAAGTCCATACTGGACCAGTTCGTCTTTCGAGGTAATGTGCTTCCATTCAATGATTCCATGACCGTCTTGCCAACGGTGTCTTCAGGCGTGTGTATGATGCTTGGACTTGGTGCCATTTTGCCTTGTTTCGTTTTCTTGTATTGTTGTTTTTTGTGTTTTTTGTGGGCTGTGGGTTGTGGCTGTCCTGTTGCAACTTGCTGGTTGAGCGAGGTTGCAAGTCCCCAATGGCGAAGACTCTTGTGGTCATAGTGTGACTCTAATGGGGGCTTTTCTTCTTCTTCTTGTTCTCTCTTTTCAATATATGCCTTCAGCTTGGAATCGTCAGCTTTAATATCTTCGACAGGGAAATTGTTTTGAACACGTACCATACTCACGAGTCTTGTCACGATAAACTTGTCTTGGAACAACCGTCTCGTGTGAAGCAAGATTGGGGATAGCAGAGAGTCATTGTATTTGATGCATTGGTGAAGTCTTGAGGTTGTTAGAGAGTTGGTGGTCGGTCATAAGTAGCTTGGGCAGAGGAGCTCGATGATCGGTGCCCCGTGTCTCAATGTGCCAGCCCAGTCCAGTGGGAAGTTGCTCAGCAGTTAAGATTAAAGTCGATGCTGATTGATGTCACGTTAATGAAAGTGACAAGCATTGATGTTTTTTGTCTCAGGGGTGGGATCCTTGGTATCTTTCCATGAAGGATTGATGTCATCTTCGGTGTTGGGATTTGATGTGACCCAAAGCTGGAGATACCGAGAGATTGGTGGTTGTAGAATGCTGAGAAATGACTGGGCGATGTGCGCTGCAACCCTGCGGGGCCACTCTTGTCAGCCTTCGATACCTGATGTCTCCTCGCGGTGGGCAATATTGATATACCAGGGTCAACTCGCAGTGGACAGCATTGATGTACCAGAATCAACTCGCAGGCCAGTGGCCGTCGAGGATAATGGTTCTTCATGCTGCCACAGCCCCAGGTACCAGAAACATGGATCCCCTGATTCATAACACTCAACACGCCGTCTGTTGGTGCTGAGTGATATGGTATCAGAGAATGGTATTTTTGGCTCACTTGGTGACTGTCGAGGAAGGTACCGAGGAGCCGGCAAGAGATGGTCGGTGGGTTTATTGCACTGGACTGGGTGGTCGGATGCAATGCCGAGTGAGATGTGGGGTTTCTCCAAGGTGGATTGAATTGAGCAGGAAGTTTTTCGAATGCTCGAGGATCTCACAGGTGGATAGTGGTGAATGGTAGTGACTGGAAGTGTTAGCATTGGGAAAAGGAAATCATGAGTTGAGAAACAAACAGTGGTATCATTGCATCCCGCTTGATTCAGGGGGGAATCATGAGCTCTGCTGGCTAGGCCATAGTTGAAAGGAAGATCCCGAAAGACTCTAGTGGAGTCAATAGGGAGCTTTGATTTTGGGAATCAGCCTTGGAAACTCCAAAGATAATGTTTGCGAACTCACCAAATCCCTTTCTCTGGCGAAGATCAAACTCAATTTTCCATTCCTTCTCCTTGTTCCTTCCTGTTCTTCCATCTAATGCAAACCCGTTTTTCCTTTCCTTTTTTTGTTTCTTCCATTTCCTTCATTTTCGATTTCCTTTTCCCCCCATTTCCCCCCATTTCCCCCTCTTTTTTTTATCTGGTGATGATGTTGATGATGGCTTTGGGGGATGATATTTTGGAGCTCGGTGTTGGGCAATTGTCAGAGGGTAGGCTCCATTCAAAGAGGTTTGTTGTCAAGAGGGTAAGACCAGTGGTTGGTCTTAAACTGGAGATGTTGCAATGGCAACCCAGAGGCATTTTCTGGTGGATGATACAAGCAGTCATTTTCGGCTGTGTTGAACATGACAGAAGAGTTCGAATTTTGAAAGGTGGCTTGTGTGGCTTTGATGGACTGAAATCATAAGCTGGAGATAAAAAAGACATACGTTTGTCAAATATCAAATCCATGGGAATTGTAGCCTTGCAAGGTTGCATCTTGCCAGATTTGTCTAAGACTGGCATGTTGTTGTGGGTATTCAAGAGAAGTGCAGAGGTGCGTGGATAGGATGTAGAACGTGGTGGTCACCTGCATAGACAGTCGAAATAATCGAGGTGGTGGCAGGCACATCAAAGAAAATGCGAGTCAAGTAGATGGAGGAAAATAATAAATATGGTTCCTGTGGCAGAAGACACCGAGGTGCAACCGCATCAGCCAATGGACTGGTACGTAAGATCTTCCACTCGTCATTGCAGAGCAGAAGGAACAGAGAGGAGGGGAGAGTTCTGATGCTAGAGTTCTTACCTAGAAAGCTCCAACCTACAACTTGGATTGCTGTTCGTGGTGGGAGGTGGAAGCAGCAACATAGAATTGGAAGACCATTGAGGCAAAGAGGTCATTCCAAACGAGACGCATGAGTGGAAAGACTGTCCAAAAGATGGGACAGATGAGAGACCTTTTCACATGTCTGATACAGTCAGCTCCATACAATGAAAGGCTTGAGGTATGATAGAGATAGTAATGTGATGATGGGAAAATATTGATGACACATGATGAAGGACAATAGGACAATAGGACAATGTTGATGACCCAGTAGGGTGACAACACGTTGAAAAGGTAATGGGGGAATGGGGATGAAAGAAGATACTTACAATGTGTAGCAATACAAGATGAAAAGCCAGAATGATGAAGCCTATATGTTGTGGGGTCTGTGAGACAAGTGCATGTTAGTGACTGAAGGGTAGTGACATGTTATGACATGTGATGACTGAAGAGTGGTGAGCAGACTTACCATAGTGGACATGGGCCACATAGATGTGTGTTGACGTGACAAACATGAAATATCGCAACGACGTGTTGCTGGTAGTCAGAGGTGGTGACAGACTGCATTTCCAATGAACATTGATGCAAGATATGATGGAAGATGTGATGCAATGGACAAGTTATCGATGAAACCCCTGATGGAAGAGGGGGAATTGATGATGTGTATAATGAGGAGGATGGAGAGTTGAAGAAGAAAAGAAAAATTCAGGAAGAAAAGGGAGGAGGGGGGGTATTTATAGGAAGAAATGAAGAAATCAAGAGACTTTCCGTTTAGGAAGGTGACCTGCCTCTTTGGAAAGAACAATGGGGGACAATAGAACCCCTGCCTATTGTTCATTGTTTATTGTCACATGTGATAATGGAAATTGAGGAAGGCGCGAATTTTGGAAGGCGCGACTCAATGGATACAGGTGGTTTCATGGGTACATATGTATGTGGTCAACCCCCTCCCTCTCTCAGACTCATCCCCATCGGGGTATCTACGTAGAATTGGCTAGGTACATGGGACTGTTATCTAGTGGGCATCCTTGTAGAAGGCATGAAGAACTGTATCTGGAAAACTAGAATTGGAGATAAATCAAAGCTAGTTGTAGTAGAAAGTCGAAGCTGTCACCATTTCTGATATCACTAGCTGTTATTTAGCTATGTGTAGTTATGGGCTCATGCTTGTCTCGTCTCCAGAGGCTCAATTTCTCATATCATCACCCGCACAAATTATTGAGACTCCTGGGGTTTCCGAAGTGTAGAGGCCACAGATATAAGTCTAGGAGACACCATCTTCTATGCCAGATACAGGAAGACTAAACCAAAATATACCTATATGGACCTTGAACTAAACGATATACTATATCTGAAGTAAATTCACATATTCTGGGATCTTCAACGCTGTCATAGAGTTAGAGATAAGCTTTTGACGCTAGACTGTGTTCGGGATAGCGTATCCGCCCGTTATGCGACTAGGTAGCTAGGAGGTCCCGAGGTCTCACCGGCACCAAGGACTGTGCTCATGGTGCCGTTTTTGCTATGGTATCTTAAACGGCAGGATAAGGATATCGGAATATCATATGCAAAGCAAGAGGCGAAAGTACAAAATGAAAAATCCATCAAAGGAACCAGGGCGGTTCAAACTCGCATAGCTAAAATGGCCTCAAAAAGCAAGGAAGAATCAGTAAAATTGACCGATGTCTACTTCCGCCCGGTATGTCTATAAACATAGTGCCAATCCTCCTTGTTCAAGTCCTGTCGCACCTTATAATTCCTCTCCGCCGTCTCAATAACTTCCATATCCAAATCGGCAACCATGAGTCCCTCCTCGTTCCCCATCTTAGCAATCGGCCCCACAAGAGGGAGTGTAATCTGTGACAGGCCCAAGAAATCCTCCGGCGGCCCGGCAGCATTGACAAAGACAATGCCACAGGTATTTTCAAAGCAGCGGGATGTAATGGTCGAGTCGAGGAACAAGCCTTCAGAATCTGGGTTATACGCGCGGGCTTCGGGGGAGGCGTCGTGGGGTGTCCCTGGTTAAGGCTCCAGTTAGTTCAAAGAACACATACAAGTATATACCATAGGGAGCTCAACGCACAGTATGTAGGCACAATCACAATCTGCGCCCCGTCGATGATCAATTCCCGGAATGCCTCAGGGAATGCCAGGTCCCAGCAGACCAACATCCCTACACGGCCGATCGGGGTGTCAATCGCCACATGAAGCTCTGGGCCTGATGAGGTGAGGTGGGGTCGTTCCGGGTGCCAGATGTTCTTTTTACGGTAGGAGCCGAGAACAGTGCCATCGTTTGAAATGAAGTAGGCTGTATTGTAGAACAGGTCTGATTGATCGGGCCCTATATCCTTTTCGATGATTGTACCCGGTACGATGCAGATCTGCAGTTCCTTGGCCAAGCTTTGGTAGTTTGCTAGGTACTGGGCGGATTCGCCGGCTTGGATCGCCCAGAGGGGGTCTGTAGGGACCATGCCGCTGAGATGGTATCTGGTTGTTGTTGGTCAACAGGTAATCCTTCCAAGGCATATCTAGGGAGTTGTCAAGCGTTGTCATTTCGCATCGGACAAGGTCTGATCTCATGTTTCTTACTCTGGAAGAACGGCTAGCTCAGCGCCTTGGGTAGCAGCCTCACGGATGTAATCGCATGCCGTCGTATGATTGTAATCAATTTCAAGCTCCTGGGGGAATGTAAGTAAATCCGATCGCGATGAGACTGCATGTCCTCGATTGGTTTGCAGCTGGACTCGGCCAAATGCGATGCACCCACCTTGATCTGCCATTGAATAACGGCAATTCGATGTGTAGAGGCCATGATATGTCAATTTCACATGTACGAGATGCTGATTATAACGAGGAGAAGAAAGAACTATCAGGAATTAATTACTATCAATGGTTATCAACCGATTACCCCAACATGAAGTTGGAGAACTTGGGGTCAATGAACAATGTAACCCCAACCCCACTCAGATCAAATCGTCATGTACATATCCAGGAAATCAACATATCCAGTACAATAATACTCAGCCGTTAGTCGTCTATATCCCTGATGTAGTTCAATAATTTGATCAATTTGGCTTAAGATGAGAATGGAAAGTGTGTACGATTCCTCTACAATGCCTCTTTGAATGTCTTGTTTCTCGTCTCATTTTATAACTAGAAGGATAGAAATGTTAATTCACCCCACGTAATAGAATACCTGGGATAAGAAAAGTGCTGAGAATTCCCAAACTAAAACTTCCATGTCATGCAATATGGTAAGTTTGTATATGGCCTCAGAAAAACAGTATATATATTCTCAATGATCAAGTAACATAATAGAATACCACGTCGAAACGAGGAAGATGACTTCTAAAGAATACCCAACTCCTTTAGACTGAAGGTCGGATTCTTCCTCGACAGACCAAGCGATCAACCTAGAAATGCGAGAAAACAGTATGCATTGTGGGCATGGTGCCACGCAAAGTACCCGACATCGGGAAGCAGAGTCTCTTCATGATTCTATGGTCGGTATCATACTCTTTGAGAGTAGTTTTTGTCGTAAATATTAGCCTCATACAACAGTTGAGTATGGTTATTGAGGCAGCCAGGTCGTAAAGCGCGAGGCGGACTTGTAGTTGAAGGTGATAGGACAGTAGCAGATGGAGAGGTCTGCTTCGGTGATGTGATAGTGATGCAGGCGGCAGATCACAGGAAAATGATCGTTGGACAGGTGTGTATCAGCTGCCCTCGTGTCAATGTAAGACTTCCATGGAAGCAGATGGGACAACTAGTATCCATTAGCGCAGTGATGATCACATTGCATGAGGCCATTCATAAAGTTGCGCGATGAACTTCTACGACTTGTTGGGCTGCGAATGCGATATTTGACCCTTGTATGTATTTCAAACGGGTGAAAAGTTGTTCGAATTCCATTTCCGTCTCCTTCACGGGCTTGGAAATTGGTGAGTCGGAGTCAAAGTAAAAAAAATGACCATTGAGCCTCTGGGGTCCATTTCCATGGCAGGCGCATCGTCTTTGAATGGCGCGGCGGGGTTCAGAATATATTTTGGTGAAGAACCAAGGAGAATAAAGAAGTTAAAACTGAATTGGAGCGCATCTATACCACAAAAACACAGATTGAAACGAGGAAAACTGAATTTTGTCGTTTTGTCGCTTTTCAACATTGTTTATCAATGCAAAACCCGTCACGCCCAAGCTCTTATTATAAAAATGACTCAAAACGGACCAACTTATACCATATCACAGTCACCACCGAGTTGATCTGTGTCTAGAGTGCACTCAAAGTGATCACCCACATTGTTGTCGGATTTCACCCTGAGCGTATCCCAGTTGATAGCGGTAGTGGTGCAGTTGCAAATGGTGTGGGTAGCTGTGCTCGAGTGTTCACCACAGCCCTTGGGGAAAGGCCCAGATCCCATCCATATACAGCCTTGAAGATTGTCATCAACAAAATCAGGATGTAATGGGTAATGTACTTGTTGACGGAGGGCTTGGTGTTCTTGATATAGACACGGACAACAGAGGAGAACTGGGCCAAGCTCAGACGTGAGGCTGAGATGAGCCTTGTTAAATAACGGCAGTTGTGAGGTAAACTAACATCTAAGTTAAATTTAAAATCTGGCTAGATCTTCCATACTGCTTATCACTTCTGGTCTGGATTTCGCATTGATCTTCACAAAATTCTAGAATGGCCTGACAAGAAGAATGTTAGCCATAGAGCATTAGATGTTCTGATCTTCGCACAATTCTAGAATAGCCTAGGAAGAATGCTGGCCCTAGGAGATTAAAAAAAAAAAGAGAATGCTATGCCACTATCTTGGGTGACAGTGCCATCTTTTATGGAGTCAGGAATGACCTAGATCTCAGATACTCGGGAGGTGCCTCAGTATCTGGAAAATGGTCACCCCTTCAGGTAAAGAATGTTGGGCTACCAGTGCTGACCAAGATATACCATTTTCGGGTTTCAGTCAGAATGCACGGATGCACGGGAGTAAGAAGGCGTGAGACACGTCGACAAATAGTTGGAGAAGAAGCAACTTTCCACTGCCAAGTACTCCGTATAGGGTGGCTGTCCTATCAAAGATGAAGAATGTACCCAGCCACATTGGACCAATTAGAGGGGATACATAGTGATATTGTATATTTCGGCAGCCCTAACAGCATAGGGGTAAAATTCAGCTAGGAACGGGCCACTACATAGCCGGAATGAAAAGTGGGCCAATCTAGAACATCCCTTTTAATATGTAATTAGGCAGCTACAATATAACTTTTTAAGGTGATCTGCCAGTTTCAAGATTTCTTTTGGGATGTATAAGATGCCAAGATTAAGTACATATATGTACTTCATTTTCACGTGCCAGACGCATAATCATACATACATGTATACTGCAGGGATGTACCTACCTACATCGGCCAAGGCCGAGTATGTACTCCGTGCGCCGCCGTATTCCGTAGTGAATCCCGATTCGAATCCTTCCGAATTAAAGCTTGTCAGCTTATCTAGAATGGAGTCCGGAATCCACCAAAGCTCCTTTTATTTTATATTACATGTGGATTTATTCCAAGGTAATACATACTTATACACATATATTCGATGTTAAGACATCTGGTGTTATATTTATATCAAACCCTAAAGGAATTACACTTTACTTCGCCCCCAAAACCCCACGGGACAAAAAAAACGATCGACAAACCTTCAAAGAACCCACGTTTTTGGTGGCATCTGACAATACCATACCTGTAATGTAAGATTCCCGCATGCGTGATTTTTCTTAGAGCTTTTCACCAAAAGATTTTTCCTTTCTTTTTTCGATTTGGACTATGATTCTCTACCTTTGTTTCCATTCCTCTCTTCTCACCTTCCATCCGTTATGCCCTTGATCATCTCTACGCATAATTGTGGCTCAATGCCACGCGGCTAAGAGTGTCCGTGGTCTCTTCCTGCACGAGTCGAAAACTCTCCGCTCGGTAGCGATCGACGGGACCACATGTATGCCGCGACAAAATCGAGATCTTGAAAAAGAAAAAAGAAAAAAGAAGCGCTAATAATCAATAGGATTGACAAATTTCCCCCATTCCGAGAGCAGCCCTTCTCAACATCCCCTCCGCGGCCAGTGCCAGTGGTCTCCGCTTGGCAACGGTCTGGCCGCAGTCCGTTCAACATGTTCTCGGCCGTTCTTCACCGGGTGACATCCTACAAAGGAAAGATTCCGCTCCTCAATCAACTGCATCTCAATTTCATTTTCCTCCACTATACCTATATCATATCCTGGGCTATCATCGGCTCCATCATCGTTTACCCCGGAGGGAACATCAGCTACATCGATGCCCTCTTTCAATCCGTCGGCGCTGCCACCCAGAGCGGGTTGAACACTGTCGATCTGAATAAACTCTGGCTATATCAGCAAATCGTCCTATACCTGATCACGTGCCTGTGCACGCCGATCTTCATCCACAGCGCCCTGGTGTTTATTCGGTTATACTGGTTCGAGAAGCGATTCCAACATGTTGTCCGAGACGCTCGTGCAATGCGACGGACTCGATCCCGCATGGATACCGTGACCGATGATGGGGACAGCGAGGATATCAATATCAACCGTGCGGAGGCGGGAGTCAGTGGTCGACCTATTACGGTGATACGGGATGATTCAGGGGATGCCCGGGACACTCGGTTGACAGATCCGGTTAGCAAAAACATCAATTCCGGTATCAACACACCAGAAGCCCGGGAGAGCAGTGTCGACTCTAGCTCCGAGGGAACAGACTCGAGTCGCGAACCTCGTTTCGGCCTCGGTAGCTTAAAGGTGCCCACCCATTTGAACCCTGAACACCACATCGCCTTCTTGGAAAAGCAACGGAAAGATAAAGGAGCTCTGCGAATTCCGAGTCCCCGGGAGTATGACCGTGGTGGTGCGCCTGAGGCTTTGGAAATAGATGTGGACCAGGAGGGTGAGCAGGCTCATCAATCCAGTGACCATGATGACCAAGATGACCAAGTAAGCCCCGGTACACACCCCGAGGAGATTGATCAGCTTGGTCCACTTGAAGGGCCACACATCACCATCAACGAGCCGGATTTTTCACGGTCCCGTCCACGCGGTAATACGTTCCCTCGTCTGGAGACTCGCCCCACTGTCCGGGAGACTAAAGATGGGAATGAGACTACCACTCTTGCTCCTGCTGCCACGAGGAATACCTTCAGAGGGTTTTTCCGATCTCTGACACAAGAGCGTGACATTTCCACTCAGCCCTATCTCAGCTGGAATGCCACAGTCGCTCGTAACTCCAACTTCGTTGATTTGACCGAGGAGCAGCGTGATGAGTTGGGTGGTATTGAATACCGTGCACTTAAGACGCTGGCCGTCGTTCTTATCACCTACTATCTTGGTTTCCATCTCATCGGTATGCTCAGCATGATCGGCTGGATTATGAAGAATAACAAATGGGGCGATATCGTCCGGGCTGATGGAGTTGGGCGGCCGTGGTGGGGAATCTTTACCGCTGCGTCCGCCTTCAACGATTTGGGTTTCACCTTGACACCTGACTCGATGTACTCCTTCCAAAGGGCTATTTTTCCTTTGCTGATGCTAGCATTTTTAATCATCATTGGCAATACTGCCTTCCCATGTATGCTTCGTCTAATGATTTGGGTTCTGTCGAAGTTGACTCGTCAGGGGACTGCGCTATGGGAAGAACTGAAGTTTCTTCTGGATCATCCCCGTCGATGTTTCACTCTGTTATTCCCTCGCAATGCCACTTGGTGGCTTTTTGCGATTCTTGTCGCATTGAATGGCATTGATATGATCTTCTTTGTCATCCTGGATGTGAGTTATTTTGGTTTTCTGTCTTCTACGCGACTTTCTCTGACCATGATTTTGTAGCTGAACGATTCTGCTGTCACTGCACTACCGCCCGGGATTCGAGTTGTGGACGGCTTCTTCCAAGCTGCTGCGACACGAACAGCCGGGTTTGGAATCATCAGTCTTTCGGATCTTCACCCCGCCATCCAGGTTTCGTATTTGATTATGATGTATATCTCTGTCTTTCCCATCGCTATCTCCATGCGTCGAACCAATGTCTACGAAGAGAAGAGTTTGGGTATTTACGATTCCGCAGAAGAGGAAGACGACGAAGACTCAAATGCCCCCACCTACATCGGAGCTCACTTGCGACGCCAGCTGAGTTTCGATTTGTGGTATGTCTTTTTGGGTCTGTTTATAATTGCCATTGCGGAAGGAACAAGATTGCAGGATCCAGCCGACTATTCCTTCCAGCTGTTCACTGTTTTGTTTGAAGTTGTCTCAGCATACGGCACTGTGGGTCTCTCGTTTGGATACACAAACAGCAACACCTCCTTCTCGGGGCAGTTCAATGTAGTCTCCAAGTTGGTGATCATTGCCATGCAACTCCGCGGTCGGCACCGTGGCTTGCCTTACGCGCTTGACCGTGCCGTCCTTCTCCCCTCGGACGCCCTCAATCGACACGAGGCCGAAGAGGGGGAGCGCCGCATGCGCCGCCGCACATCCAACCTTAGTGGTGGTGGGTCTTTCGTCCAATCGCAATCGCGTACCTTATCTCAGGCAAGGAACGATGCTGGTCTGTCTTCGGGTATGGAAACCCACGACTGGCAGACCCAGCCTGCTCCGAATGGAGACTCTTTGGTGCACCGTTCCTCGACTATCCGATCTAATCGGTAGAAAATGGGTGGAATCTTTTGATATTTTTTTATACATAGAGGCTTACGGCTTACGTTCTATATACATGCCCTGGCGGTTCAGTTTTAATTGTATTGCACATAATTACGGAAATATTGCCTTTTCTTCCCACGTCCCACTCCCATTGATTTAGTAAAATACGTCAAGCTCGAGGGTTGTGGTGCCACATTCCTTACCTGTTTGCAGGGACAAATCTTACCCTTTTAACCAATACAACCGTTTTGTATAACCTTGCTTTGATTGTAAAATGGAATTCCGTTCAAGCAGGGACAAGCAGATATTGATTGATATGTTTGTACCTTGCATGGTACCTAGTACTAGTCGATATAAGACGATGAAATAGACTACTAGTCTCCTAGCTATTTATAGTAAGATGATCCGTGGGTCCGCAAACGGGAAGGATCAGCGCTTGTCCATTCTAGGACAAAGTAGATGGTCCATGACGACAAACTCGATAACTGTTCTTGACATCGGAAACATTACAAGGTTACAAGGTTATGTACACTCTACGTAGAGTAGAGTTCATCCCCAAGTCCAACAACATGCTATATCCTTCATCTCAATATCTCAAATATATCAACTATCACCATGGACAACCGACAACTACCATATCTAGATCGTTACAGGAGGGCGAACACGACTGTCTCCACTATCGAAACTAAATCTCCATTCGCAACCAGCCAACCAGAAGGAGAGACAGACAGCCCATCCCAAGCTCCCTGGTATAACCCACGAGGCTGGTCGCTGCGCAAGAAACTCATCGCCAGCGTAACCGCGATACTAGTCATATTAGCCATTTTGACTGCAGTCCTAGTCCCAGTCGAAATAACCCAAAACCAATACCCAAACTACACACCTTTGAACTACACCATCGCGGACACCTATGCCGGCCCGACTTTCTTCGAACAATTCACCTATTTCACAGACGAAGACCCGACAAAGGGTTTCGTCGTCTACGTCAACAAATCAACTGCAAGACATCTGAACCTAACCTATGCAACTGAGTCCTCGGCAATCCTGCGCGTCGACGCATCAACCCCAAACGCCCGTTCCGGTCGAAATTCCGTTCGCATTGAATCGACAAATACATATGATTCAGGCCTTTTCATCTTCGATATTATTCATACTCCCTTCGGCTGCGCGACATGGCCCGCTCTGTGGTTAACCGATGGTTATAACTGGCCGGTGAATGGCGAGATCGATGTCCTTGAGACTACCAATATTGGAAGCCACGGAAATGAAGTCACCATTCATACTACAAAGGGGTGTAAGATGGATGTCAAGCGCAAACAGACCGGTCAGGCTATCTTCAAGAATTGCGATAATGTCACGAACGGGAATTCAGGCTGTGGTGTCATCGGTGATGAGAATACTTACGGAGAGGCAATGAATAACCGTGGCGGTGGTATTTATGCTCTTGAACTCCGTGACGCTGGTATTAGGGCTTGGTTCTTCCCGAGTGGAAATATCCCTGCTGATATTACAGCGGGGAATCCTGATCCGAGTAGCTGGGGGATTGCGCTGGCGGATTTCCCGAGTACCAATTGTGATATTGCGTCGCATTTCAAGAATCTCAGTATCATTGTCAATATCGATCTCTGTGGGGAGCTTGCTGCTCAGACGCAGTATTATGATACTTTGTATCATTGTCCGGCGACTTGTTCGAACTTTGTTGCTAGCAGTCCTGGCAGTTTTGTTGATGCTTATTGGGAGTTTAAGAGTTTCAAGGTTTATCGTGCTTCTTGAGCTTGAGGAAATTGTTTGGTGGTTGGTTTTTGTCCTTCTTTGCTATTTGCTTGGTGATATGATTGGATTGATCTGGAGCAAGAGGGATTTTTCTCGTTCCAGCGTGTAACCATTTCTAGTCGTTTGATAGGCCCTTGCTGAAGGAGTTTCGTGTTGGGATTTACTTGTGGGAAGTCAATGTAATGTATACTTCGCTTAAGCTATGGGGTTGGCTGCCCTTGGTGGCGTACTAGAGGATAAATTTGACATATCTTTCCTTTCATGATGTTTGTATTTCTCTTCTGATTGGCGGTACGGCATTGTACGGGCAAATCGCGGCAAAACCAAGCGACAATCGAGTTCTGGGGCTAGATCCACGATGGAGTACATGCAGGTATATGTATTTGAATATCAGGTCGTTTCAATCTTTTGGGAGACATCTACAGGACTTTTCGTTAGCAAGAACTCAACTATTGTTCAAGTAAAACTCACTTTGCAACTCATGCTTTCGGATCGTCGCTCTCCTCACTGTAACGCTCTTCGTCATTCGCTTCGTACTCCCTATCGTCAATATCGCCCCACCAGCCCTCTCCAGAGACTTCGATAGTATCATCAATGCGATGCATCAATGTTCCATAGAAGTGAATAGCACCTCCTTGCCACCAGAAATTAGCGTGAACAGGGCCAACGAATGCCTTAAACTCTTGGCAGTGTGGTTTATCCTCAGCGAGATCGAAGTACTCCACGTGCGCATTGTTGACAATGAGATTTAGATCCGTGCTGATAGTGCCGGAGAAATAGTGTCTTTCTCCATCACTGGTTTGGATCAGGGCACGTATCCTCCCCTCGTCACAGGTGAGACTGCCTGGACATTTATGCGCCTCGCGCGGTTGGCTACCAGCTCCTTGGATCATCGTCGTGGAAAATTGTGCGGTAGTGCGTAAAATCAATATGGCCTCCGAGGAAGTTGCTCAGTTCAATAGTTATTTTATGCGTTGAAAGGTGAAGCGGGTTAATTAGATGGATAGTTCTCGGCGCGGCGATTTCACAGCAAGTCAGATGGTCTGATAACCCCTTCTTAAAGTCTTCGCTAGAAAAGGTGAGAGATATTAGAAGACTCCTAGATCGCAGTGAGATATTAGTTTAGAAATAATGCCGAAAGAAATATGAAGGATAGATATTCAATTTCACTTGATTGCTAAATAAACATGGAATGGGTATCTCTAACGAAGATGAATCGCTCACCAAGCCCAATCGGCTATCAATAATTCATCTCCAGATCAAAATACACGGAATGCGTCAAAACTAACAATATTGGAATCAACCTCACAGTGTCGCAGTGTGGGGAGCCGTGGCCCGAATGAAAGAAACCCTAGGTATACCAAAACAAACCCCCGCGCAATAAAACAATCATCATAATCGTAACAACGAAGCTAAGAAAGAAAACCAAAGCAAGACAAAACTATAACTGTCGGAGGAGACTGCCATCTACAAAGGGGTTCTCCGGGGACACATCCAACAACGGTCGTGTGGCATTGCGGTCACCCGTTGCAACACCATGTCCGGTACGCGGATTCCGATGACTAGCCGTGCTGGTAGAATGTGCCAGCAGGCTGTTTGGGGTGAAGTCGGTGGCGGGCAGCGCAGGGCTTCCTTCAGCAGAACTTGGGGTCGCGTACTTATTTGAGTGATGGCGCACGCTGCGGGTGGTATTTTGCCGCTGAGGTATGGGGTCTGTGGCCGGCCGTCGCCACGAAGTCGATGGTGGGATAGAGATTCCTCCTGGAGTCTGATCTGGGCCAGTGGCGCCATCAATCAATTGCATGCCTGGTTGGACTTTGACGCCGTGGCCCTTTCCTTTGCGGCTATGCTGTGGTGGCTCGGCATAGACTGGAGTGAGATCAACCAGAGGCTTCTGGCTGACAGATAGAGTTCGACTGAAAAGGGATGGATCGGGAGCACGAGTCATTGTGTTGGTTCGACTATTGGGATTTGAATCATAGGCGGGGTTGTGCATGGATCCCCCGCCCATAAAGCCACCGCCTGAAAAGGGTTCCTGCTTAACTCTCCTATCGCGATCATCCCGTTCCCGCATAGCGGTTTGTCGTTGGGTGTAAGTTCGGCCTAGGAGTCCGGATGGTGAAAAAGTAGAAGTTTCTACTTCTTCAGGAGAGATGCCCGAGATTAATGCATGCTTATCAGTGAAAGGTCCGTCCATATCGGTATCGAGTGTCAGGGGCTGGGGATATGAAGCTGGAGGAGACCCATGTCCACGAAGGGTCTTCTTCCGGGTAAACAAGCCCTTGGAGCTCGTCGGCCTTTGCTGATCAGAGCTTTCACGCTTCGGAGATTCGGTCGACGTCTCCCGTTTCAGAAGTGGGACTTCGTTGTGCACACCTCTCGGCTGACGGGTTGATTTCTTCGTCCCAGCGCGCTTCGGAAGTGTTTCGGTCTCTGAATTCTGACCTGCTCCCTTCTTGTTGATAAGATACCAACTTCTCCACTTCTGTACTGCTTGGTACCATGTGTCTGCAATAGACTTGTCGCTGGTCGAGAAAAAGTGCAAGAAGTTTTCGGTGGACAGAAACATGGACGACTTCTGCTGGCTCTTAATTGCGAAGCACAACTTTTTAGGCGGCTTGATATCCTTGTTTAGCGCTCGAGCGCTGGGAAAGTAGATGTCATAGTCCGATATATGGCAGATATTGGTCTGCTCTTTAGCGCTCTCTTTTTTTGAGATTGTCACTTGTCCATCAGCACGCAAGGTGACATATCGCTTATCCCACTTGCGACGACGCTGGGAATGGTAAATATGGACAGTCACTGGGGATGGTTGCCCGCTGGGGGCATGCCCAGCCTCGAGCTGGGTTAGGGCTTCCACGCTGGAGGGGGAATAACGATGAACTGATTTTCCGCATCGTGTGACCAGGAGTTCATGACTTCCCGGACATGCTCGTAGCGGCGGAGAGGACGCTCTAGGCCAACTTGAGAGTAAGACTCCATGAGAATGAATTTCTCTGCATTAATGTCCCGAGATAAGTGTTTGGTGGCATCCAGCAATATATCCCGGACCTGGGTTGTCGGAGTGACAGTGAGATCCGCAGTGACATCTCCATATTTGACAAGGGCGCGTCGCTCTCCAGCGTTGACAGCACTGACAGGAGCGTCCAGTCCTGGAACCATTCCGGTTCCGCCCACCCCAATGTATTTGGGCAGAGACTCGGTTTTCTTGACATGGTCCTTAGATCTTGAAAGTTTGACTTTCTGAAAGAAAGTCAAGCGATTCCCATCATTTCCTGAATGCGAACTGCGCGGGGCATGTTCCGAGGCAGGTTGCGATCGGGGTTGTTGCGGGACCTGCTTTGACGAGGCAGATGCGGACACCTGAGGCTGCCGAATGCTTTGCGCCGAGTTATCCCCTCCAGTCAATTGTTCCATGGCACCTTGTCGGTGCACCTCGCGCATGTACGATCCCTTTTCATTTTGTGTTGCCAAAGGGCGATTGATTGTGGCCCGCTCAATTTCTCGTAACTCACCCCTTTGCTCCGGCTGAGTTCGCGCATGGCCCGGGATTATGGGAAGGGGAGGTGCGCTATTTCCATTTGACGATGGCCGATTGCGACGATATCGAGACCTGCTCCTCGCGAGCGAAGGGTTCTGTTCGACGCTTTTCACAGGCGCAGGCGCGGGCATTTCGACATCGGTTGTCATACCTTGCGCACGATATCGAGAAAAATTTTGAGACACGGACTGCACCGTTGTCATACTGTTCTCAATCACGAAGTTTTCTTTCGATTCACCCCCGAAGGGCGGAGGCGCGAGCGTTTCAGAATCTAAGGTTCTATCGCCAGGATAAGATTAGCGCTGCCTTCGTACCAAACGGCAATTTCCCGTAATTTCCAAACCAGTACTCCGTACTGCGGCGAGGTGGAAAACACACAAATGTGGGAAACAGGCACAATGGGAATGGAAACAGAATACCACCTAGTCCTCACGATCAAACCGGCGTGTTTTCAATCGACCATTCGCACCTCGTCGGGGGCAAAAAGTGACCCGCACCGATCGTCAATTGGACCGGGCTAGGCTTGGGCTGCATAGGGATCGCTTTCTTGGATAGATCATATGTCGATTGAACTCACCGAAGTACTTGGCACACAAAGGGATCATCGAGTATGAGTTGGAGAAGGGAAAAAAAACAATTGGAACAATTGGAACATATGCCCAGATTCGTGGGGGCTAACATTTCCGGATCTGCCGCCGCGCTGCATGCGGTTTGACGCGACTGACGCCCTGCGAGTATATATACGGGGAGTACGGAGTACTCCGTACAAATTCGACCTGATAGTATATATGATCGACAGGTACTATTTGTACTATTGCCACTATTAGATTGTTCAATGCACAATGTGACACTATTATTGGGTGATCCAGGGGCCCACAAGCCGATCACATACTACAACATACAACATACAAAGTAGCCTTGATCTCAAATACTCTTCTTTTTGATTTTCAATCGGACCCTAGTCCTTCTATATTTGAATCATTCTTACACCATGAATGGGCTCAGGTTGAACTTATTTCCTATAAGCACCCAGTTCCCGGCGCCTGTGAGTTGTCAGCATAGTCCTACAAACAAGGTATCCAGGTACACCGCATGAAGAGAACTTACCACCACGCAATGAAATCCACTGTTCGCACATCAATCCCAAGCTCAGTCAGTGCCTTGGTAGAGAGATGTGTATCATAAGGCCGTGTGACACCCGCATTAGGATCATTGCCCTGCTTGTTGGCGATCATTCCGGGGATGGCGACACCCAACACCTGAGCCAACTTCTGGCAAATCTGATACTTGGTCATACGGTCCTCGGATGAGAATTGCAGGATACGAGGGAAGTCCTTGCGCTTCTCCTTCTCGCGCAGATACTTGATGACAATGTCCCGACACACGCGCGCAACGTCCTCAGTGTTGGTTGGGTACCGCATGGCCCAGTCATCCATCTTCACGCCGGCGTTTTCATCCGTGGCCTTCTTAACTGCGTCGACTAGAGTGTTGATTGCGCTCTCCGAGTTCTCCTTGGCATTACCGTACAGTACCGGCACGCGCAGCACTACGCCCATGCCCGAGCCACTGGTTTCTTCTAGTACGGCTAGCTCGCCATCACGCTTCAGTTGCCCGTACAGATTAGGTGGGTTGGTCTTGGAATCGGTTTCGTAAGGTGCTTCGCCTTCTGTACCGGGGAAGACGTAGTCGGTCGAGATGTAGACGAGGAAAGCGCCGCGAGAGTGGCATTCTCTGGCCAATGTGCGAGTTGCATCAACATTGACCTTGCGGGCTTGATCTGGATTCTTCTCACAAAGGTCTGGGGACTTGTTTGCGGCGCCTGTGAGCTGTCAGTTTATGACAGAGTGATCAAGTCAGCTAATTAGCTTACAATGGATAACAATCTGAGGCCTATTGTCCGAAGCTGATTAATATCTATAATTAACTTTTAGATTCAAATACATACTTGACTTCATCGAAGAGCATCCGAATGTCTTCCTCCTTCTCCAAGTCTGCCTTCAAGATAGTAGGCGGGGCAGTACGGGAGAATCCCTGGCCAACAACTAACACGCCCGAGTGCTGGAAAGTGTTAAAAACAGCACGGCCAAGGAAGCCACTGGCGCCAGTAACAAGAACTGTAGATGTCATTTTTCGCTGTGGTTGTAGTTTGAGGGAAAAGAGGGAGTCTTTTTTTTTTTTGGAAGATGCCCGCGGGGAGCCACTGTGACGTAACTGACTTCTCCCAGCCCTGGAGGTGTGGATATAGTACGGAGTAGTTAATATATACAATTGACCAAGTTCATCTATTATACCCATAGGAATTGAACTAATTCCACTCGTAGAAATCTTCCATTTCTGTGTTCTATGCATGACGTTAGCATACACGTCTTATGGTATCAAGGTCAGCCTGCACTTGAAAGGTCGAGTGGCGTAACAAGGTACAGAATATATATGCATAAATTTGATCCCTATACTAAATACATATCAGTTTAACCTACAAACAATATAACCTGTTTTTTTAAAGATCCTGCAAGCGTTGAACATCGAACGCCGAAAATCCCCGAGATCGAATCAAAATTGGCCGGGACCTGGCTCTCTCGGAGGCAGATCGGAGCATAGGAGTATCTCCACTTTGACATTCCAAAAATTGTTCTTTTAATTCCCCAGCCATGTCCAGTGCCAGGAATATCACAGCTGCTTTGCGGCGAGCCCGAGTGCCTCGCCCTCGTCTTGCCATTCGTCCTGTCCAATCCATCACACCTTTGACTGTGCGCGCCTTCAGCGTCAGTTCTACTCGCAACTCCAATTCCCGTCAGATCAAGTTCACCAGCGACGCCTACCCCAACCTCAAGCGCAACCCTAACTTTGCCGAGATCTCCGCCGATGATGTCGCACACTTCAAGGAAATTCTGGGCTCCGAGTCGGCCGTGATCGATGGCGTGACCACCGACGCGACGGACGATATCGAACCCTTCAACAGCGACTGGATGCGCAAGTACCGTGGCCACACCCGGCTCGTTCTGAAGCCCCAGAATGCACAGGAGGTCAGCAAGGTGCTGGAATACTGCAATGAGCGCAAGTTGGCTGTCGTGCCCCAGGGTGGAAACACTGGTCTTGTCGGTGGCTCGGTCCCGGTCTTCGATGAGATCGTCATCAACACCTCGCGCATGAATCAGATCCGCTCTTTCGATGCTGCCTCCGGTGTGCTGGTCGCTGATGCTGGTGTTATTCTTGAGGCTGCTGATCAGTATCTCGCCGAGCAGGAGCACCTCTTCCCTCTGGACCTGGGTGCCAAGGGTTCCTGCCACATCGGAGGAAATGTCTCCACCAATGCTGGTGGCCTGCGTCTTCTCCGTTACGGTAGTCTGCACGGTAGTGTGCTCGGCCTCGAGGCGGTCCTGCCGGACGGGACTATCGTGGACGCACTGTCGACTCTACGCAAGAACAACACTGGCTACGATATCAAGCAGCTGTTCATCGGCTCCGAGGGTACCATTGGCATTGTGACAGCTGTGGCTATCCAGTGTCCCCCGCGCCCCAAGGCAGTTAACGTCGCTTACTTCGGTCTTGAGAGCTTCGAGCAGGTCCAACAGGCCTACCTCGCTGCCAAGGGCCAGCTCTCGGAGATTCTCTCTGCCTTCGAGCTGATGGACGGTCGCAGTCAGAAATTGGTCATTGAATCTACGGGCAACAAGCACCCTCTTGAGGGTGAGTATCCCTTCTACTGTCTGGTGGAGACCAGCGGTTCCAACGCCGAGCATGACATGGCGAAGCTGGAATCATTCTTGGAGAGCGTGATGGGCGATGGCATTGTCGCCGACGGTGTACTAGCCCAGGATGAGACCCAGTTCCAGGCCCTGTGGCGCTGGCGTGAGGGTATCACGGAGTCCTTGAGCCACTTAGGTGGCACCTACAAGTACGATGTGTCGATCCCATTGTCGGATTTATACCTGCTTGTCGAGGACTGCAAGGCCCGCCTCACGGAGAAGGGTCTGGTTGGTGACGATGACTCTTTCCCTGTACGTGCTGTTGTTGGTTACGGTCACATGGGTGACTCCAACCTGCACTTGAATGTTGCCGTGCGACAATACAGCAAGGAAGTGGAGAAGGCGATCGAGCCATGGGTGTATGAGTGGATTCAGAAGCGCCAGGGCAGTATCAGTGCTGAGCATGGGCTTGGCGTTGCTAAGCGCGAGTTCATTGGTTACAGCCAGAATGAGACAATGGTGAAGCTGATGAAGCAGCTGAAGAACCTCTATGACCCGGTAAGTGGAGTATCGTTGTTATATGTGTTCAATGGCTAACTTTATTAGAACGGGATCATGAACCCATACAAGTACATTTAGAGCTAGTTGTGTACCTGTATATACGACCAGTCCAAACCATAACAAAAGCCGCCCACGGAGGGCGAGCAATAATCACATCATGTACAAGCATGTGTAATGCACAATCTCCAATTAAAATAAGCAAAAGAAGTAGATGATGGTCCTTTTCTAGACTATACGAGTGGACCCTTGCAGATAATACCCCAGTTACTGCCTGAGGCCACCCGTTGCCATGTGAGACGGAGCTTGTTTGGGAATTTATGCTCCACCCCTTGCCCGTCATTCCCGATGGCTTCTTTACTCTTGACTTGATCTCTTTCAAAGGTCCAAAGCTATTCATTCATTACTTGGATGAGCCCTGTCGACATTCCCTGTCAGACCGGAGTAGCTAGCTGGGCTAAATTATTGCACAATGGACGACATGGCAAGCCATTATCAGGTGATGGAGGAGCTAGGGAGTGAGCTGATCCAAGCCTTGTTTTTTTTTTTTCGGGCATTTCCGCCGGCTAACTGTATTCTCCGTTTGCAGGTGGCAGTTTCGGGGTTGTTTACAAGGCCATTGACAAGACCGACGGTGAAATCGTTGCCATTAAACACGTACGCGTTCATGATTCTTCGATCTTCGGGGTTCGATTTCCCGCCTTTTCGTTTCATAATTGACCCCCTTTTCAGATCGATCTCGAGTCTAGCGAGGATGATATCCAGGAAATCCAACAGGAAATTTCTGTTTTGGCTACCTGCGCTAGCCCCTACGTTACACAATACAAAGCAAGTTTTCTTAAGGGGCACAAACTATGGATTGTTATGGAATACCTCGGAGGTGGTTCCTGTTTGGATTTGGTACGTTTCTTGCTATTTTTACAGTGAGGTACATTGCTAACCGTCCCAGTTAAAACCTGGATGTTTTAACGAAGCTCATGTGGCCATAGTCTGCAGAGAACTCCTTTTAGGCTTGGATTACTTGCACAGCGAAGGCAAAATCCATCGTGATGTCAAGGCCGCCAATGTTCTCCTTTCTCACACTGGAAAGGTGAAGCTGGCAGACTTTGGTGTCGCTGCACAGTTAGTCAATATCAAGTCGCAGCGCAATACATTCGTCGGAACTCCTTTCTGGATGGCACCGGAGGTGATCCAGCAGGCTGGATACGATTTCAAAGCAGACATTTGGTCTTTAGGTATCACGGCAATCGAGATGATTAACGGAGAGCCCCCACATGCCAGCACACACCCGATGAAAGTTCTATTCCTGATCCCGAAGAACCCCGCCCCCCGCCTTGAGGGCAATGAGTACAGCAACACATTCAAGGACTTCATTGCACAATGCCTGACAAAAGACCCGGATCTTCGGCCGAGCGCAAAGGAGCTCTTGAGACACAAGTTTATCCGCAGTGCGGGTAAGCCTGAGTCACTCCAAGAATTGATTCATCGCAAGCAGGACTGGGATGGTGGCCGTGGTGACGGGAGAGACGTGAAATACTATGCCGAGTCTCTCAACACCATGACTAGACCCGGTGATCTTGATGATGAAGATTGGGTCTTTGACACAGTCAAGGCTCCGCCAATGTGGAAGCCTAAGGGCACGGATTGGATGACATTCGACGAGGAGGACGAAAACACGCCCGATCCAGCCAAGATGCTCGAAGAGCTGCATATAAGCCCACCGCCACCACCTAAGCACCAGGCCAATTCCACCGTCCGCCGAGCTCCCACTGATCGATCTCCGTCTGTCAGACGGGCTAACACCAAGCGTCGCTCAAGTGGTGTCAAACAACCTCTTGGCCTGGACTTAAGCTACGGCAACAGCCCGTCTACTGTCAGACAGTTCCGCCGGGTATCGGACAAAGTCCCTACCGATCTAAACCCAGTTAAGCAGGGTGTTGATGAAAATCAAAGCCCGAAGACGGTGCCCATCGACTCTTCAAGCAAGGAGGCTCAGCTTGGGCGACGTGCATATAGCAAGGCAGTGGGGCTCTCCTGTCAGGAAGTCCTGTCAACCACAGGAGATGGCGATAAACGTGAGGCGATCTCCAGACTTGCCGAAGCCTGGAGCGACCTGGAAATGGTCGACCCCGAAGGTCTCTATCACATCGTCCGGATCATGAACGAGAAGCTTCAAGCAGACGCTCGCCTCTCTACTCTTCTTCCACCCACACAGCCCGATTCTCCCTCGCGGCCACGCCTCGTGCTGGCCCAAAATAACCCACACCTCAAAAGCCACCGTCGTCGCCAATCATACGTCCCCGAACCCCAACCTCAGACACCCCCATCCGTCCCCGCTCAAGCTGCACCCGGTATGGAACACACTAAACAACTATCTGACGTCCTCTACCAGCGATGGTCAGAAGGTCTCCGCAACCGCTGGGGTGGGGCCTAGTCTCACCCTCAACCATCCTCACGTCTCAAACATCAACCTCAACAAACCTTACTACTTCTTCTTCCATTCGCTGTATAGACCCAATCTGGCGTTCTGATACTTGTACAACTCTTTGCCATTGGCTGCATCTTTGGTGTCCGTTCGTTCGTTCTGTTTACTGTCACTTACTCGGGTGGGACTGGTCCCGGAGTTTCTAATGATCTGGTGTAATCTTTTTGCGCTTTCTTCTGTACCCTCTTTTCCCTGACAGAATGCTGCCTGTGCTTCTGTCTTTGTCTATTGGTCCTTAGGGTCTTTTGTGTGATTTTGTCTGGGTATTTTCCACGAGTACTAGCACATACTACGTCTGAAATGTGATAAACGTCTTGATTTTTGCTCATTACATTGCTTGGTATTTTGTAATTCGATATACACCGTGCAAGTTTAGTTAGTCACGTATGCGGCATCTGTCCCTGACTAGGTAGAACCTGAACACTCGTTCACCTGGACATGGGTATAAGAGTTGCTATATGTAAGATAGCACTCTGAATACCGGTGGCTCTGGGCCTTGTGATACTTGCATGGGTGCATGCGATTTCGTGGCAGAACTTGACTTTGAATTGAGGGGGTTATATCATAGCTATGCTGCCCCGTAAATTCTGTTCCTGTGTTTGCGGGAATAAACTGCATTATCATAAATGCACGGCCGATAGCATCTGGTTTGATCTTGTAGCCGAAGAGTTCTGGTACGGGGACGTCTGTTTGCTCGTGGAGGATAGAGAGTGTGTGGATTTCGTGAAGGAGTGGTTTCTCAAGTTTGCTGGTGAGTCTGTGTAGTTGCATCCGCGCTACCCATTTTGTGCTGCCATCTAATTCGAGAATCTTGGCCAGATGGATGCCACCCTTGTTGTATATTGGGAGGATGTGACAAGTTTGGGTTGTTGATCTCCCCTTTTGCTGTTCTTCAAGTTGATGCCAAATTCCTGGAGAGCGACCCAGTCTATCTCGGGTACATGGTTGTCGTTTTCGATGTTTGTTTTCTAATTGAGAGATTCCATGTTTACTCCAGGCGAAGCTGGGAGAGAAACACACAGATGTGGAATTTTAGGACCTTGAAACGGGTCTAGTCGGAATATGGATATGCAGGACAATGAGTCAGATCATTATTATTGCAACTAGCGTGGTGATATAGGTATCTTCTGTTGTTTCATACATAGATTTAAAGTAAAATAAGCATAAATAAACTTTAGGGGGGAAAGAGACCTGGGTCAAACTAGGTGCATGTGCAAACCACCTGGGCAAACGCCTCTCCCCATCATGGCCTGATAACAGCATGCAGGGTTAGAATTTCAAGAATACCAGTTAGGCTATAAGAAGGTGTCTTTGGGGATGTGTGTATTTGCGCTGGACTTACACTCCATAGCTGAAGTAGGAAGGTGGATCCTTCCCGAGAATAGTCTCCACTTTGAATATCACTGACATCTTATAAAGATCTATAGAGAGCAAAGACAGAAACGTATAGAAGACCAATGCCTATGTTCCTGTCCAAGTAGGATTTAAAAAGGTAAAAGTGAAAAAATAATCGAACCCCCAAAAAATCCACTTCTTGCCATTGACATAAAAAATAGCCCATCCGAGCTGCGCACTCGTTTCGCGGCGAAGCATCCTTAATTTCTGCCCTCAATACGCGCAAAGTAAAGTGGGGTGAATTCCCACCGGCATTCGAGTCCAAAGAAGACCGTCCTTCCTTCTTGAATTTTTTTTTTCAAAAAAAGTTTTTTTGAAGGAATACTAGGTATCTAATTTTTCCAACGGCCTGCTATACGCCATTGCAGAAAAATCATGCGCCACCTTTGCACCAGGTTGACTAAACATGTCCAATTCAAGCTAGCAAAGATTGATCCGTCTTTCCTCCTGTGTGGCATGATGATGGTCAAGTTCTTTGAGAATTGGCTAGTTAGATCGGACCGGGAAAGTATTAGTTTATATTTGGAATCCCATGCTTTGATCTGCATGGTCAGGCCATTCATCCATAACCTTTCATCTATTACCCTAAGCTGCTGACACTTACATAGGTCCTGTCAGTTATCTTGTACCCGTACCGAGCATAATGATTATGTACATAGTCTATAGTAGGTGGGTACCTAGTACCACCGATATGTTAATGGATATATAAGAAGTACAAAATTATGCTGTTAAGCTTATGCCAAACTCCAAGCCCTCAAAACTTCGAAAATGGCTGGAACATAATGTGGCATGCCCTATAACTTGGGATACAAAGCTGTGTTGGCTCAAATATCCTGCAGCTATCCCCTCTCTCATGCATTAACCCGGTGAAAGGAACGCCAGGCCGGACTCAAAACCGTTGGTTCTGACCAGACAAAGGATGTCAGTAGTCTTGAAAGCTAGAGGAGAAGACACGGTTCTTGCTAATACAAAAATCCAATGACTGTAACTACTATTCAAGTGAAGGATCTGAGCAATAACCAAATTGAAGAAGTACAACTCAAAATCTTAAAATCTTTACAACTTGTAATCACTCATCGGATATTTTACCCCCACATGACCATGTCGAACATAAATGACAAGAGCGACAAAGCTACAACGGCTTTCTATAACACTATCATTAGCAGGGGGACCACAGTGATTGAGGTTGATCTAATGACCAAGACCGCCTTTTGCGCTACAACCAAGCGCCAGCAGAACCATCCAACAAGATCTGCACCCGAACCTGTAGTTGAAAGAAAGGATAAGCAAGTGAGTGTACCCCCTGTATATATGGATGCTTTTGTCTCTTTGACGGCAATTAATCACATGAACAGTCATCAAAGGGTGATCATGCCCGAGTCACAATATTGCATGCACTTGTGATTTTTGAATACACCCTAGGGGTTCTACTTTTGCTGTTAACCTTATTTTTATGAATAAATTATATATATGAATGAAGAAACCTGACGACATGTTGATTGAGAAAGAGTTTATATATATATATACATCAGCAATGGCCGCTTATTTTGAAGGTAAAGAGCCTCGGAGGGATAAATGTGTAACGTTATTACTGACTGCCAATATTTCTGAGAGTTGCCTATACAACGCATCAACCTGCTTCCTGACTTATGAAAAAGATAAAACAAAGAATCCATGAAAGAATATTAGCGCATAGGTATGTAGTAGATGTGGGATTTTATACTTTGGGCGTCGTCAACATGCTTCTTGGCTTTCAAAAATGACAAAGGACGAAACCCATGAAGTAATACTACTGTTTATGTTCTCGGTACACAGTACGGAGTAGGTATGTAGGATTTCATATTTCGGGAAGTCTGAACTGTGACTTGACCGCATCTACAAATTGAACCCAATACCCTGTGGACCAATTGTTTCTTATACTTTACATTCAGTGAATTATTGATTCCCAACTTTTGATCGTGCGCTCGTCAGCTTAATAACCCATTTTCATCATCATGGAGATTGATCACTGCTTAAATTACCTTCATGAAGCCGAAGAAGGAATATGGATGCGTAGACTCAATCAGGTCGTCGCAGATAACAGGCTTGCCGCTTGGCTTTCAAAGTTGCTTCCAGGAGAACCATCTTGCCACTTCGAGACCAAAGTTACGAAAGGATGCCATAACCTCTGCCACAAACTGTTCTCGGAGGATGGAACAGCGTATTTGCTTCGTTTACCTCTCGTTAGAAGGGTTGCTCTTGATTACGCCGACGAGAAGGTGGCTATGGAAGTGGAAGCTTATAAGTTGATTCGAAAGAACACCACTATGCCAGTTCCAAAGATCTATGCTTGGGGTCTTGCTAATGCCAATCCACTTGGCCTTGGTCCGTTCATATTAATGGAAGTTATTGAGGGTGTCACCCTCGGAGAGCGATTTTGTGAAGATTCATTGCTACTCAAGAAAGAGATTCAGGATTGTGATATCGAAGCTATCTACAGACAGATGGCCAAATTCATGCTACAGCTCTTCAAGATCGACTTCCCACGTATTGGAAGTCTACCGACGCCAATAACATGGTTTCCTGCTCATGCACGTCCACTTTCGATGAAAGTGCACGATCTTCTACATGACGCAGGGGTGAATGCCTTTGGTTGGTTTCTCTATCCTTGATACCTACACTCCTACTAATTCAACGAATCTACTAGGTAACCGAACCCAGGGCTTTTCGACAACTAGCGAGTATTTGCACTATACTATCCGCCAAGACCTACAACAGATCCGAGATCAAACTAACTCAATCATTGAGCAGCAGGAAGGAGAATCAAATTTTGCCTCGCTGAAGATTCTAGAATCCATGATACCCGAGATGGTGAACAAAGACTACGATCAAGGCCCTTTCAAACTTATCTGCGACCACCTTTGCCCGCTAAACGTGATCGTAAGGAGCCAAGACGATCTCACAATCGTTGGGATGGTGGATCTAGAATGGGTTTATGTGGGCCCAGCCCAGTTGTTCGCATCGGCACCTTGGTGGCGTATTTTCGATCATTCAAGCTACGGACCTTCAGAACCTGTGAATGGAGAGCCTCTAGAGATATCCAATCACTATCTCAGACATGCTGAGATGTTCAAGCGCGTCTTAGATGAAGAGGAGGGAAAGTTATCAGAGCCTCATGAGAAAGAACTCTCTAAGCTCATTGCATGGTCTGAGGAATCAGGTGCTATGTGGCTCCATGAACTTGCTTCCAATCCATTCTTTAACTGTTCTAATTTACCTTTCAAGCAGCTACAGCAAAAGTTGGGGGCTGAAAAATGGAGAAAACAAATGGATGAGATTTTGGGCCAGGATGAATCAAAAGAACTCCTGGAAAAGAAGCCAGGCGAGCTGGAGATATATACCAAGAAGGTGGAGAAGGTCGTTGATTACAAAGCTCTGCTAGACAATGGTGATATGACAAAGGAGGAATTTGTCACTAAAGTCAGCGATTTCTTGGTAAATGGAGATACCAGCGAAAGCAGTCTCTTGGATAAATGGATACGACCTTGGTGGTGAAGCGAGAAAAGCGAGAACAGGGAACACACAATGGAGTCACATGAAATGGCTCCAAATAGTTGAATAGTCTTTTTTTCCCCATGAGAATACGGTCAAGGGAGGTCTATTGAGTGAGGTATGTTGAAGGGGATGGTTTTGTTGAGAGCAATTGAATAGTTTTTAAAGTTGATTTCTAGTGCTAGATATAGAATTCTATCAAATATCTTTTCAGTTTCAACATTTAGTCCAATAGACCTCTGATTGAGCGGAGTTTAGCTGAGTAGAGTTTCTATGCTATGTAAATATACTTATACAAGAGGGAGAGATTAGGCTTCGGTGCTGTCTTCGGGGACATCCATACCTTCTGCTTCCCCATCCTTCGTCTTTCGGGACATCCACTCATGACGCAAGAGCCCTAGAGCCGTTGGCCGATCTTTAGGATCCCATTGTAGCGCTTTTCGTATCCACTGCAGGAAGCCTTCCACATCCTCGCCGTCGATATTATCAGCTGCCAGGCTCTCTAAGCTTCGATCGGGTATGGGAGCTTGGCCCGCCCATTTCCCTTCTTCATCCCAGAACATGGAGCCTAGCCGCATCTTGTGGCAAAACTCTGGTGGAGGAGGACCAAGTAGAGCAACCAGCTCTGCGATGTGCACCCGATCATCAAAGGCTCCATCCGAGTTTCGTCCATCAATGAGCCCTTGAGAACTGGTGTAATTCCATGCCTGGGTGGACTATGTAAGGTTCCTTCTTTTCCCTCCAGTGGATGTACTCACAGCTATAGCAGTAGCCCAAATATCTGCCCTGTGGTCGCATTTCGATTTCAGGACCTGTTCAGGAGACCTGCAATGTTTTTCGACAATACCGGACATCTCATTATCTGGGAAGTTCAGAATGAGGGGAACGCCGTCGCCTGGTAGTATCATTGGGGTGATAAGCTCGTCATTGCTAGGTCCAGCAACTCGTCTGTGGTCGGAACCAACATTTAATGCTGCGTTTGGCATTATGCCTATTCTGGTATCAGTTATCTGTCCCTCAAAAACGATGGCGAGGGAATATACGGGCAGTGAGATAACAATCAGTGTGTAGGAAGTCCACCAGGACTAGCATTTGTTTCATTGTAGACCTCATCGACTCGATATCCAGCTTGTCTCCTAAATGCATCTGTCCTGGTTCTAGCGGGGGTCCCTCATGGACCACACAAATATGAGGGCCGCGAGGACCCTTGATTGAAAAACGATCGCTAACTTTGTGAAGAGGGCACTCGCTTTGCTGGTATAATTTTGGTGGGTGGAGCCGCCCATAAGTCTTGAGCATATGGTCCACCACATAGATCTTCAAGACAACCATTCTGGGCTCCCTGTTGTTGACTAAGGGTTAGGGAAGTATTCTTCCCGCTCGAATAAAATACTCACATTATATCAACAGCATACCAAACAGTTGCTGTGGGCCCATAGCCGATTTTATGTAGAATTTGGTACCTGTTGTTCAGGATTTTTTCATCCTCAACGGGATACGTATATGTCTCGCTGGGCTCATACCCCATTGCAAGCTCTTCTTCAATCTTGAGAGATGAATCCAGTAGCCCGAGATCAAAGACTGGGAAGACTCTCGGATTGGACGTCCATTGCGATGAACATCGACGCGACCAGGCTGTTTTTCGATCAAAGGGGGAACTCAGTTTGTGCCCAAAACTAGGAAGTCGGGAAGAAATTCCCCATTTGTGAACAACCCTAGCATGGTAAGAAATACGAAGAGTACTCGCTCTCCAGTTCATGACGAAGACGCGCAGTTGTTGGCAAATGCGCGTTTGGCTACGGAGTAGGTGCGGTGGAATGAGGGATGACAGGTCACCCCTGTATATTCCCGAGGTCTATTTATATCTGGACTGGTCGTTTTCTTTTATCACTTCCTCATCACCAGAAGAGCATTGACTTGAATTTTTTATTCATTTTTTAGGAGGCAAAGAGGGCCATCTTCACTATAATTGGGGAAATAAGTACCACATAGTTGTAACGCCCAATTCTTAGTGTGCAGCCGCTAAAAATAAGCTTAAACAACCTTAGCCATCAAGTCCTCTCCTTCTTCCCGAAGACCCCATACGCTGAGTTTGGGCTCGGTCTGCTACGCAAACCCACCAGGGTTTCTTAATGCTTCAATCTATACGCCATTGTAGGCAACCAGGAGTTGGAATGTATTTAGGCTAACTACATATGTTAACTAAATACATATAAGATCTAAGAAAGAGGATATCACCTTAGGGGACACTCCCCATGTATTCCGTGAGACTTGTTAAATGACAAATAGAGGCCAAATGTTCAGCCATGAGTTTGCCGAAGAGCTTTCACAGGAATTGCCCGGTGTGATTTGAGGATCTGTATGGATCTACAACTCGGGTAATGTTGCCTACATACTCCGTACATATGCACATACTTTCCTATGCAGTTTGTCTCATAATTCAATCGCGCCTTGAAGTAGGACAAACAGCCCTGTTCTTTCTAATGTCACTTCCTTATATGTACATACTTCTCTATACTATGTAACTTCTCAATATTGGCCCCATACATGTGTATATTTCTACGTTGCAGCCAGTTCATTCGTCAAGTCACACCCTACCAGTGTAAGTTGTGAGGTATACAATATAATTCGTCAAAGCATTAGCTTACTTGAAGATTACAGACATGTACAGTCTATTCTGTGCAGGGGGCTTATCTTGCACTAGACATCAAATAAGCACAATGCTTCAGTCTTGAACAGACTAGAAACGGCGATATTTGCAGTTAAGATAATGTATACTGAATCACAGAGTATTGAATTATGATCTATCATTTGTTTCAAACAGTGTGTTAAGTACAAAATATCAATTTATACCCAAAATTATGTATATGCCAAGACCATCTAGGCATGAAACAGGCTTAATACGCTAATTAATTCCCCCTGAAACACAGCCCGTGGACTGTGGGGATCTGTGGGCTGGACTCAGGAGAGACCAATATCACAGCTATTATTTTTTCCCCCTTCTTCAACTCTCCTCATTCTCTGTCTTTTTTGGGTTTTTGTTGTTTTTTCTCTCTTATGACTTTTTGAAATATCTTGATCTCTCCTAACTGGCTGGTCCACAATGGAGAGTCTACCGGGAGCGGAGAGCCTCATCCCTGGTCCATTTCCGGACCAGATTTCAACGGCAACGGACTCTGCTTCCGAACTCTCCCATTCCAATCTCTCACGCTCATCATCTCTCGCTCAGAAAAAAGGTTCACTACCTCGTACGGCCCGTCATGCCAAACGCCTCACTTTGAACTTCCCCATCAACCCGAACGAACCTGAAATACCCGATTCCAACATCACCTCACCCGGCTCCATAACCCCAGTTACACAGTCCTCAACTCGCCCCTCCCCCGCTCAGCCTCCGGGAACACCTATGGCATTTGATGTCCCAGATGATGGCTATGACTTCCTGCGGGCCATCGCCTCGCAGGAACGGAAGGTCATGGAGCTTCGCGAGGAGCTCACTCGGGCCGAAGCAGACTTAGTGACAATCAAGAAACAATGGGCACTGTCTGAAAAGTCTAGGAAGCGGGCGGAGATTAACCACGCGGAACCACTGATTCCCCTTCGGTCGCCTGATTTCTCGACACCCGAGGTTTCAAGTTCACACGTCCGGGAACAGAGCATGAGCTCAGTTACGAGCTCCACAGTGTCACAGGAACGGATTAGCCGAGATTTAGACCGACGGGCTAGCGTACGTGCTGCCGCTACACCAGGAACCAAGATTGGGACTAATGGTCGGCGAGTGTTTCATGGCACACATACACGGACTTTGTCTCTTTTGTCGCCAGTCTCAGGTCTCAGCAGTTCTTCCCGCGGAGAACTCGGTCACCCAAATCCTGAACGCGTGGGCCGCAGTCCGCGGTCTGCGACATTACCGTCTGTCGAACGCAATAATGCAGCTATGATGAGTACACAACTAGATGAGAGCCAGGTACCAGAACATCTACTCGCACAGTGGCAGAAGACTCTTCCTCCCCCTTCGCGGGAAGCCTTGGTACGCACAGGCAAGCAAATGGCATCCGACCTACGCGAGGGTCTGTGGACATTTTTGGAAGATATCCGACAAGCTACAGTGGGCGAAGAAGGAATCAACGGCACGCAAACACGAAAATCACCATCCAACTCATTGGCACCACCAAATGGTCGGAAGCGGGATTCGTTGGCGGGATCCCGGAGTCGAGAAAGGTTATTAGCAGACGGTCAGCTATCACGCTCATCGTCGTCGTCTTCGCGGGGGAGGGGGCCAGCGGCCGAGACAAAAACTGGTAAAGACACCAAGCCGGCGGAAATTTCCACGTCTTTCTGGAACGAATTCGGCATTGATACACCCGCTCAGAAGTCTCCCCACGCTCCACGCACCCCCTCCGGCAACAAAGCCGCCAGCAGAAACGAGGCGACCGAAGCCGAACAGCGCGATCACCTCTCCAGTAATGCAACCGACGCGCAAGATGAAGATCTCGACAACTGGGATGACTGGGACACGCCCCCATCCGGAAAGAAGACGCATACACCCTCATCGAGCCGATCAACGGTTGCATCGAAACGTGATCAGTCGCCCACCACACAGGGTAGCAGCCCCCGAACCAGCGCTAGGTACCGTTCGACCTTTTCTGATTTTATCTATGACAACCTCGTTATGCGCTGACCACGCTCCTAGCTTTGGCGATTTGAACCCGGCTTCCTCTGCACTTGATCCTAGTGTCTCTGAAGGCATTCCCTGGCCTGCAATTACCAAGCTGGCTCCCTCGAAGCTTCAGCGTACTGCATCCAATCTGATGGCAGAATGGGAACGCTCGCTATCGCCTTCTCCAGAGCGAACTGGCTCTTCACTCAATCGCAAGGACAGTAAGAAGGACTAGGGTTCTTTCTTTCCTTTCATGTATATATTTGCTACCTCTTCTTCGGCCCTATCTACGGAATTACGTAGGGCTACGACCTTCGAACTATACCATACGAGAGCGTTGCTTCTTCTCTTGTCGATACATTGCCTTCTCTTTGCTACCTTTGAAGTTTGTGCAGGTTTCGATCTGCTTTCGAGATCTGTCGAGATCTGTTGAAATACCAGTTGGTTTGATCACGATAAATGCTTTTTTTTTGGTTCTCTAGCTTCACGAATACAACGAATTTTCATTCTATCTTCAAATTTACTCTTGAAAATTCATCAGCTCTTCTAAGCTTGTTTATTGTTCTATCCACAGCTTATACCGATAACGGCACGATGATTTTACGGAGTCGGGATATCACGTGCAAATATGCGCTTTGGGCTTTTCTAGTCGCCCGTAAAATAAATTTGCGGTTCAGTTACTCGCCTCCGCAAGATCTCCGCGTTCTTTATCTTACTTGTTCACGCGATTTATTTTCTCGCCGAGGTCCAGTGGATTGATCATTCAGACCAGTTTGGATCTGATCCAACAAGAACGATCTACGACCATATTCAATCCAACATCTACCCGCGTCAACTTTCATTATGGCCTTTCCAGGCACCACGGGCACCACGATCCCGATGACCTCCCTGGGAGGTAATCCGGGCACCCAGGGAATGAATGAACAAGAACAGGCTATGGTTAAGATGGTTCGTTCTCAATGCTAATGTAAATTTCGTCCAATGCTAATGAAGCTCGACATAGATGCAAGCTGGTATGGAGTCTTGCCCTATCAAGACAGTCATCTCAGGTACCATGGGGTTCGGTCTTGGTGGTGCTTTCGGTCTCTTCATGGCCAGTGTAAGTTGCGAAATTGAATACATAATTGATGTCTGAATTTCCGTATCTAACATTTACCCGCTCTAGATGTCATACGACTCGACATTCACACCCCAGGGCCGTGCCATCGCCGACCTCCCATGGCGCGAACAAGTCCGCCGCGGTTTCAAGGACATGGGCGCCCGCTCCTGGTCGTCTGCTAAGAACTTCGGTATTGTCGGTGCGCTCTATTCCGGCACTGAGTGCTGCATCGAAGGTCTCCGTGCAAAGAACGATCTTACCAACAGTGTTGCCGCTGGTTGTGTCACTGGTGGTATTCTCGGCGCAAAGGCGGGTCCCCAGGCTGCTGCCTTCGGTTGCGCCGGTTTTGCGGCATTCAGTGCGGCTATTGATGCCTACATGAGAATGCCCGCTGACGAGTAAACGCTCCATTCGGATCCGACTTGAATGCACAACCTCGTCATCTCGTCGGTTAGCTCTTTTGCTGCCAGGCGGTTTTTGACTTCTTGCGCTTTTCAATCTGTACATTTCCACGGCATCTGGCGTTCTGGTATAGAACGGAAGCATTGCGGGCGTTTTGGTTGTTATTATTTATTCTCCTCTGGGTGTATGGTTCTTCTTGCCTGTCTCCCTTGCGTTGCATGTCGTGTTTGACACCTGCATTGTATGGCCTCGGCTCGGTGGCTCACTCCATATTAGATCCTTTTGGGTCTGACTCTTTACTCTTTTGTACAATACCAAGCGTGGACATACATACACCACTGGCCTTTTGAGACTCACCTCTCACAATTGATACCAAATTATTTTATGCCTATATTATTATTAACCAAAATTTGAAGAACCTCATAAAATCCGGCGGCTAATATTCAAATATCCGACTTGTGTCGAATTCCCCCCCCCCTTCTTTCTCTAGCAGGGCGAGACCGTATACTATGTCCATCCCAAATGTAAACTTGAACTGGATCAGTACTCGACCACTATAGACACGTCCCAGTTTACTCCTTTATAGGTCCAAAGTCTGGCCAAGAATACAGTTTGTTCGATTTCTTCAATTTATACACAGTCCTAAGGCAGCACAATATACTTCTCCAGGTGCTTGGGAATGGAACCACGCAGGTTCTTGCTCTCCAGCCAGGTGCTGGAAAACAAGCGATCCGCATAACGATAAGCACCGTCACAGAGAATGGTCACAACGGTGTTACCCTTGCCCAACTTCTCGGCAACCTCCTTAGCGGCCACCACGTTCATCGCGGAACTGGCACCAAGGTACAGACCCTCCTCATCCAGGCAGCGGTAAACCATCTCGATGGTCTTTTCATCACTGATGTTCACAGAGCCATCCAGCAAGTCAATATCGGGCTGAAGGTTATCTGTCACACGGCCCTGGCCGATACCCTCAGTGATACTGCTGCCAGAGCGGTCGATCAGGGTACCACCACTTTGGATGTAGCTGTGGAGAACACTGCCCGGAGGATCGGCGAGGAAGCTCTTGACACGTCCGTCACTGACAGTCTTCAGATAGCGGGTAGTACCAGCCAGGGTACCTCCGGTTCCGGTAGCGCATGTAAAGGCGTCGATCTTGCCCTCGGTCTGTGCCCAGATCTCCGGTCCGGTAGTATCAATGTGTGCTTGACGGTTGGCAATGTTGTCGAACTGGTTGGTCCAGACTGCATTGTCCAATGACTCGGCGTGCCGGCGCGCCTGGTGGTTGTAGTTCTGGGGGTTGTCGAAGGCCACAGCGGGGACCGGGTATACCTCTGCGCCCAGTAGACGGAGCAAGTCAATCTTGCCCTGCGACTGGGTGTTTGGCATATAGATCACGAGCTTGTAGCCCTTGGACCGGCATACATGCGCCAGTCCAATTCCAGTGTTTCCGGCCGTTCCCTCAACCACGGTGCCACCTGGTTTCAGGAGTCCCTTCTCCTCTGCATCTTTGACCACGAAGAGCGCTGCTCGGTCCTTCACGCTACCTCCGGGGTTTTGGAATTCTGCCTTGCCAAGAATATTGCAGCCAGTCTGCTCAGACAGCTTCTTCAGTCGGATAAGCGGGGTATTGCCAATCGCTGCAGTACCCAAGATTAGCTTAAAAATGTATGCAAGGGTGCGGTGCGCTCGGAGCTAGACATACCCTCGGTCAATCCATTGACAACGCCCTGGGCTGTTGACACCCGGGTGCAGTATGCAGTAGACCCCTCGCCAGCAGCACGAGCCGCCGTAGTGGCAAACCGCCGGACACTTTGACGAAACATCTTGAATTGACTTACAAGACAAGAACAAATGGTCCCATCGACCCCGGGGAAATGACGAGCTCCCGCACCTCCGATGGTCGGCATTAGTCAGATCACGTGCACAAGGTTACTACCCTTATCGGCTATCGGCCACCCGTTTTGGGCTGTTTGTTTACCGCCAAGGCCTCCAGTCCTTTGATCGGTCCCGCAGTCTGCGGTGCTTTTCGCCTTCGGATAATCAACACTCAACAACAACACAACAATGCCTGGCAGAGTCGCCGCCCGTTCGACATCTGCGACAACACGGAGGTCGTCAGCACAGCCCTCTGTGTCTGGGCGTGCTGGGTCCGTTACTCCGTCGTTTGCGATCCCCGAAGAACCAACAGAGCCAGCATCATCCCCCACTTTACGTCGCGATGTGTGCTTGATCTTTGCGGATGCTCAACGCTCAACTACCGGTCATCGAAAGCTTGTTGTGCGCTTGCGGAAGCTCCAAGAGTTCTCTTGTGGTATCTCACAAAAGAAGCATAACAAGGGAAAGGACCACGGGTCCGAGGAAGCATTGATTCCCGGTGAGGAAACTGAGGCCGAGAAGGAATTCAACGTGGAAGTCGGCCGCTGCATGCTTCGTATTCTCACCATTAAGAAGAGCGAACCTGTTGGAGACCGAGTTTTGCGCTTTTTGGGTACTTTCCTCACCCATGCCTCGGAGAAAGATAATGAGATTTTTGCTTCCGGTGAAGATGAGGACCATAGTCCCGAGACACCAACTGCCCGCCTTACATCTAGCCTTATTGCGCTAATGGCACCCGTCATGGGCGCCAAGGATAAGATGGTGCGCTTCCGCGCAACCCAAATTACTGCCCACATTGTGAACTCGCTAGAATCGATCGACGACGAGTTATATCATACGATAAGACAGGGTCTTCTAAAACGTCTTCGTGACAAGGAGGCTTCTGTGCGGGTGCAAGCAGTCCTAGGATTAGGACGTCTGGCGGGAGATGACGGAGAAGACGACAACTCTGACAACTCTGCTCTTTTGGAAAAGCTGGTCGAAATTATGCAAAACGATACAAGCGCCGACGTCCGCAAAACGCTCCTCACAAACCTCCCCCTCGCTCCAATGACGCTCCCTTATCTTCTTGAGCGCGCCCGTGATCTGGATGCCCCTACCAGACGCGCACTGTACTCACGCCTTCTACCTACCTTGGGCGACTTCCGCCATTTGTCTTTATCGATGAGAGAAAAGCTCCTCAGGTGGGGTTTACGTGATCGTGATGAAAGTGTTCGCAAGGCCACAGCCAAACTGTTCTATGACAGATGGGTCGAGGATTGCGCTGGCACGAACAATGACCCGAATCAGGGACCGACTGGCCAGCGCTCTGAACCTGACATCAATGCGCTACTTGAACTTCTGGAGAGAATCGACGTTGTTAATTCTGGAATGGAAAGCGGAATTGCACATGAGGCGATGCGCGGCTTCTGGGAGGGCCGTGCGGACTATCGTGAAGCTGTCGTCTTTAACGAGCCTTTCTGGGAAAATCTAACCGGTGAATCCGCGTTCTTACTCCGGTCCTTTAATGACTTCTGCCGCGTAGAGAATGAAGGCAAGTACGACAGCCTTGCAGACGACAAGATGCCCGAGGTCACCGCGATGGCCTATTACCTAGGCAAATACATCACTAATCTCTTGGAGCGGAAGAAAATTTCTAAAGAGTCTGGTGAAGCGAACGATGATGACGCTGTCGAGCACGAATTTGTTGTGGAACAATTGCTCCACATCGCCATCACTCTAGATTACAGCGACGAGGTCGGTCGACGAAAGATGTTCGCACTCCTGCGAGAAACTCTGGCTGTACCAGAACTCCCGGAAGAGAGTACCAAACTCGTCGTTGAGACACTTCGCTCTGTCTGCGGACCTGATGCTGCGGCTGAGGCCGAATTTTGCAGTGTTGTTCTCGAAGCTATTGCTGAGGTTCACGACACCATCACGACCGAGGATAGCTTTGTTTCTGCTAGATCTGAAATCAGTGACGACACTAGCAGACGATCCGAAACTCCGGGGGATGAAGAGGTCACCCCCTTTAATAAGGAAGAAGCCAAGGCCAAGATCGTTCGCGAGATTGTTATCAATATGAAGTGTCTGTATATTGCTCAGTGCATGTTGCAGAATGTCCAGGGTCACTTGCAACAAAACATGAACTTGGTTACTATGCTCAATAACCTTGTGGTGCCTGCTGTTCGCAGCCACGAAGCCCCAATCAGAGAGCGTGGTCTCTTGTGCTTGGGCCTGTGCTGTCTGCTCGACAGGGTTAGTATATTCTCTTTTAATCGAAGACGAGGCTTGCTAATGATTGATTTTTTTACAGAATTTGGCCGAAGAAAACATGACCCTCTTCATTCACTGTTATAGCAAGGGTCACGAAGCATTGCAGGTTACGGCTTTACAAATCCTTTGCGATATGATCACGACTCACCCATCCCTACTCGCCCCCGTGACCCAGGCTGATGGCGAGACCGTCACGCCACCCGCCATGCACAAGCCTTTGCTTAAGGTTTTCGCCCGAGCTTTGCGTGCTAACTCTCCTAGCAGCGTGCAGTCCGGAGCAGCCGCCGCTCTTTGCAAGCTGCTACTCACTGGCACTTTCACTCCCTCTGGGCCAAATGTCTCACCTGCAATCCAAGAACTTAATCAGAATGCTGTTGAATCTCTGTTGCTGTCCCTTGTGGTCTCCTTCTACCACCCACGCACTCGTGGAAATCCGGCACTACGACAGTCATTGGCTTATTTCTTCCCTGTATACTGCCATTCTCGCGTGGAAAATACGCAGCATATGCGCCGAGTGGCTGTACCAGTGGTCCGTGCCGTAATGAATGCCGCGGAGGAGCACTACTCGCTCGAGGCCGAGGAGGACAGTGATGGGGAAATCGATCCAAGCGTCGGAGAGCGCGAGGTCAAGGCTCTCATGACTGGTGTCATTGGTATGCTTTCTGAGTGGACTGATGAGCGCCGAGTCGTTGGCCTCGGTGGCGAACGGATTCTGGCTGGCGGTGCTGCAAACTCCAATGTTTATGGATGGGTTCACCTCGCCCTGGTTAAAGAGATTCTCGAGCGTGTCCTCGGTATCAGCGCTGCTGCAAATCGCTGCTCACGCGAGGAACGCAAACTGCTCTTCTCTCTCCTCAGTAAGCTTTACTTTGCTGCTCCTACAGTACCCGCACGAGCCAGCTCCCGTGCCCCTGAAGGCGATGATCAATTCCGAACTAGCATTCGCAGTGTTACTGGTGTCGAGATCGACCCTGAAAATACTGCCCTTGCGACTGAGGTCAAGGAGCTATTGGACCAAACCATTGAAGAGGGTATCGCCGCTGAAGCCTCCAGCCGAAATGCTCTCGTCAAGGCCAAGAATGCTATCCTCAAGATCCTTGCCGTTGCACAGGATGGTCGCGCTGCTAGCGCTCGTCCTCGCGAAGGCACTGAAGACCCTGATAACGATGGGGCTAGTGTACGCTCTAGTAGTGTTCGTCGCTCGGTGGACCCTACTGGGGGTTACAGTCGTCGTCATGTCTCTGTTGAACCAAGTATCATGGAGGAAGACGAGGGCGAAGGTGACAGCCGTTTTGCTTCTGCTACAGCCAATCGGCCCATTGTCTCTATCGAACCCAGTATTATGGAAGAAGATGAAGAAGATGATCATGATACTAGTCGGGGGACAATAATCAAGGAAGAGATGGGTGATGAGTGATGATTCCCAAGGTCATTCCTAGGTTTTGGTTGGCGTTGGTTGAAGTTTAGGGTTGGGTTAGGGTTCTGTACATATTTTCAGTTTTGATTTTTTTTCCCCCTTCGAATACCATTTGCATGTTTGAATGTCAGTACACGAGCTACCCCCATGCACCATACATGTTTCAATATGCATCCACGTGATATGCCACGTGATGGTATATTTTTGACAGCCGCAGAGAGAGACTTCACATTTGGAATGTTTACATATGTACGGAGTAAATTGTCCATCTTGTCTATCTTGTCTATCTTTGTCTATATATATTGATATATATTGGTCTATATTTATCTCAGTTCTGGCTATGTTTCACTGTATATCTACATTTGTCCTACCCAGTAATTGCTTTTGCCTCTTTATGTATTATACTTATTTGATATCATATACCATGATAGTTCTGGAAGTCTCCAATCAACATTGAACACATTGAAACATTATCTAGCAAGACAGAGACGTTAATATATTATCAATCTACTTACTTCTACCTGACTCGTTCTACTAAATAAGAGACGGCGTTAAAACCGCAGGGATCTGGGCCCGGTTGGGGTTGCACGGTCAAGACCAGTCCGAACACACAATTTCCAGGGGAATTGAAGGATAAGAAGATTCGAAATCAAGAGAGAATACTCCGTATAAAGGATTAATTTGTTAATTTCATAAAACATCTATATAATATCATATTTTGTATATTGTATAATCTCCGACTCCCCCGTGTGAGCCCCCCGAAACTTTTCATTTTCTCTCAAAACTCCACCGAAAGTTGGCTCTTTTCTTCTTCTCCCCCCCCCCCCTTTCCCTTCTCTCCTCCCCCGGGCTTTCTCTTCCATTTTTACCACTCCCTTCTCCGGTATTGTCTTGTCTTCTGCTTTTCTAGCAGAGACATTTTCTCCCCATCTTCCCGGGATTCCCTTGCCGCTCCGTTGGCACCGGACAAGTCAGCGATGGCGGCCGTTTCAGCACCAACCCCCAAGCTGGATCGATACATCGTCATCCACGTTGCAACTACCTGTGACGAGCATGGCGTATATGTCACCAAGGACTCGGCTGAGGTCATTGAGTTAGGATGGATCCTGTTGGACACCAAGACCTGCGAGGAAGTCCGTTCCCCCCCCAACATCTTCTACCCAACATGCAATTTACTCCCGAGGTCAACCCGAAAGCTGACACCTTTTGTTCCCAATTGTTTAGCTGCACCGCGAAAGTGTTCTCGTCAAACCCGTCAATACCCCAATCACCCCGCTTTGCAGTAAGCTCGCCTTGAAAACAACCTTAGATTGCATTGGATTTTGGGAATAAATTTGTGGCTGACAATTCTTTAAAGCG